GGCTCACACGAGTTGGCCTGGATAATGATTGACCGCAAACCGTTCAAAATCCTACAAAAACAATCAATCCGAAAAGAACCAATTACACATACATTTCCTTGATATTTCCACTTCTTCGAACTCGCTAGTGCACAAGCAATCTTCTCTCCGCCATTGATATCGGCTAAAGCACAAATGAATAAAACAATCAGTCAACCAGAATAAGCGACTCACTTTCAATCTCCACCTGGACAAATGTTCTGCAATCATTTCATTGTCATCCGATTCACTCAAAATGGCATCAGGTGTAGAATTTCTCTCGAGCACCAAAAGGGATATCCCTAAGAATAGAATGAATAAAAGTGTGCATAAAAACAAAACTTACAGTACGCACTCCGCTCAACTGTTGATCGGCTTTGCAAGGGTTGAATGCCCGTTCAACGTAGAGTTGCCTAACTCAAACATTCCAATAATCTTGAACTTTTGCATAAACTTTGTGACCTCAAGTTTCGATGAGTTTGGTTGAAGCTGATCCATGAAGTTGAGCAACTTTTTCCTTGTATGTCTAAACAATAAAACATAAAAGCAATTAAACAGAATATTCCTTACGCTAATCGATATTCAGTCTCAGATGCTTTCATCTCGGTACCCCCATCAATTGGATCTCATAGGTGTTACTTTTCTTTGCATAGCTTAAAAACAGCAATTAAATAGCCGACAATAAGGAGCATTAACCTTTCTTGTCTCTCACCACTTCTCCCCTTTGTAATTTTGAACAATTCATCCAGCGCTTCAAACAATTCACACATTTCCGATCGCTTTCAAAGATGACTCACGTAAATAACGTCTACGTTTGCTCGGTCTTCTTTTTGGAGTTTAGGACCTCGTCCAAAACCCCTTCACCATCGTTGGCCAAATGTTGGAAAGCACGTTGATCGCTTTCAACATCCTAAATCGATAAACATCCAATGGCATGTACAAATATGTAGATATCTGGTATACTTGAAAGAATGTTGGTATAAATTTACCTTTTAAGACTGAATATGCGAACTCGAGAGCAATCCCATAATTGACTCGTCCAGCAGCAGCCATAGAGAACAAATCGTCGTAAATGAGAATCCGAGTAAGCAAAGGAAATCTCAAAGAAAAAAGTAAAGTGAAACAAAGCTGAAGACTCACCGCGAAACGAAATGCTTGAAAAACAAGCGGCCAATTCTTTCCATAACAAACGCGCGTATAGGCTCGGCCATCCATATTGATAATTGGTGGGAACGCTGAGATCAGATTTCTCTCTAAATAAATAATCTGATTGTAACTGAATTTATCCATAATACAAACCAATTAGCCCTTTTTCTTTTTGTCCGGTTTTAGATCGGGGAATTGCCTCGTCTCGAGCTTTTTGGTGTCCTCGTTTTTGAAGTAAAGTTCAAGATTCCAGTACCTAAAATAATTCAAATCTCAATTAACCAATCATTTTATTTACTTCTGGGCAGTGCGAGAGGTTGATCCTGTGGGTAAACGAAACGTTTCTGTGTGATCCTATATTGCCTTTCATTGGGATGACTCACAATCAACAATGGCAAACCGATCTAAAAATATTAATTGATCGAAGTTTGTGAAATGAATGCTTACATTAGTCAAGTGATCTTCGAGAATCTTTTGAGCATTTATCCACAATTGGTCTTTGAACAAATCCTCTCCAAGCACATCCATACTATGCGATGTCGAATATTTGTGCTTGTCGAGGTAAGCCTTAATAGAACGGTGTTTTTCAACAATGCTGCGAAAATATTACCTTGATGTTAGTAAAAAGCGATGAGGACCCAAAGCTTTGAATATTGAGAAGATTCCAAGGCCTCCTTTTGTAAGCATGCATATCAAACATATAGCGAATCTCAATCGGCGTTCTTGGGCATCTCTAAAAGAGTCAAATAAACTTTAAAGTCATACAGAAAATACGTACATTGTAGCGACCATCTGGATATTTTTGCTTGGAAATCTTCGACCATCCGTTTTGTGCGTATGCAACTTCACCATACATGATTTTATTCCGCTCATTTAGCAAATATTCAATGACCTAAAAAGTAGACAAACTTTTGATTTAAAAGATTAATCGCTCACTGCGTCATCAAATGACATGTGAGACAAACGTCCTAGGAATTCAGCAAAATCGGCAAATCCTTCGTTCAACCAGATCTCATTCCACCAGTTCATCGTAACCAAATTACCGAACCACTAAATTCAGATAGTAACCGGATCATGATCAAATTATTACTACCTGATGTCCAATCTCATGATTGATTGTGTTCCCTTATTTGTATTTTTCACTCACAGATTCGTGTTTCGGGTCGACCAAAAGCCACTAAACATTTGGTTTACGCTCAATAGGGAAATGAAACAAATTACCCGCTCTTTAAAGATCATCAATCCCCAATTTTCCATTGCTCCTTCCCCATAGCGCGCAACTGCAAACAAATCTAAAATAAACAATTAATGACAAACAACTAACTCTTAAAACCAACCAAGTTTGGGCAACGGATATTTGACACCAAAAAATTGTTCGAAACTGCTAAGAGCCTAAACAAACCATAGCACAATTAGCACCAAACTATGCCCCACTTTTGAAGCGATTTCTTTGCATATGCAGTTTGGCCTTTTTGGAGGGATGCGCGTAAACTCGAATCTAAAAACAGTCAAGGTTAACGCATATTAAAAATCTCCCACCAACAAAAGACTAGCTCATTTTAAAACAAAATATAGAATATAACAATAATACCTCAACGTTGTTTGTGGTAATTGTGTCCGGCCCTTCCCATGCATGCACCACTAGAGCCAACAGATACGAGGACATTTTGGGTGTGTTGGCAAATTTCGTGATGTTCCAGGTGAGACGTGCTTCAGAACCAGTGATTGAACTAAAATTATTTATAGGCCGTGCAAAAATGACTTAAACATACTCGATTTCAGAAAACTCGCTATTCATATTCGAATTAGCCTCTGTTCCTGTAGGGTGAAAGATTATGAGAGACCAAATAGCCTAAATTTATGCCCATGATTAGTAAAATCAGCATTGTACAGTCAACCTTGAATCGCGGTTCATCAAAACATGGCACCATCATGCGTGCATTTGTTGGTTCCATTTGAGTAGTGGCTATACAACTCCCCTTTTTTATTTGGCTATCGGTGGTGCACGATGAATAGAGGCCAGTCAAAGTGTTATTGATTTCACCGTCATAGACAATCTATACAAAATATAATTTATCATTTAAAAAGCCACAATCAGTACCTCCAATATGTATTTTCCTGCTAAAATAGGTTTTCCATCTCCGAATCCAACACGTTCAATCTGTTCATTGTGTTGAAAAGCCAAGCGACGCTAAATAAAAAAACATTGAGCAATAAAAAAGTGAAACTACCGTTTGTCCGACAAGTTTGTACTTGAAAATCGCGTCTTCGTTCTTGTTTTTCAATTGAACTTCACGCAGAGTAGCCGCTTTAATCTTTAGATTCTTTGAATGCAGTTCAATAAAGTTTTCCGGATTTTTGTCAATCTCGATCTAAACATTCAAATTTTACCATCACTCCATTTGAAAATACTCACCAAGATTCTGACTTTTCCAAGAGTTGTCCAATGCAGCTTTTTAGGAATCGGGGCGTCGTCAATTCCATATCCAGGCAAACGGACGAAAAGTCGCAGTTGATATCCAAGAGGTCGGTAGTTTTCCGTTGGAATTTGCCAGGTTGTGCTCCTGAATTAAAATTGATGAAATAAAAAGAAAATACATTACAGCAGCTTTAGATTTGTGACATTTGGATAAGCGCCACCAATTTCATAGACTTCTTCCTGGTATTTCGTGGCTTCATCGTTTCGAAAATCTTTTCTGATAGCAGCCTCCAACTTGCTTGCTTCGCTTTGACTAAATTAAAAGTTATTAAAATCTGCTAAGAAGAAAGTACGTCGTTGTAGTAGGCATGGATGTAGTGTCTGGAGGTTTTGGAGGGATTGATTGTTGTCGTTGGAATCCTTGGCGGCACGAGAGTTGTTGGCTTAGCAGCTTCAGCAGTTGTATCAAATTTTGGCAAGACCACGACAACGCCCACCACGAAGGCAATCACAACTAAATAGAACTTTATAAACAAGGCAAAGCCTTTTAACATACTTAGAGCAGCAATGAAAAGAACTGCAGTGACACCGAGACAAATCCAATTGCGACGTTTCTTCATCGTTCGGGTGATTTTGGTGGCACTCTTCCCGTAGCAGCACTCGTTCCATCTACTTCACCGCCTTTTTTTCGTGCCCTTCTTGAAACCTTTGCTCTTCTAAAACGTCAAAATTAGCTGAGTTGAGAAATGAAGCCAAAGTTATAACGTAAATTAATGTACTTTTTGCGCTTTCTTTGAACGTTTCTCAAATTTGACGTCAGGCGACTTCACCGACGTCTCCGTTGTTGCTTCTTTTGTTTGCCCTTCAGTCGTTTTCTAAAAATAAAACGTTTATATGTGACCATTCTACTTCCATTAACTATTAAATTTCAAATGTTACCTGGCTTTGCGAATTGGCCGATTCCAATTTTCCTGACTTTTCCTAAAATCAGAGGTGAGAAATATGACGCACAAAAAGTTACATTGGCGAATCGAGCGAGCGGTATTTTATGACGATCACGAGGACGAGAGGCTGTATCACTAAATTGTTCAAATAAGCTAAAAATAAGAAACATTAATATTCAAATTAGAGAATCAGAAGCAGGTGCTATACGGACCGGGGGCCTAAAGATTTTATATGCTAATTTTTGTTTCCAGTTATGTTCCACATCACAAAATTGCTTGTTTTCTTTTAGGTAACAATATTTAGGAATTAAAATTAACATTATCAACAACAATACAATAAGACACCTTAAGTCAGAGGATAACGATCAGCAACAAGTTCCCAGAACTCATACATCAAGCTTTGAGTATTATGCTGCCACTTCCACAAGGCTTCATAGTAGTGGTCGTCCCAAAGCTCACCCTTTAATCCGTTTCACCACTTAATCTGACGCTTAAGCTGGCTCCATAAATCTTTATAGCTATTGCAAAATTTAGAATACAAAAAGCGAAATTAGCATAAAATTTTTAGCCCCCGACCCGTATAGCACCCAGAGGCATCTATCACTCAATAAAAAGCAATAAAGATAACTGTTATAATAATAAGAGTAGCACTTTGGTGGTTAAAGACAAAAATGCTTTCTCCCAACAACCAAAATAACAAAAAGTTAACAACAACAACAATATAAAAGTCATACCCGGCTGGCGCTTCGGAAGTGGCCCAAGAGGACCGATTGGACGGCATTGAAGAAAATGAGATGATAGATGACCATACTGTTTTATTTGACTATAAAATGCAAATTTTGCCTTGTTACATGACAATTTGATAGTTTAGACAAAATCAAAGTTACAAATGCAAATTGGGAAATCACATTGTTCCATTGTTAAATCAACAATATTGATATTGAACTACCGTAATCAAACCGTCAGTTTACTTTCGATCTGGCTTAAACGGAAAAAATATTGTTATTTTCCAGATTTTGAGTCTTTTGCCATAGCTTTTGTGTTATGCAGTGTTTTAAGAAGCCTGGCGGCGATGGGACAAATGCTACCTTTTTTTTTCGCTGGCTTCAATGACAAATGCTACCTTTTTTTCGCTGGCGCACTTTTTTTCGCTGGCAAAGGCCTTAGGAAAGATCGTAGAGCTTCAAAAGTGGGCTAGAAGGCAAAAATTGCGGAAAAGCGTTAAGTTGCGTAGTTTTTGCCTTTTAGCCCAAATTTGACGTCTCAGCAAGGCCTGATTTGTCGAAATTAGAAATTTACGCATATGATTCCCTTACATGGAACATTTTTGAAGCTGTACGGCCTTTTCCAGCAAAAAAGGTGCACTTCTTGTCGGGTGCGCAAAAAAAAGGGCCGTATTTGTCCCACCCCCAACCTGGCAGTGTCTTTCTGATATTGCAACTATGCAACTCGTGAATCACCGAAGATCCGCTCAGTAGATAATAATGGAGAGTGTTCCACTTTGGAAAACGAGTTCTTTGATTAGTTTAGTAATTAATTTTAAACGGGAAGTCCGGAAACTCCGATGTTTTTTCCGGAAACGATCGGAAGAACGTGATCTATCGTATATAAAGAGCCCCAAAAGACATAGGATAGACAATTTTGGAGTTATACTAAAACTCTTGCATTAAATTTAGAGATTTCAACATCTTTCCCTTAAAAATTACAAGTTACGGTGCAAATTGTAATTGTCTCTTCTCTTACTACATTATATTTTCCAATGATCTAAAGTACCTTTACCCACAGTACGGTTGACCTATAGCACTGACCTACAGTACCTTTAACCTACAATAACCAGTAAACCACTTAAAGTCTCATATACTCCCATTAATGATAAGTCCGACACTCAATCCTCTCCATTCTCTTCTTCATTTCCCAGTTTACAAAAGCTGAAAGAACGGTTTCCTGTACATCGTATCTCTGCGAGAGATCTTTCTCATTTTTTTTCGGATCCCATATGACTTTCAGAGAAAAGGCAATCGCTTTTCCTTTTCCAATTGCTTTCATTGGTGTTTTTTTTTTGTTTTCTCCTCAAAATTTTAACAATTTTGCTATCGATTTTCGGTATTTCTTTATTTCCCTATCCCCAAGAACAGAATGAACTGTTGTAGGTTTAGACTCAAGTAAGTAGCTAAGCTCAGGTAGATAAATTTAAGAAAATAGTGTTCAAATATGAGATAACTGTAATAAAATCGATACTAGTAGAAAGAAATTTCTTCACCGCAAATCATACAAACATCAATGAAAGAGTGAAAAGGGGAATAAATGGCAGCTGTGTCAACTGAAAGACTCGAAGAACCGCTTTTCTTTTATCGTTTTGAGTCGAGAATGCTGGAGAGATTTGTTTTCTATTCGATCCACAATTTTCCCTACCGGAAACAGGTTTACACTTTTAACGGTCTTTTAGTTTACCGCCTCGAATTTCTTTAACCAGTTTACTTTAAGCTTTACAGACTGGATTTGACAGACTTGACTTTAAAAATGCAAACATTTCATTTCTGGTGGACTCATTATTCTTCGAATAACGAGTCAATTCCAGTTTTTTGTATAGAATTCCAGTCTGTATAGAATCACAGGATAAACTTGCTTATAGAAACATTTAATATCCTGAAAGCTGAAGTTAGATATTGTAATCGTTTCTTTTCTACCTTTATCGATAAGCAACCAGGCAACTTTCTTGGTTTCGTAATACCTAAACAATGGTCAACAAGAAGAGAAAGGGCATGTGGAGGGGTTGATGGGGGTTTTGAAGGTCATTTCCCGCATTCACTCAATAAAAAACTCATGTTCATCAAAATGTGCCTTTCAAAATATATTCAAATAAATAGTTGATTGTCAAAGTTTCTAAAATTACTTATCAGGCTTTATTTTCCTTGCTTACTTTGAACCCATCTTGCACTCTGTATCAACAAACAATCCAATCATTATTTCAGTATGACTATTCACTACGACATGTACCTTTTGAACAGCCTTCACTTCTATACAACAGTAAGTGTTTAAAATTTGATCCACAATCATCTTCCTATTCAGGTCTTAACCCTTGTCCAACTTTGTGTCCATCTCATCTATGATGGGATTTTCTCAATGGCTTTATGGACAGCTTGGGCGCTGATCATTCTTTCACACCATCAGTAACTTTACCTCAAGAATATTTGGACTCAAACATTTACAGATCTCGGCTTGATGAATATGAAAAGTATAGAAATTCGGGTGATCAACCAAAATCCAAGGTGAGTTTAAAGTTAAACCGAATTTGCGTGTAAGGCTTAGTACTGTACTGTTCCGTACCGGATCTGATAAACTAAAATTTCAGAGTCTTATCAATCAATTTTCTCTCTCGACTTTGTGCTTGATGAGGATGATATTGTTATCATTGCAAACGCCGTATGAAGCAAATGGATCGTGCATGGTTTGTAGCATTTGAAGTCCCAAATTAGCACTTAATAATGAGATTTACACTTCAACAATGAACATACTTTTTACCAGGATAACTCTTAGAATGTGTTCCTTAGACTCTTCCCAAAGCTACCGTAATCTTACTCCAAGTGCTTATCTATCCCTTCACAATACAGAAAAAAGAAACCGGGAAACACCAGAGACAAGATTACTGTAGGTTCCAAAAGTTGACATGTTTTAAAAGGGGCTTATTTGAGGGGAATAAAGGACCCTGAAGGTTGGGCAGCCTTTGATCCAATGATCAGATCTACACGTAAGAAATGAACGAAACAAGAGAATTTAGTTCATCGGCTACGTTGTCTTATTGTGTACTTTCACACAAGAATGTGCTGCGAGGACGACAATCCGAAAAAAGTCGATCTCTACCTCAAATACTCCGACGACAGCCACGATCTGCAGCAGCCGGATAAATGAAAACTTTCGTTAGCGTTTGAAATTTGATCTCGTTTTACAAACAAGTGCCGGGTAATAAAGTTCTTCTCATATTTAAAGTGAAAAGTCACATTAAATACCGTACCCAAAAGTGAACCTGGTTTTTTCTTGCATAATTTTCACTCGCATTTTTGCTGGTCCGTTGTTTTTCATTTAGTATCCTCATTTTTTTTAGTTGATCTTGTTGATTGTCAATCAAAGTCCCATACACTTGCTCTACTCTAAAGCTCAAAGCGGGCCCAATAATCCTTAAATACGCTAGCTGTTACCCTAATACCTGTAATAGTAGCGCCCCCCCCGTACAGTCGCGTAGTCTAACACACAATTTTGTGACGCTCGGTTCTCCGCGCTGCTTCGACGAAAAATGTGCGCTTAGTTATCAAAAGATAGCGCTTAAAGCGGAGAATTTTTTGGTACTAACAGTTTATTTTAGAAGAATCTGGGCGCGTTCAAAAAAATTATTTACTTTAGCGACTACGCGACTGTACGCCATTATGGGGGGCTACTATTACAGGTGTTGTAGATGTTTCATTGAAAAGCATTTCGATGACCACCCGCTGATCAACTCACCTTCTCTCTCGCTCACCCCACCGTTGAAATGAAACGTCAATAGGCACGCGTACTACAAGATGGGATCTATTTCTTTTTGAAATGTTGCTTTCCAGTTTCTCGTTGTTCATTGCTAGATATTTTATTCGAAACTTTAGAATACAACAATTTTGTTACGAAACGATCGAGTTGAATGACAAACCCTGGGGAGGATCCGCCAGTCAGGTAGAAATTTCATGGATAGCCATTTTTTTGGTTGTTTTAGGCTCAAGCCTGGAAAAGTAAGTGTCGGTTGTCAAACACAGCAGGAATTGCTTGCGGCAACAAAGGGTAAAAATCTTTGTTAAACTTATTGGGCTAACGTGTTGGCTTTTAGATTTTGGATCGAACGAACCAACGACTTCACAAAATAATGGCAATAAAAATGCCCAGCCGGTTGGTCGTATTATTTTCGATGTCAATTCTTAAGTTTTAGGTGACTCCATCAACAGGCACAACACAAACAGAAGATGGCCTTTTGCGCCTTTCTGTAGCCGATTTTCATCATTTGGAGGATACGATGTGTTCACCATCAAAGATTATCAATGGTGTTCCATGGTTGGAAATACACTTTTAAAACTAAAGTATCATGTTTAGGCGAATCATGATTATGCCAAAACAGCATACAACTGGGAAAAAGACACAAAAATGTCTGGCATTCTTTCTCCAATGTTGTCCTGCTAACACCTACAATGAGTAAGCAACGTTTTACAGCAAATAACTCGTGGGTTTAGCAAATGGACGTGCCAAGCAATTGCTGAGATGAGGCTACTGGCACAGAAGCGCGGTAATCAAAATTTTGTTCGAAAAACGACGCATATCTACAATTCGAAAGAGAACGATTGGGGATATTCTTGTTTTATGACGTGGGCGGTAGGTGTCTCTAGTTCTTCATGCAATTGGACTCTTTAGGAAATCATTGACGAGTCACAAGGATATATCAAGAATGGATCAGTGATTGTGGAGATCGTCGTTCGAGCTGAAGCGCCAAAGAATATGATGACAAAAGACGATTTTCTGTTCAAATTAAAGCAATGGTATCGCCTTGCTGAAAACCATATGAACAACGATCGAGTTGATCTTGCTATTGAGGCCAATCAACAAGCCGTTGATTATTGCAAGGTTTGATTTGCCCATACAAACTAATTTTTTAAAAAAATTAGAATAAGGACCCGGAAATGGCGAAACAATTGAAAACACAGAAAGATGCTCTTGTGGCGCAAAAACTCGTGGAAAGCATTAAACGACTAGAAGGTAATTTTTACTAAGATAAATTTAATTATATTAGTTTTAGATGGATCATCACCAAAGAAACAACCACAAACTGAAGGGCGAGCTGCCATAAGATCGGGTCTGAAATTTCTTTTCTTCTGAATCTCAATGTTATTTTTAGCCATTGCTGGGCCTATGTGCAATAACGAATTTTGCCGTCTACATAAAGCAAAACGCCAATGCACACATTTAAAGAAAACCTCAAAGGTATTTTCGCTTGAGTTTGTTGGTCGATGTAGCTCGCTACTTGATTGTTTTGCTAACTGTTGTTAATTGTGACGTTAAGCCAACTTCTGCACAAAGAAATTCTGCTCGCACACCTCGTGCACCCTGCTCATCTCCACGACCGCCTGGATCAACTGTTAGTAGTCTTGGAAATGCAAGAAAAGCAATGACTATGCTAACTTCATTGACTGACCAATACGTTTTGTTATTCGCAGTTTTTGAGAAAAAGCTATTACTAACTCATCAAGATTGCTTGTTTTTAGTTTTGCTATCCGCTTTTGGCATAGTCGTGTTGATAGAACTTTAGGTCTAGCAGAAGATTTATACTGTTTATTTAGATTCGCCCAACTTGCAAGTCTCATCAAGAAGCAAATCATACAGAGGTGATTTGGTCCTAAAGCTATAATTACGGCAAGATTTAGGGAGCCTGCTCCGGTTCGAAGATTGCAAAGCGAGCTGATTTGCCAATTGGTACGGGCTCCAATCAATCTCGTGGGGAAGCGAAGGTTGACGATGAAGATCTCGGCGCAGAATCTGAAGGGTCATACACAGATATGGGGCAAGCGGTTGATTTAGCTGAAATCTGCCAAGTACAGGTTAATTTCTCCTTACTTTTAATATTTTATTGTGTTTTAGATTGCGACTGCCGAAAGCAGCTGCCAGACAGAAGATATCACAATGGATCGCGAGGAAGAAGGTGATGAAGACGACGTTGAATGGTGCCATCAGAATTCATCGGAGAATAACTCGACAGAAGAAACGACCTCTACACAAGATGAAGAATCTAATGATGAAGGAATTCCGGAAGAAGCGTTGACAAAGGAAAATGGTTACAAACGCGATAAACGGCCAACTACTCCTGAATTGCTTTTTTTCCATAAACGACCAATTGTAATTTTTGATACACGTTTCGTAATCAGTTAACGTTTAGCTGCAGGCAGCTCGCAAAAATCCAAAGGGAATGACGGAAGTGAGTCCAGTTTTATTAGACGATCATCACGTTAGCTGCTTGTTGGACGCATTCAAAGCTTTGCAGCAACCGGTGAGAATAATGTTACACTTAGCACTGAAATAAGTCTGATTTAGAAAGAAAAAAACATTAATGGACAAAAGACTAATGGATCTACCGAAAAAACACTCAAAAAGAATCAACATGTGAGTAAATCAATCATTTATTATTGTCTGATTTCATAACAGAATTATGATAATGTATGCCTGTTACAGCTTAAATGGCTTTGTGATGACGTGGACACAATGGTTACCATGATATCTTTCTTCAAAAAGGTCTAACCATGAGATATTTCTTAAAAATAAACAACGCTTTTTAGGACTTCAAGTTGTATCAAGAAAGACATGAGGCTCAACTAGAAAATACCAGCCCAATGGAGCAGGTTTTAATTTAGAGTTTCCCTTTATACAAAGCATTTAGCATGAAAATATGGCTATGTTCTTTGCTATTGGTATGGCAAACTATCAATGTGACAGAATGACCCAAGAGGTATGTTTTGACTTTAATAAGTTTATTTGATTTGTTCTAGGTTGAACGTTTTCTGGAAAAATCTGAGCAACTATTCCATGGCAAGAGGATGGGCACTTTGATTGGCCGTCTCTCCGGTGGAAAGTAATTACTTAAGAGTTTTTTCCCACTAATCTGCTTCAGATTGGCTCTTGATGATGAAGCATCTGTGGATAAATCTTCGATGGGTATATTGTTTTTTTGGCACATTTAGTAGAAGTTTTTTAGATGTAGAGTTTAACTCGGACGATTCTCGTAGCACTACCACAGCTCTCTCAGAAACCGATGCTTCGGAAAGTGCTTCTTTGGAAATGTGTTCAGAAGAAGAAGAAGAAATAGAAATAGAGGAGGGAGAGGAATTACATGCAAAGTAAGCGTTGTTTTGGTTTTAGTGAAGTGAAAACTTTTAGTGTATCGGGAGACAGAGCTTACAATTCAGACTTGAGGGATGTTGCTGAAAATCTTATGACTTTTAACCAGGTAGTGAAATTATGAAAATGAAATTTTTTCAAGTTAATGCAAGTTAATGCAGTTAATTAATGCAATGTAAAATGTTGGCATTTAAACTAATTTTAGTCAATGTACACAGCCATTGGTCGCTTCAAGAGCTTCGGCGATGCACTTAGTCAGGTTTCACAACAGGTCGAAAGTACGGTGCCTGAAAAGTAAGGGCTAATCAAGTTATGCGTAACAAGACTATATTTTTAGAATTTCTACTTGTGACCATGGCGATTTGCAACGTCGATTGGAACTCCGCACGAAGTCTTTACAAAATGAACAAGCTGCGCATCAGTTAACCAAGAAAAAACTTGAAGAATTAAAGGTATTTATCCATTTTAATCTTATTTTCATTATTCTTCTTTAGGCGCAATCTTCTGAATCAAAATCTAAAGTAGAACAGTTAAACAAGCAACTCAGAGAGAAGACAAATGATAATAAAAGGCTTGAGAAAAAGGTTGGCTTCACTTTTCAAAAATGAACTTATTAGCTTTAGAGCCTCAAAGATGATGCGAAAATCAATGAATTATTTACCGACAAAACTGAACAAGATGAAAAGTATAGATTCATCAATTTTGAAAAAGTAATGAAAGTTTAGACTTAAAAATCAGAAACGCGACACGAATTCATTGAAGATGAAGCATTCTGATGAGCTTAAGACCTTGAAACTGGAACGAGATCAATTGCAAGTTGAACTGGATAAACTGAAGAAAGAAGCAAGCATGCGTGAATCTCAAGTTGCAAAGTAGAAATGCTCAGTTGTCTCAAAAACTCGTTTTTTAGAGAGAAGAGTTCGATTGAAGCCAAGCTACGCCAGGCAAATGCGACAATTCGTGATTTGAAGTCTGTAGATGTGAAGGAAAAACGCGCTCTTGCAGATGCAAACAAGCAAGCAAACAGTGCTTTGGAAAATGCTTCGCTCAGAATTCAGGAATCTGATGTATGCAAAGTGTTTATGATTTTAGAATCACCTTTTTAGATCAATGCCATGGTTACTCGCTTTGAGGCTACTATTACTCTGCGTGAGTACATGCTTTCAGATGCTCAGCGAGAGGTTACTTTAAAATTTTTGCAATCTATTATTTTTTTAGGTCAGCGAGCTTGAAATATATGCCAATAACCTGCGCGCGCATTCGGCGCGTGAACAAGAATTTTCGTCAAAACTTGAAAGGTCTGTTTTAGCTGGACAAGGACAATGATTTTCATGTATTTAGTTCAATTATTGAATGGAAGACATTTGTCGATACGTTGAACTCAACTTTGACAGAGCTTCGTAATGAAGCAAGTGGAAAGATGGAAATGGTTAATGCTGGTTCATTGGATCCATCTAAAGTAAGTTTAAATTATTAAAACCTTGGTTAAAACATTTAGGCTGAATTAACTTTTCGCAAAGTTGAACGGCCAACTGTATTTCGCCCACTCTTCTCTAGTCCTGGTGTTATCGGTTGGTGTTTTTTATCATGCATTAAAATTCCTGTTCAGGTGAACAACGGAATAAAGCGTTAGGATCACCTGGCTCAGTTTCACCATCAAGCCAGTCAATTAAGAAGCAAATTGGTGCAATTGGTATGAAAAACTATTAACACAAGCAAGAAAGTTTATTTAGGTGAACGACCAACTGCAACAGTTGCTCCACAAACAGTTTCGGGTGTTGCAGACTCGTCTAGCAATTGTACCCCTAACATTGATGAACATCCAAATGGGTATTGACGATCTTACTGAATTAAAGCTTATTTTTCTTAAGATCATCAAGCTCAATTGATGTGGATATGTGGAACCCGTTGGAAATTCTGGCTCGAGGACCAATGAATATTCCGCCAGTTCGTTGGAATGGATATCCAAGAATTTCGTGGCTTATGCCTGGTGCAACAATGCAGCCTCCAGTGATGCAAGACATCCCAAATATGGAGGGTTATCTTACACAGGTAAATTGAATTTAACGGTTGATTTATGTGAACACGAAATGAAAGTCGAGTATTTAGTTGCCACCACATCAGTCTTCACCAATGTTGCCTCCAATTGGATATCCATTGCCTCGCTACCCGACAAGGAAGGAGGAGGAAGATTTCGCATAGAACTGCGTCAAGCGATATAGTTTATTTTCTTGATTGACCATTTATTACTTTGTTTGTTGTGCCTTTTGTGCTTCACTTTGGTTTTTGATGCTCAATTTCGGGTCTCCCCTTGTTTCGGCCTAAATTTTGCTCTAGCTCGTATTCTTGTGATATTGAAATGTGGTAATGTAAGGTTTTGTTACGTTTAGTTGATATTTTAAAAATCTATTCATGATTGTAAATTATGTCCACAAAATTTCTATATTGAGATTTATGGGAATCTTTGATAAATGGTTGTTACCGAATTAAGGAGGACAAAAATACTCGTCACAACAATCGTTACCTTATGTAAATGCTTTAAACAAGTGAACATGTCATTTTCAGAGTGATCGATGCTAGCCGGAATCAGTCGATGTTTTCTTCGAGTAGCTCCGTTGATTCAACATCAACCAACAACACTGGCTACCGCATCTCAATTAGAACAAAGTAAGCAGTTGAATTGATATTTACGGTTGATAGGCACTCAAAAGCACCTTAATGCTAATATTTTCCCGGAGTTAGTCGTTCGAAAAGCAATACTGATAGATTTTTAAGTGTGTTTTCATGTGATGTTTAGTACATCGACGTGGTTTTTATCGAAGATCTGGAAGAAATAATGAACAAGATGAAGAGCGAAATTCTAAAGGATCGAAAAGTGATATCAAGTTTAAGGTAAACACGGTCTAAGGCATTGACTTAACAATTTTCAGGCCGGAGCTCCACTAATCGCTCTTTCATGGTTTGTTACGTTAAAGGATTTTCTGGGAATCGAAAAAGTTCAGCTAGATAAAGATCCAATCAAGGATAAAATAAAACAGGTTTGGATAATTTGTTGTTTTCTTTAAATGTTGGGTCCAATTTAGTCATGGCTTGATCGGAAATTTGGGAAGTTTGATAGTGCACTCCAAACTCTTGATGAAGTGCTAGAAGAAGTCAAGGTAGTTTGCAGTAATACGTTATAAACTTTTTAAAGTTTAGGAACGAGGTGAAGAACTTCCCATAACAAGAGTATTGGATGAAATTGCGAATACCCATTATCAGAAAGGCGATTTGGCAAAAGCTGAAGAATATTTTAAAGTTGTCATTGATCGGTAAGTGATCTCTCTTTTAACTTTTTATATACCTAGCCTTCAGTTTGATGCGTTTACATAGTTTTCGCGACTCGTCAAAGGAGTTCATTGGAATTTCGCTGAAGTTAGCGGAAATTTTTGCTGCGCAAGGGAATTTGGAGCACGCGGAAACTGGCTTCAGGCATTGTCTCCGAAAGCAAATGCAGGTACGTTGAAAACTCAGCTTTTAAAGCTGGAAAAGTAAGCAAACATTTTTTTCAGGTTCTTGATGAGCATATGAAAAAGTATTCGATATCACATGGAGCAATGGTTGAAGACAGACATAGAGGTACAAGTTGTTTTAGTATAAAATAATTTTTGATTTAGTGGAAGCCTTTGGTCCCGAGTACACTGATCCAATTGCTCTTTTTGGGATGGCGCTCGAAGCGTATGCTCATTTTTTGGTTTGAATTTTAATCAATATATATCAATATAAAATACCAAGTTTAGGTTACCTATCGGGATGAGGATCGCTTGAAGGAGGCTGAAGAATATATGGACGAGGTGATGAAAGTGAGTTTTTAACCGTCGTAGATCTGTAACTTGCGCTATAGCTATTTTTCTGCAACTTTCTAGATTGCTTATCAGATTTATGGTGGAGTTTCACAGCACACGATCACGTTAATCAACAATTTTGGAGCCATGTGTATAGTTCAAAATCGGTTTGTTGAGATGTTCACTTCTCAAAGACTTTCGTTCAGGTTCGAGCTTGCTCGGAAGTATCTGGAAATTGGAATCGATCGTATATTGCACATTAACGAAGCGGCTGGGCTCATTCCTGGGCGAGTGGATTTAATAGATAAATAAAAAAAAGAGTTTTTTAGTTACTATTGCAATTACGCGGAAGCACTTTGGCATACGGGTAATCGAGAGAAGGCTCTCGAATATGCGAAACAAGCTGTGCAATTGAGTAAAAGTTTGGATGGGCGTACTCAAAAGTGAGTTTTTGTTTTATTGAAGATTGTAAAATAGTCTGAAACATTTACCAGTACCTATTTTTAGATATTGTGTCGACTTCCAGAAATCGTTGCAGAAGGATTTCAACAAAGGAAAAGGCTGGTGGTTCTGGTAGTGAATCTATTACTTATAGGGTTCTCTTGTTGTTGTAGCTAGCATTGTTTAGAAGACATTTAATTTTCCGAATGTTGATTTTATATTGAGCTACCCAGATAAACCTTTTTTCATTGCGAAAACTTAGAAAACAAAAACATTGACAAAGATTCGGCATCGAGATAAAAGCCATTGTACTTTCGCCCATCGGGGTTGACAAGTTTTGGATCGAACTTTTATCTGATGAAAAGAGCGGTTGGTGTGAAAAAGTTGTCGTTGATACCCCAACTACAATAGGGTTGAAGTGATGTAGATTAATGGGGGAGACGAAAGTGGAAAAAGAAAAGAAAGAGACAGCACGTGATTTCCCATCTCGAAAGAAAAGGAGAATGTGGCGATGAAATGAAAAAGGAGATGATTGAGATGATTGTTATGTGTTTGAAATGAATGAAATCCAGTCCTTCTCAATCATTTTCTTTTCTTTCTTCCACTTCTTCTTCCTCTTCTGCTTGATCTCCTTCCCCAGCAGTGAGCTGAAAGAAAAGAAAAGCACAGACGATGATTGGAGATGAAATGAAGCGGGTAAATAGGGGGAAGGGCTGATTTTGGTGGCTTCATTCGTCCATTTTGTTAGGTTTCATATTTAGTGCAGAATAGGAAATGGATTACGGTAGATAATATGAAAAATGGCAGACTAATATTTTCAGCTGATTTCTATTTGGCACTAACTTTAACAGTGCTTTCATTTTCTTGTTTCTATTCTTTAAGTTCTAAATATTACAATGTTCTTGTTCAAAAAATTTCTCTATTTTTAGTTAAAAACGAATTGTGCATATCTCAAGTACCTTTGGAGGGCAAATTGGAGTAAACGTTGGAACACGTGGTTCTATCAAACTTTTGAAACTATGTTGTATTAAACTAACCATTATTTGGAATTTTTTCTTTTGGAATATGAAGCTCTTTGATCTCATCCAAAACAGATTCTAATGATGTCCATTTAGGCGGGACTAAATACGGTGGAATTCAAAAACAAAAATCACACGAACCAACAAATTCGGGACGATTGGATGCAAATGAGGCAAGCTCCTGGGCAATGGCCTTAAGTCGCGCTCCAGTTGGAGTAAACGACCAACCAGTGGACTCTTCCAGGGCCTAAACTAATAAGTTTAGATGTAATAATCACATATAAACAACTTCTTTATCGTTTCCAAGCTCGTTTAGCTTATACAGTACTGTACATGCATCAAGATTCTCTGCCGTCCGCAAAAGGTTTCGCAAAAATTTTAAATCCGACAAAAGGCGCCGTTGACGATCCGGTAAAAAAGATCTGGAATGCAAACGATTACGAATTGTGGTTATAGATATTCTATTACCCCTTGTACTCTCTTCTCGAGTTCTGTCGTGAAATAAACACCAGCGTTGAATGAATCACTCTCCTCTTCTTCTTGATTCTAAAAATGAATAGTTGGCAAAACAGAGAAATGTCTCACTTTGTTTCTAACAGAAGATTGTTTCAATTTCCGAAGGCAAACTTTTAACAAATCAGTTATCAGCGAAATACAACGTCGTGTGCCTCCCGACAAATCAACCGTTATTTCGATAGACGACGGCTAAAAAGAAACGTTTATTAAGCCATTTGTGATCATTTGTATATGTTTAATCCCGTACTGCTTACCGGAGCACGCGCAAAGGTTTCGACAACCGACGTATCGTGTCGTGGGAGAAGATGCACTTTTCGAACAAACAGGTAATCAACGAGTCTGTAAATATAAATTTAAGCAGCTTCCCCATTTGTTTATTTTCCACTTTTACTAAAATTCCAAACTCAAATACCTTTGTAATTGTCCTATTCCCGCAAAATACATCGGCATATCTGTAAAGCCTTTCACATGACCTTCCGGGTTCTTTTCACGGTATAATCGAAGTATAAACGTTTCTTGAAAACTATCCAAAAGCCTAAATAGAAACAACGGTTTAGTAAACGCAAACGATATTACTGATGTGATCGGTAAACGAGTATAGCTGCCACCATCTTTGCTGGAACACGATTTGTGAGAAAATCCACCATCAAAATGCGAGAAGTGATGAATTGTACGCCACCTTGCAAATACAACGCCTCTCTAAAAGATTTCATGTTAGTGTAAGCAAAACACTCATACCGATCCGAAGCAAGCACTTCTGCTTTTATCACTTTTGGAGGCGCAAACTCGTTGGCTGGAAGCGAATGCAATTTGGAAAGGAAGAAAGCTTCGTCTTCTTGTGTAGTGTTGATGACGAAAGCGAAAAGTTTTCGACTCGAGTACAACATTAGAAAGTTCAAAAATAATCTTTCGACGCCAAGTCCACTAAATTGATAAAAGATTAAAAATAAAATTGGAAAAATCTTTCCCAGCGACATTTTATTATATTGAAACCTTTAAACCTTGCCATCACAAATAAAGTATCTTCGTTCATATGTTCACCCATGGCCATATGTTCGTGCTCGAGTACCTCTATTGCTTCCGGCAGGGGCTACATTGAAACAGTTATCAAATTTTTCTCAAAATAGTTACTTCGATTGCCGGCGCTCTCCGCGAGTTTCTTCAACTTCATGTTTAACCTAAAAACAATGCTAGTTTTCGAAATTTTAAACTTTACTTTTGCCGGATCAAAAACCGCGTCCATTTAAGCTTATGCTTAGGAAGTTGTCATCAACTTGGAAAAGCTTAAAATGTGCGTTTAATCGAGCTGTGTGCTTTTACACCCACTAGTATCTCAAACGTGTTCAGACGCGTTACGTACCAATAAAAGAAAAGAATTTTTTTATTTCAGACGACAAGGTTATAACAAAAATAAAAACTGAAGAACCAGATCAGAACAAAAATAATAAACATGAAATCCATGGAAACAAATGCTTAAAGATAATAACTAAATTTTAGGTACGGCTTATCGACAAACACTAATCCACTGTATGATCGAGGGCAACCTCGATTATACAGTCCATCTGATGGCCGTTCGATAAACCTCTTCTTCACCGCATTCACCACAAACTAGGCGATCATCCGAGATTAAACTGCAGAATCGTTCAAAATCCAGCGTTAAAAGCTCATCAGAATCTACCAGATGACTGAAAAACAATATTTTTGGAAGAAAATGAAAACATACCAAAAACTCTTGTAAATATAATTGCGAGCAGACGCTGCTAGTTGAGTACAATTATAAATGCAGACAAAGTCGAGCAAAGATACGACATTTCCAAGCGTTATTGTATCAATCAAAAAAGCTAAACGTTCGCTTTTTCGGTGAACTTTAGTCCATACTTTGCACAAGCATCTTTAACTGAATTTAGTTGCAACATCGAGGCTGTTGTTAGAAGGGCATGGCTTAAATCTAAATAAAGTTTCGCTTTGACAATATACGAATTTCCCACTTGAATTTATTGTGAGTTGACCTGTGTAAATAAAGTCGATCAATTGGCGAAGAGCCTGAAACCAATAAAAAGTAATGAAATTCAAAGCTATCAACACGTAGTGTACATTTACAACTTGTGTTAACTGGCGTACCTCTTCATCCATATCATGTAATTCTACAGTGCTAGCTTTCGATTCAATCATATTGGAAGTTCCAAAGATGGCACAAAAATAGGGAGATGTAGAAGATAGAATAACCCTAAAATTGCAGTTGGAGTGCTGACTAAAAGTCTTACCTGTGTGCATAAATTGGCGAGCCAAAAGTTCGAAAGAGTTACAGGTCTGTCAAGCGAGACTCGTTTCACTGGTACCAGTGAAACGTCACGCTTTAGAAAGCGCCGCGGGGCGCTTTCTAAAGCGTGGATGTCTTACCGTATCCCGCACAAAATTCCCCATTTGCCATTCTTTTCATTTTCCTCCATTTTGTGGTGGAGTCGTGTGGTGTTGGGCGACTTTTTATTTCGACTCGCCCATAAGTTACCTTCCCCCTCCGTAAAATCTAGAATGTTTTTGTAGCGCGTTTTGAAAGTACTCGCTTGCCCTCCCTTCTTTTTATATGATTTGCCCATAGTTTGTTGTTTAGATTTCTAAAATGGTTTTTTTAGATGGAAATCGAACTGTATGTCTATCTGCAAGATGACACGGGTGGTGTTGGAGGCTTCAAGACTTTTACTTTTGGTGCCACGGTTCGCTTTTAATTTATTTAATCTTTAAACGGATTTATTTAGTCGACAGTAGACGATTTGATGGGACAAATCCGTGATGTTTTTCATATCCCTTTGCAACATCAAGAAGTTTACCTCGTTCGCGCTGGAACTGAAACTAAAAATGAAACATTGGAACAACTCAAAAGTGGTACTCTGCAAAAAGTAAATGTGACGAATGAAAGCAATATTGTTGTGGTAAGTTGAATCTTTTGTTTGACATTCCCTAGACTAGATTTTCGATTAAGACTTGAAAATTATATATTAAAGTGTAAATTTTTTCGTTTCAGAAGCACGGAGATCTTCCGTGGGGTCCGCTGTATAAAAAATGTGTTGAGATTGCAATGAAGTCGTCGGGCCGTGAACGAATGTTAAATGCCCAAGAGGCCGTCAAGCTCCACATGCGATTGATGAAAAGTGACTTTTTCGATGTCTACAGCAGCTTCAACTCTTTTCGCATGGAAAATCATCATGAGGTGACCTATTGGGCTGACGGAAACTTGATTTTGATGAAAAAAGCCGCTAAAAGCCATTTTCGTGCCCAACACTACAAACTCAAGGACGCCAAGGACGAATCTGACTTCATTTGTCGCTTTGAATCTCGACCGGACAAGTACGGAGGCACTCGCAAAAACACCCTTGCTTTTGTCCGGCTTCATGGAGAGATGGAAGAGACCAAGTACAATGTGAAGTAAGATTTCTCTAATTTCGAGCAATTTAATTATCACAATTTGTTTAGATGCCATCACTTTGGATCTCGAGCATGGAGCAATTCTGGAAAAGGGCAACCTCCGGACATAAAAGAATTGTACTGCTACAAGCTGCTCGAATTGATCGACGTAGGACCGCATTCTCAATTCATCCTTCCAAAAAAAGTCGTTGACAGCAAGACTTCCATGTAATAATCTTTACCTTTTTTCTCTTATTTACGTATAAATTTTAGGTACATCGCAACAGAATGGAATGACGATTTTGTTCCCATTTCCAGCATCAAAGAAGAAAAAGATGTTAGCGTGGAAGTCCTTGTGCAACTTCTCTTGCTTGGCGCGTTTCTCTTTATCGATGATTTACATCCTGACAATTGCGGTCAGTTGATTTTTAAAATTTAGATTTGAATGGATTAGGAAAAGAATAGTATTTTTTATTTAGGTCAGTGGAAAGACACCAAGGACGCGGCAATCGTTGATTTTATGCCCAAAGCGTACGCTACTTACAGAAATGTTAAGAGAGTCCTTCTCAACAACGTATTGGGAAGCTATTCATCGATGTATTGGGAAGCAGTTCACATCGATGCATTGGAAAAATGCGATGAAAAAACGCGTTTGGAGATGGCAAAGAAGTATTTGAAGAAATGGGATCTGCTGTCCAAGATCGACATGGCCAATGAACAAATGAAGCCCGAGAAAGATCGAATGAAGGAGAAAGGACTTGACTTCAAAGGCTTCAACAGTCCTACCGAAGAGCTTGATCGATACATAATCGCTATCAAGGAAAACTTGGAAAAACTAGCTGAAATGTTGAATGCTGGAGAGTAATTTTTGTTTGAAAATTTATTTATGAATAAACAAGTTTATGATTAGTTGAATTTATGTATGTTCTATTTATCGAGCATGGCAAAAGCATTCATCTTTGCATTGGGATCTATTGTTCACTGTTTATTAAAACTGTCTGTGACTTTATCTGTCTGTGACTTGGTTATCTATTAGAAGATTAGCTTCTGATCTTTTAAAACCTTATCATTATTTTTAGACACCTGAAAAGAAAAGCGAGCGCGAGCAAAAAGATTTCGCTACAAATAGGTGAGTTTTTTAACGATTTGGCATTTTTCATGCTTTTGTTTCAGTCCTCGTATGTTCATCCCGTCGGTGCCGCTCAGGTGAGAAATTTTTGGCGATTATTTGATGAAATTGCGCATACTAATTTGGGAAATAGCTTTGGAGACTAAAAATTATATTTTTAGTAAGCAACAACAACTCTAGCCAAAGCGAAGCGAGTGGAAAACAACTTCTTTTCAACGAGGTTACCGGAATTTTATTTTTTCTATTGTTTTCGAACTCGATAAATTTGCAATTAAATTGTACTTCAAATTTCAAAATGAAACAAGAAAAATAGGTACCCAAAAAATGATTAAGAAAGACAAAAAATACCCGTATCGTTAAAACGTTTTTATTAGAAGCTAATGATCATTGATAAATGGATTCTGGTGATGTACATTTGCATACGGATCGCTAACCTTGATAAGCAAATGTCCTAAGTTTATTTGTTTTGTCGTAAACGATAGAAAACAAAAACATTGACAAAGATTCGGCATCGAGATAAAAGCCATTGTACTTTCGCCCATCGGGGTTGACAAGTTTTGGATCGAACTTTTATCTGATGAAAAGAGCGGTTGGTGTGAAAAAGTTGTCGTTGATACCCCAACTACAATAGGGTTGAAGTGATGTAGATTAATGGGGCGACGAAAGTGGAAAAAGAAAAGAAAGAGATAGCACGTGGTTTCCCATTTCGAAAGAAAAGGAGAATGTGTTGATGAAATGAAAAAGGAAATGATTGAGGTGATTGTTATGTGTTTGAAATGAATGAAATCCAGTCCTTCTCAATCATTTTCTTTTCTTTCTTCCATTTTTTCTTCCTCTTCTGCTTGATCTCCTTTCCCAGCAGTGAGCTGAAAGAAAAGAAAAGCACAGACGATGATTGGAGATGAAATGAAGCGGGTAAATAGGGTGAAGGGCTGATTTTGGTGGCTTCATTCGTCCATTTTGTTAGGTTTCATATTTAGTGCAGAATAGGAAATGGATTACGGTAGATAATATGAAAAATGGCAGACTAATATTTTCAGCTGATTTCTATTTGGCACTAACTTTAACAGTGCTTTCATTTTCTTGTTTCTATTCTTTAAGTTCTAAATATTACAATGTTCTTGTTCAAAAAATTTTTCTATTTTTAGTTAAAAACGAATTGTGCATATCTCAAGTACCTTTTGAGGGCACTCAGCCAAAAAAACGAGAACTTTTTGAGCATTTTATTCAAGAAAATTTGCTGAACTTCTTTAATCTTGAGAATCAACTCGTTCAAATTATCGTCACCGCATTTTTTCGGAAATTTTTATATGACCTTGTGCTTTTGTGGGAAAGTGTTGATTCACCATTTACACTACTGGACAATGAAATATCATATTTGAAAAAAGATCGTCACTTTCGTGCGTCTGTAACTCCCTTGTCTTTACCGTATTTCTAAATATTAATATTACCATTGTGTAGCCCTTGAAAAGAGCTTACAGAAAACGTATAACACTAATAGCTTAAACTCAAAGACAAGGGAGTTACAGACGCGCGAAAGTGACGATCGTTTTTCAAATATGATATTTCATTGTCCAGTACTGTATCTACTAGGACAACTTTACAAGATTTTAAACTTCTGGATCCAGACAAACTTGATCTTTCTGACCAAATGGAGGGGGGGTGGGACAAATGCGACCTTTTTTTGCGCACCTTTTTTTTGCTGGAAAAAGGCCTTAGGCAAGGCCGTAGAGCTTCGAAAATATTTCCATCTAAGGGAATCGTATGCGTAGATTCCGAATTTCGACCTCGCTGACACGTCAAATTTGGGCTAAAAGACAAAAACTGCGGAAAAGCGTTAAGTTGCGTAGTTTTTGCCTTTTAGCCCAAATTTGACGTGTCAGCAAGGTCTGATTTGTCGAAATTCAGAATCTACGCATACGATTCCCTTAGATGGAAATATTTTCGAAGCTCTACGACCTTTCCTAAGGCCTTTGCCAGCAAAAAAAAGGTGCGCAAATGTCCAGGTGCGCAACAAAAAGGTCGCATTTGTCCCACCCCCAAATGGAGCTTATATCACTTTCAAAAACTAGTTTAATTTGCTCAAGTTTTCAGTCAACTTATCTTTTTTGAATTTTTCTAAATCTTTCACAAATTTGCTTAAATCGTTTTTTCTCTGCATCGTTTTTTTTCTATCAATTGATGATCTCTGCAGCTTTTCCTGGGTATTAGCGAAATTGTGATTAAAGAACGATTGATAAAATTGATAAGAATAATTGATTAAACCAATCAAAAGTGATTTATTTATTTTTGATCTCTTAAATGTGAACATTTATTTGAGATGAGATTACAGGAAATCGCAAAAAGGAAAAAAAAGAAAAGAAAGGGATTGCCGTTTGGGTGAGAAGATATCTATAAATGGGGTCAATCAGTGAATTTGGGAATTTCCGGATCCATAAGGAGTTCTTTCGTAAAGAATTTAGGGAAATTTTGTTTTAAGACGTTTCCGAATCAAATTTCATTTGTTTCACTGTTTCTTTAGAAGCCCTCTTTTCCCAATTTTTCTAAAATGCGCATAATTCTTTCCCCTTTGCTTTGTCCAGTTCACAGAATTTTGTTTTCTCATCAACACTGGAAACAATAATCTTCTAATGAAGGTAATGATGGTAATCTTCTCGTTATCTTTTATCTCTCCTTTATCTGCAAATTGTTCCTTATAGATATTCATTGAAATGGACTTTGTAAGGATTTTTGTCTAACTTTTCTCCCAACAGATGCAATGACACAAATCGTTTTCTTTTTCCTGAAACGATGCAAGAAAGGGAGAAGGATTTTCCTCGTTTTCCCATCAAAACCTCAAAAGGGGATTGGAATACAAGTTATGATGAAAAGGAAAGGAAAGGAAAGACAAGACTGAGGCTGAGACTGAGAGATAGCCTTGTTGACACCGATTCCCCTTTCCATTCTATTCCGATCTCCCTTCATTCAAATCATTTTCAATAGCACTTTCATGTTCGAAAATTTTTTTTGAGAAATTATGAATATTGATCAGTGGCTCTCGGCTAATCTCATTTCTGGCTTTTGTTTTTACCTAAAGCTTGTCAACTTTTGAAATTCTACCGTAATCTTGTCTCTTCTCTAAACTGCTATCAAGATTATTTACATTATATAGTTTATATAGTTTATATAGTTTATATAGTTTATATATTTTATATAGTTTATATAGTTTATATAGCTTCTATAGATCATTATGTAGTTTAAAATTTCAAGAGTTCAAGTCTTAGTCTTTTATCTCAAGCATAGGATATCGTTGGACACACAATGCTTCTTGAAGTGAAAGATATTCAGTCTTAAAAGCATACTGTGGCCAACTGTACTTTACTGCAGGTGTACTGTAATTGCAAACAAAGTCTAGATTCGAGCATTCTGTAGTCGTACTGTAATTGTAGGCATACTGTAAGTCAGGGATATGAAGAAACACATCAAGGAGTAACAGTATTTTTCAACTGATAAGGGAATCGTCCAAACTTAAGGTGAAGGATCGGCATAGTGATAGAAAAGGTATTTCGGACATCGGGAATTCAATGCTGTATTTAGTTTTTGCCTTAATTCCCTGATTTTCAAGAAAAACGCGTTGCAAATTTGGGTATGCTATTACAAACCTCCGGTTTATAATGGTTCTTTCCCTCATACTAGATCGCAACCAAATAATGTAGTGGTAAGTCTCTGCGCTCGGTCCCACTTCTGCTTTTTCCCCACGGGTTCGGCTCCGTTTCCTTGCCTTTTGCGTTTTTGCTTTTTGCCTTTTTGCAAAACATTTTAAAATACTTTTTATGAACTTTGGAAGTGTACATTGACAATTATTTTACATATGAGTCGTGAGTTTTCATTATGCACCAAGCCAAATCTGTGACATAAATTTCCACCAATTCTTTGCACTTTTTGATCTGGATCTTCTTTGATTGTCAATACTTGGTTCTTAAAATTTCCCCTTTATACAGCAAAACTCTATAAATAACATTCCACTTTTTGTAAAAACAAAATACAAACAAATTAGCGGCGGAAATTTCGAAAACCTCTGATTGAAATCTTTGTCTCGTTTTCAAAACAAATTTCGTTAAAATCTCTTTTTGATAAAAATTGTTGAACTTTCTTTGAACTTTCTTGGAAAGTGCATAAAAAAGAGATTGTAATTTGCAGATAACGATGACCAAAATGTCGGATGACGAGCATTTACAGGGATACACATGGCCGACAAACATTTCGGTGAGTGTTCTTCGAGGCAAGAAGTTCGCGCAAACCCCCACCATCTAATGCATAGTACAATATTTTATCTTTCACACTATTTACACCTTTTTTTGCTGTTTAATCTTTTCCAAAACCCAGTAAATTTAACTCTTGTTATTAGGGTTTTTAGAATTATCCCGAGTTAATGAATGTCACACTTTGCAGATCCATAACTTTGTCTAGAGCTAATATTTTTGCTAACTATTTATATAGTTTTATAGAAGACAGTTCAGCCTTTCGAATGGTACAAAGTAGTGCTTGATTGAACCAAAAATCCTGAGAAAAGTAAAGCTAAACTAAGAGAAGATGCGATTTGACTTGAGCATCTTGGTTCTTGATTTCCTCAGGTTTATCTAATCCAATCAAGCTCATTTTGGGATCAATCGACAGTCTGAATTGTCCTCTATTAAACTGGTATAAAAGTTATTAATCATATTATCTATAAACAAAGTTATAAATCTTTAAAGAGCTTTAAAGATACTCAGATTTTGGACTTCCGTTCTTTTTCAGAGATCCGTCGCTGCTCTCCACTTAATAGTGGATCTTAATCTCCCCAGCTACCGTACCCCGCCGTCGCGCCAACAAAGCAAATATATAAAGGGGCTCTCCGGTTCACTTTTCACTGTAACAATCGAAAAAAATTAGTCATACATTTGATTATTTTAATAGTTTATGTTATTTTATTTTGCAATAAGGTAAGAAACAACAAAAAAAATTTATTTTCGATATCATCGAGCACTTTTCAAGACTATACAGGGTGTCCGCAAAAAAAATCCACTTCGGGCCAAATTTTAAAAATATTTCAGGTGGCTCAAGGTGGTAGGTATGGTGCAAAAATTATTTTTTTGAGGTCGGGAAATCTTGATGTTTTTTCATGATTTTCACCATGACTCCCAACACAAGAAATTTCTGACAATTTCTGAGCCACCATGGTCACCACCACCATCTAGGCCACCACCATGAGACTTTTGCCATAAAATTAAAAATTTCTATTCGCATAGTGGTGTCATATTAGAGTTATTATATAAACTAAGATTTTTAGCCAAAAGCTTTATTCATCTTCATTATATGATAATCTGTCATACATAATAAGATTTTCGACTCGCCTTTTTTTAAAGAAGTGTCCCGTTTTTCCAAGGAAACGCTGATCAATAAAGTGTATGGTTTAAATTTGTAGTTATTCTAATAGTGTTTATTATGCACCACGATGTCAGTAGAAAGTTCTAATTTTATGGCAAAAGTCTCATGATGGTGGCCTATATGGTGGTGGTGACCATGGTGGCTCAGAAATTTCTTGTATTGGAAGGATGATAGGGTGAAAACCATGAAAAACACCAAAATTTCCCGACCTCAAAAAAATCATTTTTGCACCATACTTACATACTTTTGCACCATTAGTTTTTTATTTGTTAAAGTGAAAAATGAAATGGTGGGCTCCTTTTATATACTCGCTTTGTTGCGACGGCGGGGCGCGCTATTAAATAGAGAGCTGCATCTCTGTAAAAGAACGGAAATAGATTTTGGCTTAAGGTTATCAAGTAAAGTCAATTCCTAGAACAACAACTATGAAATGATGGACAAGGATCGAAAAGCCGTCGAGTTTCTCCGGAATGGGGTTTGCTTTTTGGAAAATTTGAGTTTATTGTTAAAATTTTAGGCAAACGATCTTTTAACTGAATATTATGACACGAATTTCAATCTACTTCGATGGGCACAGGTAAAATTAAAGAAATATTTGGGAAAATTTGTCAAATTAAGGGTTATGGATACGATTTGGATGAAGGGTTGAAGAATTTAAGGAAACATCTCAAATTCAGAAGGTGAATTCATCGGGAAAGCATTGGGGAAACTAGGATGGTTTTCTTTTGGCGTTATCTGAATACTTTATCAAGTCGTTTTTTTTGTTCAGATACTACGATCTTGATGAGCATCATTTAATCCGCGAGCACGAGATTCTCAAGAAATATTTCCCCATCGGTCTTGTCGGTTGGTTTACCGTTTATGTCGACTCTCGATTTAACGATTCGCTTCGGATCAAAAATTTCGATTTAACGATCCTAAAACGTGGCTTAAATTTCTTGCGTAGCTGCCCAACGATTGCATTTAGCTGGGCAACTACGTAAAAACCAAAAGCGTTTTTTAGAATTTCAAAATCATTATATCGAGAGTTGACTGTACTTTAAAATTAGAAACGCATCTTTTCTGGTGCACTGGATTTCTCTTTTCTATATAAAAATTGAGAATTCAGTGCACCAGAAAGTTTGTTTACAACTTTTGAGCTCAAAGTACATTTCAAAGAATTTCACTATGGATAGATTGTAAAAAGTTGGAATGCAGAGATGCTTTAGTTGATTCTGACACCGTAATTCAGCGCAGATTTATCGTATTTTCAGTTTTTTTATTATGCATCTAATCTGTGAAATTCTAAGATTTCAAAGCCTTTACACTTTTGTTTTTGATTTCAGGAGAGACTGGTCATGGGAATACTTTGTTGGTGATCGAGAGTGCTGGGAAAATTGATCTAATGGGAATCCTTCGAGCTGTTCAACTCTCCGATTTTCTTATTCAAAGGTTAATTTTACAGAGAAACGAGCTATATTTTAAAGAAATATTTGAAAATAATCGAATAGTTTCACACATATATATGTACAAATTTTTTAAAACAGCATAAACAGCATTTTTTTTTTGAAAACAAGTAAAGCTTTCAGAGCTCGTTTTCAAGAGGAAATGCTCGAGCAAATGAATGGGATTGAGAGGAGAACCGGAAAACAGGTAAAGATTGTCTCACTAGTTATATCATAACTGATTAATCTTTGCATTTTTCAACAAAATACAAATTTCCAATATTTTCCAGGCTTCAGTGATCTACATTCTTGACTTGGAAGGTCTCAAATTCGATCCATCACTTCTTCAAGTTGTTACAGGTAAAGGAAAAGAAGTTGAATCTTTTAAATCCCTTTACTAGGTCCTTATCGAATTCTCTGGGCTTCTGTTTACACAAATTACCCGGAGTGGATCGATCATTTCATTATGGTCAACGTACCATCTTTTATCTCGATTTTGTGGAAGGTGGGTGGTTTGGGAAAGATTTGAAGATTGTTGTTTAAACTTTATCAGTATCAAGATAGAATAGACATGACCACTACAAACGCAAACTACAAACGCTTCTAACTTGCTTCAAATCTACCCGATTGGCATGATCTATAGCTCAAAAATAGAGAATCTTAAGAGCTTTCGAATGAACTAAAGCACACCAAAAAATATCATTGCTAAAGAAAGTGACAGTGGTTTGTAGTCTTAACTCGAAACGGATCGTACTCGCGCGTAGTCGAGGCTACAAACCACTGTCACTTTCTTTAGCAATGATATTTTTCGGTGTGCTTTAGTTCATTCGAAAGCTCTTAAGATTCTCTATTTTTTGAGCTATAGATCATGCCAATCGGGCAGATTTGAAGAAAGTTAGAAGTGTTTTTATTGTGAAAGTTCGTCATTTTTGTAGTTTATAGTGTCCATGTCTAATATTGAACTGAAACCATACTTTGAAAGTAAGTAAAATTGTGCAAAATATGATAGGAACATCTCTAGTCGGATTTTTATTTAAATGGTATATGAAAAAAGGTATGAATAGGCATTTATGCCAGAAAGAGTCGTCGTTTATTGGAGTATAAAGAACAGTTGTGTACTTTGAGCTCGTTAAGTAGAAACGCAGCTTTTCTGGCACACTGAATTTGACTTTCCCTGTGAAATTGAAAACTGAAAGGAGCGCCAGAAAGGATGTGCTTAATAATTTTTTCGGCACAGACTATATTTCGATGAGCAACTCTTGTCTATAGGGTTTTATTCAACAATTGCAATTGTATATTTACTCTATGAAAGTTAAATTCTTCCTTTTTTCATATCGATTTCGATTCCAGGCTATTGTCCCATTTCTCCCCGAGCGAACGCGCAATAAAGTGAAGATTTGTTCGGCGGGAAGCGATTGGAAACAACAAGTTCTACAGGTTTCATAAAAAAAAGAATAAGAAAACCATCAAATTCCCCTTAAAAGTTCGGATTTGGTGAACAAAAGTGGTTTTGGGATGAGAAAAGATCAAAGTAATCGACTGTGTCACCTTTATCGATTTTTCATTTTTAATTTCGCGAAATAAACTCAACCAATCGTTTTTTCAATTCGTTTAATTGTTCCCTTTCCATTCCATTTTTTTCCTATCAATCATTGGTTTTTGGTAAAGGAAATCGAAAATTTCCCATTTCTCAAAAGAAAATAAGAAATTTTTAGCAAAACTACGGTGCTTTTTAATATCTTAAATTTTAAATAAACTTAAAGTATTACCAAATTAAAGCAACTTTAGTTTTGACTTTGATCCGGGCTGGACCGGCTCTTCCAAAATGTCAAGCTTTTTCTTGGCTTTGCTGAGCCAAAATTTCCAGATCAGATCAAGCCAATGCAAACAAAATCCCATCAAAAATAGCTAAAGCTAAGATATGCCGGCTCTGATTCTGAAAAAGTTAAGAACAGTACATGAAAAAGGGAACAATTTGGAGATTGATCTAGTTTAGCCTAAAGATTCTTTAGAAAACTTTTAGACCAGCCAGACTAGTCTAGAGTTGATAATATTTACTTTTTTTTCCACAAAATAACTCTTTTTAGTTTGCCAAGCCAGAATATGTGCCCGTGCATTGGGGTGGGACGAAGCTGGATTCGAATGGAGATCCGATGTGCAGGTAAAGGAAAAGGATAATAAGAGAAGATAAGAGAAATAAAATAAAGAATATCTTTAGACAATAAAGAAATCAAATATTCTTCTTTCAGAGAGATCCTGAACATTCCATTTGAGCCGATTCCAAGCACTCTTTATTGGACTCCAAGCGAGGAATCTCCGGCGATTAAGGTAAGAGCGATCTATTGAAACTATACGCTAAATTTTTTTTTTGCGCAACTCTCCATAACTTTTTCCACGTGTGTTAATCTTTATTATTTTAATGTCATTTTGTAGATCTCAATAAGTGCAACAAAATGACACCAAAATCATAAAGATTGGCCTACTTAGAAGAAAGTTATGGCGAATTGGGCAAAAAAATTTGATGCAAAGCAAAGACTCCAAAATTATATCAATTCTAATCTCGATTACCGTACTTTTTAGCGACAAGATTACGGTAGTTTAGAAAATTCGAATTCGATTCGAAAATTTTTTTTCAGGATCTCGATCAAGTGACGATTCCGGCAAGCAAAAGCAAAATCCTCACATTTCTCGTGAAAGGCAATGAGGAAAAGATGTTCTTTATATTGAATAGGTTTGTTTGTTTGTTTGGGGCGGGGGAAAGATTACGGTAGTTTTTTTTTCAAGTTATATACTTTTTAGAAAAGATATTCCTCGAGGAGCACAGTTTGCAAATGTAATGTAATGTAAATTTTACAGATTCTGCGATCGAACTTTTGGCCAAGGAATCTGGTATAGTGAAGATGAAAGTGCAATTGAATGGCCGTTAGAAGAGATGGAGGAATGGTTGGGTTTTTGAAGCGTTTTTTGAACTTTTTCGTAATTTCAGGTGTCCCGACTTTGATTACCCGGGAATGCCGACGGTGGACTGGCTTCGGATTCGCATTCCCGGTGCCGGTGTCTACAAGTTGAAGTTCGGCAATGAACAGGTAAACCTACAAGGCACAAACAATGTTTGCAACTTTTCAGAAAAGAGCACATAAGTGAGCTTTCCAAATCTTTCGTAGAGCATTGTGACAAAGAAATAAAAGTCTTTTTTTTTGCAAAAGAAGGGGTAGGCTAATTTCCGCCATTTTATTTGCGCAACTGGGTCGTTTGCGCAACTCGCCATAACTTTCTTCTAAGTAAGTCAATCTTTATGATTTTCGTGTCATTTTGTTGCACTTATTGAGATCTACAAAATGACACCAAAATCATAAAGATTGGCTTACTTAGAAGAAAGTTATGGCGAGTTGCGCAAATAAAATGGCGGAAATTAGCCTACCCCCAAAAGAATGATCGAACTTTCGATCGCAATCCATTTTCAGGCTTGGATCCGTTCCCTCACCATTCATTACCGTATGCGTTTCGTGAATGAGATCGGTGAGCTGCTTGATTTTCAACAGATTCCATAAATCTTCCCCCGCCCAAAAAAAAACGATAAAAAAAAACGATAAATACAAATTTGCCATCGATTTCGGGTTTTACCCTTTCTCATTGTTGTACATAGTTTGTTTAAATGCTAATTTTTATGCAAAAAAAGGTTTTTTTTTGATTACGAGAATAAAATTTGAATAAAGAATCTTGATCACAAAGCACCGAATGGGAAAATGAATTTTAAAAAAGTAAACTTTCAGCTAAAAACTTAAAAAGAGATTAGTTTCGAAAAATTTTGAGCATTTTATCCAAATTAGATAATCTGCTTTCTACCGTATTTACTCGAATAGAAGACCGGTCTTTTATTTTTTCAATCATCCCCTAGACCCCGTCTTCTATTCGAGACGGTCTTATAATCGAGGCAGGTCTTCTATTCGAGTAAATACGGTATATTCATTCAGCCAAACACAAATTGCGTCAGCGTCGAAATTTTGCGTTTTAATTTTGATTTAAACATTTTCTTGCTTTTGCTCAAATTCATTTCTAACTTCGTTTTCCTTCACCCTCTCTCTCTAAATTTGTTGAGCATTTATTTATTTTCTTATTTTTTTCCCCTTTAATATTTCTTTTTAATGTTTCTAAAGGTTAAACTAGAATAGCTGAATGAAAACTAGGGGGGTGGGACAAATGCGACCTTTTTTTTTGCGCACCTGGACATTTGCGCACCTTTTTTTTGCTGGAAAAGGCCTTAGAAAAGGCCGTAGAGCTTCGAAAATATTTCCTATAAGGGAATCGTATGCGTAGATTCCGAATTTCGACAAATCGGACCTCGCTGACACGTCAAATTTGGGCTAAAAGGCAAAAACTGCGGAAAAGCGTTAAGTTGCGTAGTTTTTGCCTTTTAACCCAAATTTGACGTGTCAGCGAGGTCTGATTTGTCGAAATTCGGAATCTACGCATACGATACCCTTCTATGAATACATTTTTGAAGCTCTACGGCCTTGCCTAAGGCCTTTTCCAGCAAAAAAAGGTGCGCAAATGTCCAGGTGCGCAAAAAAAGGTCGCATTTGTCCCACCCCCAAAACTAGAATGTACTGTGTGTACTAGTTGTCCTCGATTTTTGTTTAATAGTTTTGTATAATATTTTTTTGAAAAATATTTCTTAGTGTTTCGAGCCATTCTGCAAACTTCAGCTAAACTTTTTTCTTTAGAGAAATTTTGATCGAGAAGATGATTGCTGCCTCGACCAAAAAAGTAGCACCCGTTCAAGCCGACCGACATCGCGAACCACCATACTTTCACTCACGACGTTTTAAATCTAATAATTTGTAATTTGTTATGACCAATTGATCAAGCAACTAAGATTCAATAGATTTGGATAGCATAGCTGGAATTATTTTCAAAATTATTAAACAATACGGATAGCACAGCTGGGTTTATTTTCACTAGTGTTAGCTCTATCACTTTATTGTCCGTTAAGTAGTTTTTTTTAGTTACTTTAGGAGTTTATTTAACAAAGTAAACCTTGTTATGCAACTCATCTTTAAACTTTTCTTTTTAGCCGCATTTAAAGAGAACACAGCTGCAGAGGATGGCGAAAAAATGCAAAGGTTTCTACCGGTTTCCACCACGTCGATCACATTTTGGTTGATACTTTTGCTGGACGACTAATTGGAATTTTTAGACGAAATCGGTGAAGAAAGAAAGTAAGCTCAAGGTAGTACTCCTTTTCAAATATTATTAATTGGTTACATCTAGAAGTAAGAAGCTTGGCCGCACCTTCATGCCGAAGAAAAAGAAAAAGGATAAGGTTTATCATACTTTGCTACAGTTACAATTCTTATTTTAGCCGACTGATTGGAAAAGTGGATGGCTTATTCAAGAGCATCAAAAATAAGCGGATACATTCCAGGGTTTTTTTTGGAAATTCGAAAATTCGGAAATTTATCGTTTAGATGAATTCTCGCAAAGTCTATTGTTCGGGTCCGACTCGATTGAAGACGATTTGCCGCATTCTCAGCCTTTCCCCCTCACTGCCGATCTCCTTTTGCACGCGAGATTTTGGAGGCTAAATTGGGTAAATTATTTAATACAATTCGATCTCGAATTAGAATTAGAATTAGAAAGCTAGAAAATAAAATTATCTAATCTAATCTAATAGAACTAACCCATGTGCAAACAGTAATTTCTATACAATTATCTAGATCAAGATTGGAATCTAGACTTGCTTGTCGGTCAAATTAGTGCCCCGAATTGAAATCACTGATAAACTAAGTATTCATAATGACTCTTGCATTGTATTTTCTATCGTAACCCATTTTCTGCACGATAAGTCTAACAAAAGCTCTTATAAATGAAGAACTTAACCATTTTATTCTGCGCTCTTCTCCCATTTTTGCACGAATCAACACAAAGTGCTTCCATGTCGGCTAGACGAATTCCCAGCGATGAGAGAAGACCTTCATTCTAGAAATTTTGGAACTTGGAATGGGAAAAGTGGGTATTGTTTGTTGATTTGATATTAATCCGATAAAACAAACCCCTTTAACACATTCACGATGATACGGTCCACTAATGACGGCCCACTAATGACGGTCCACTAATGACGATTATTTTTGGTGTCAACAAGTTTTTAAGGATTTTCTTATTTATTTCGCCAAAAATTTCGATTAACTTTGTACTAGTTTTGAACAGGAGATTCCGAGCTATCGAATGACTATAATAGTTTGGATTATTTTTGAATTCTCATCAAATTATCAGTAAAATAGTAACGCTAAAAATGCCGTCATCGCGAATGTGTTAAAGAGCTCAACATTGAGATTTGATCCATTTTTGAATGTCATTGACATTTTTTGAATCTAACGTTTAAAGTGTATAGTAGGTAGTACCGTAGCTAGCGACAATTGAATTCAAATTTGAGTAAGTGTTGATTCTCTTTTGCCCACCTGTTTCACTCTTTTCCTCTCATCATCTATTCGATTTCCCAAATGTTCCAATCTTTCCATGACATACTCCACTGCACCTATTGTTGTTCGATTCTTTTCATTTATCGCATTCAAATCAATCGATTCTCTGAAAACAAATAAATATGTTTTTTTAGATTTTTAAACCTAGACAAATCGAATTCGATCCTCAAGGCTTGAAGACGAGTCTGCACCTCCAATAATTCATCGGGTAAGGTGGAAAGCTCTGAAAACTATAAGTTTTCAGAATTCTCGAAAATTCTCACTGTTCAGCATCGAATTGAGATTTTCGAGGCGAATCGATAAAGAATAGGAATACCATGTCAAAAGGGGACAGCCAAGTAAAAGGGAAATGATTAGGAGCTGCTGAAAACGATCACAATGTGACGAGGATGGGCGATTCTCTTTGAATGACCTGAAAACATTTTGTCGTCTTGTTTTCCGTCAGTCAATTTCACCTATAACCGGTTCTCCTCATCATCCTTCCTGCATTTCCCCTCAATTCCACATCGGACTCATCTTCTCCATCCAGGAGTCCACCCGTTGCTCTCATCACCGATAATCAGTCACCCATTTCGCGATCAAAGTTTATTGCAAATTTTCGCCTGAAATCGGAAATTTTAATGAATCGATAGATTATATTTGAAGAGGAAACATGGCTAATGCAAGGAAAACAAAGGTGTTATCCGATCATGGACACAGATAGCACATCCGTGCTACTTTGAAATCAAAATGAGTATGCGAAGAAATTCTATTCAGGAGATGTTTAGAATTAAGAAAAAATGATTCAAATTAAAAATTCAAACTGTCTAAAAAGTGGGATATTGAATTGTTTGACCGGGTAGTACAAAAAAAAATCACAAGTACCTATCGAAGTGAAACAAAATGAGTATGTGTATACAAATGAGTATGTGTAAACAAAATGAGTAGTATACCCAAAAGAATCTCGTAACTCTATGTTACGGGAGTTCCAGAGTGAAATTGAACTGTGCAAAGCAGTTAAATGGTTCTTGATCTGAGGATAGCACGAAAAACTGAACTGGATAATCTTTGAGTATCCCTAGAAAGTCAAAAACAAAAACAGCAACCAGTAAAACTTTATCATTCTCAGAGTTGCAAAGATTTTCACGAGGGAGTTTCGAATCTCGGGATGCGTAAACTTGCAAAAATGGGTGAGAGAGAGAAAAAAAGAGAACAACACGGGTGATCCATCTTTGGAACGGCTAGGGACAAAGGAATGCGGAAAAAAGGAAATAGAGTAAAGAATCGAGAAGGAAAAAAAACAGAAGAAGCGCATGGAAATGTGAAAAGTGAAGAAGACCGAAGTGGTCTTTTTGAAAAGAGCTTCTCGAGGAGAGATTCTCATAAATCACCGCCTCACATAACCATTTATTCGGACAAGAAAACAAGTGGAGAAAAAACGAGTAGAAGAGTAGCTGAAGGAGTAGTTGTGGGTGTTCTTTTTCCTTTACCCCATCCATTTCTCGGACTTTATCAAGATATTTTGTGGGCTCAAAATTTCAAGTTGAAAAGTCAAAAAGTCTTGGGGAAGAATTTCGAACAAGCATTACCATAAGACTATGTTCCTTAGATGATAACTTCAAAAAACTATCGTATTCTTGCAAGTGTAAAATCGACAAGCAGATCAGGCTTTGAATGTATTTTGGCTCTAGACCGTGAAGTTCAATTCAGCCCTAAACAGGAATCTTTTCCAGATAGCCAATTACGGAAAAGAAAAACTTTGCAGAATCAAAAACATCTCTAGCCATCTGAACTTAAATAATGAAGTGAGAGCGTAAAAAAGCCGTATTCAGATCAGTGAGTCAGATAGGGAAATGAGGAGTGGAGAGGGGGAAAACGCTCAATTTGGAGGAGGAGGTTGGGTAGACGAGTTTGAGGAAAAGAAAGGGAAAGGAGAGATTGTTGCCCTGATGGAAGAAGGGAAGGGGAAGGGACTTGGGAATGAGCAGGGATTGAAGGGCCGACACCCAATCCCCCACATTTCCATTTACCCATACAGGGGTGGCCTGTGTTGAGCCAATTCCTTCACCCAGCCCGCAAATGGGATTTCTGTTTTGTGGCCGAGATCCGGGCACCGATCTCATTTAAATATTTCAATCTCTTTAGCGTTATACGCCGTGAAATATTGAACAGCTTTCTAGGAACGCCTGAGAAGAACTGTGTTCAAAATAGAGATGAACGCGTTTTTTATGGGAGCTGTTCGGAAGGATAAATCCACCACTAAAGTTCTAGAAATGAATTATTTAGCAACAATCTATGTTCAAGCAGATAACTATTTTAAAATTGGCTCACAAACTTTTTTCTTTGTAGACATTAAGTGATTAAAAGTGACTGGAAAGATGTCAAAAACTCCCAAGAAAGCGCCTATTGCTAATTTTGAAAACTGAAATTGAGAAGGCATCTTGAGAAGGCAAAAGCGCATGGACGATGCTTTTAGAAGGGGCTAATTTCTTTGTGTTTTGTGTTGGGTGAAGTGGATGAATGAATGGGAAAGAGAGCCCCTCATTACCCTTTCCCCTCCCCTGCACCTCATTCAACAAAAGACCCAAACCTACTCGCGAAGAATTTTCAACACATCCACAACCATTCTCTATGTTAAGGTATTCACAAAATATACCACCAAAAAATTGTCTATCCTACTTTGAATTCTAGATTTATTTTTGCAGTTAAGTTGTTCGAAACAAAAAGTTCCCGTTTATAACCATTAACCGGTTTTATCGACGAGAGCAAAGGTATCACAAACTTTGAAAATGTAAAGTAAAGCTAAATTGTACCCATTAACATACACATGAAAGAAATGGAAAAGAGGTAAGATGCACGTAAATTTTGTTAACTATTAAAGGTTTTGGTTTTCATTGAGGTTGACCTTTCTAAAATCGACGAGATCATTCGGTCCAAGTCGCGGCGGAGGCAATTTCCGTCCCACAGAGCTCACCTCCTTGTAAATGGACTCATTGAAACGGCCTTGTTGAGCCTAAAAAGTTTCAAAAGTCATTGAAAGTTAATTTAAATAAACTACCTTTCGAAACTTTTTACAGTTTGGAAGTCCACCGCTGCTGGACGCTGTAGAGTTACTTGCAAAAGAGAGCATTTGAGAAGGACGCTCAAGATTTGTGTAACTGATCATCAAATCCTAAACAAATGAAACAATAAAATACTCGTAAAAGAACACCCACCATTTTCTCATGAATCAAAGAAGCTTCTTTTCGTTCCCGTTCTTCGATTTTTTGAATTTGTTGCTAAAAATTCATTCGAGAAAAAAATTGCAGCAACAAACTTGAGGCCCGGATACATCGTCTTCTTCCGTAGATTTCCCGCTACACATTTGAGCGCAAAGATTTTCCTGAATCAATGTTATTCCTAAAACAAAACTTCAGACTTACGAACTCCTTTTCTACTGCTTTGATATCAACTTTCTTTGGTGCCTAAAGTTAAAGTTTAATATAAAAGCAAAACAAGTTTGACAACCTTCCGTTTTATCTCTTTCTGTGGTTCGGGGCACACAAACTCATTGTCTTCAATCGTCTCTTTCTAAGATTGCTTTTTTGGTGTTTTAGATTTCCAAAAGTACCTCAAGACGACTTCGCTTTGCAGGTGGCGATTTCCTTCTAGGGTGACCCAGTTCAGTCTGAAACCAAGCGTTAACTCATAATCCAAATGGAAAATACCTTTTTTGGACTAACAGCCTGAAAAGCTTCATCTAGATTTCGAACGCTATGAGTGGGTGCTTGAGAAGTTGAAACTACCGGTCTAAAAAGTCAAAGTAGCATAATAAAAGTAACCCAAACCCGCTATCCAGTGGCACTGCAACGGCATCTTCCCCAGTAAATTTTGTCTCCATCACCATCTATAAAAAAATCTTTTAAATAGATTCAATGAAACGTCGTTACCTTAGCTTTTTTGCTGGGGTGTAGCGAAGAAAAATCATTAGAGCCTCCAGCACACAAAGTGTTGCTATTTTCTAAAACATTGAAATGTAATAACTAGTCAGAGCACTAACCTGACTCGTGTTTTTTCCGAAGGTTCGCTGCACGCATTTGCGCTCGAGATTGGACATTGCCGATTGTTTTAACTACCATTAACATTGCGTATGATGCTTTGTGTAAAAAAGTACCAGATCTCTGTGTTGTTCTGCTTGAAACGGCGGGTGCCATAATATCGTCATCATCATCGTTAACAAATGAAGAGAGGGCTCAAATTAATATTCAACAAAGAAGAGTCAATATTACTCACTTCCATAAGGATTTGTAGTAGAGCATTTTCTAGATGAATTCGGAGTTTCTTTTAGCGGCGTCATACTTTGTTGCGAACGTTGAGAACTAATAATCGCTTTGATTAAGTTAGGCAAGTATAGCAATAATACCGTCTCGGCGTTTCGTTGATTATCATAAACTCATCATCCGAATCATTGGGATCTACTGTTTTTCCACCCAATAACTTGGAGCGAAGATTTTGTGTTGAAGTGGAGCTTTTTTGGGTTATCGATCTAAACATCGTTTGAAATTATTTAGAAGAAAATCCTTTACCTTTGTGTTTCTTCAGCTAACGTGTTTCCAAAATTGAATTGGCTGACTCGTTGAGTGGGCGCTTGGAAAAAGTTCGTAATTTTGCCCTTGGATGTGGATTTACGAGTTTGCTGACTCGGTTCTTTTGGTGGAGCTCCCTAAAATAACTTAAAACTGTCATTGTTAATCCTGAAAAACCTCGACGACGAATGTGAATACTCCGACGGTAAACTCATCCTTGTGCTTCAAAACCCGAGAGCCTTTCAGCACAACTTCATCATCGATCAAGGTCCCATATGCGCTTTGATCGACGAGCACTAGATCATCCTAAATCCCAAAAATAATTTAAAAAGAAAACCAGTTTTAACTACCCCACGAAGTTCAAGTATTGCATGAACTCTGCTTACGCCAGCAGCAGCTATTGGAAGATTTATTTTGCATTGAGCTGGGTCTCTCCCGATCTTCAGCGAGCCACTGTTAATTGTATGAATCCCTAGATGAGAAAGCGTTCACATTCCGACAGTAAACTCACTTTTCTGGCCATCCTGTTCCTTTATTTTGTACATAGACCATACAAACAGGAGCAATCTCCCTAAGCAACAACCATAGCCAGGAAATTAACAAAATGCCTTTCTCTTCTAATTTACAGTAGAAACATGTGGTGTATCCAGCGTGTTTTTGAACACTACATTAAGAACAATTTATTGATTAAATCAGTAATAACAAATCAAGCACTTAGAACTGAATCACGGCGTTTCTCGATTTCTTCTGTCCACCCAATTCGAAATGTTTGCAACGCTTGATGGCCAATTGCTTCTTGTGCTTACAGTCGGTGCACTCCATTCGCAACACGATCTTCTTTGTAGTCTTAGCCTTCTTTCGGAAAATGGGCTTCGACTGTCCTCCAAATCCAGATTGTTTACGATCGTATCTCCTCCTTCCTAAAACAAATATTCATTACCGTTATTCAAATTTCAAGCAACAGCCACGCGGTTACCTAATTGTTTTGGTTCACTATCTACTCAAGTTTATAAAATCTACTGATTTTTCGAATTTCTTAGGCACTCTTGACCAATAAAAGTGATCCCAGCAGATTCATCAAACAATTCTGCTAACTCCGCTTTTGCCATTAAAAACTATAACGTTACCCTGTATCCTAGGCATTTTGTTTGTGCAAAGCTTGTTTGAAAAAAACAACACCAAAAGCTATCTTGCATGAGAGTTTGCTTTTAGCAATGACTCAATGAATCTTTGTGGCTTTAGTATACAAACACCCTAAATGTCCCATCAATAGTCGATGAAAACGTATGACACATAGAGGAAAGATTCGTTTCTCCACTTAAGACTAGCATCAAAACCTGCATGTTCTCACAAAAATTTAGGCGGGATACACTTCCAAATGAAAAGTTACCTTGCGCGAATGTAGACTCCTTTCCTTTCTTGTATTGGGTCACCTTGTGGTTGGTGTGTTTGCGGCATTTGCCGTCGCAGAAAGTCCTGCGCGCCTTGGGAACGTTGACCATTACCTGGAAAAATTAAAAATTAGTCTGTTATTAGTAAAAAGTAAAAACAACAATAAAGAAGAAAAAATGAAAAGAGAAAATGAATTTCGCCAAAAACGAGCCTGAACGTTTCGCGACGCAGCGGGTGTACGGTAGAAAGGGCGCAATTGAGAATGGCCTCTTTCTTTGATTTTTGAAAGTCCTTAAAAAAGTAGTTAAAAAGTATCATTTTTTTGTTATTACTATTAGCCCAAGTTTTAAACGTTTGCTTTAGATGTCGACGGATCAAGGACCACTTTTCTCTACAAACGATACGTTACGAATGTTGGCTGAATCGGCTGCTCCTTCAGAAAGTTCGTTTAACTTCTTTTTATGATTTAGCAAAAGCTTGACGTTTTTCTTGCCTCTTCCTTGTTAATCATTTTATTTAAGCTCGAAGCGACAATGAAAATGCAGCAAACGCCCATCTTGACGACGATGAAGTAATTCTCGATATGAGCGACCGGGAAAAAGGTTTTCCTACTTTGTGTAAAAACTACTCAACTTGTAGTTTTCAACTTGTAGCTTTAATTTAAAAGAATAGCGCTAAACTTTGGTGAAAACTGTTATTCACGTATGTACTTTTAGCAAACGAGATGCTTATGGCAAAAGAATTGAAGAATCTGCAATTTGAAAATCCGGGTACAAATCAAGTTCTTGCTGAGTATGGCTCTATTGGCACCTCAAGAAGAAAACGAGCAGTAAGACGTAAGTTTTGGCTGGAAAATAGTTTTCACATTAAAATTGAAAGTTGATGGCTTGCTTTTACCTAATCCCTGACTATTTATATAGAGAAAAACGAGCAAAGAACGGAACGCAAAGATCCATACCACGATGAGAAAGGTTTAGATACGCTTATTCTTTTGTAACACTCAAGTTTAGGAAAATTGGTTGTCAACGGAGAACGTTTCACATTATGTGACTGTTTGCGAGCTGCCTGTTCGGGTTGTCATTGGCCTTGTCCAAGATGTGGGTCGAGACGTTGCGGCCCCGTTTGTCAAGTCAACAGGTATTATTATCGTTTACGACAAAACAAATAAACTTAGGACATTTGCTTATCAAGAAATTAGCGATCCGTATGCAAATGTACATCACGAGAATCCATTTATCAACGATCATTAGCTTCTAGTAAAAACGTTTTAATGATACGGGTATTTTTTGTCTTTCTTAATCATTTTTTGGGTACTTATTTTTGTTGTTTCATTTTGAAATTTGAAGTACAATTTAATTGCAAATTTATCGAGTTCGAAAATAATAGAAAAAATAAAATTCCGGTAACCTCGATGAAAAGAATTTGTTTTCTCGCTTCTTGGTTTAATCTCGCTTCGCTTTAGCTAGAGTTGTTGTGGTTGTTTACTAAAAATAGAATTTTTAGTCTCCAAAGCTATTTCCCAAATTAGTATGAGCAATTTCGTCAAATAGTCGCCAAAAATTTCTCACCTGAGCGGCACCGACGGGATGAACATACGAGGACTGAAACAAAAACATGAAAAATGCCAAATCGTTAAAAAACTCATTTATTTGTAACGAAATCTTTTTGCTCGCGCTCGCTTTTCTTTTCAGGTGTCTAAAAATAATGATAAGGTTTAAAAAGATCAGAAGCTAATCTTCTAATAGGTAACCAAGTCACAGACAGATAAAGAAAACCAGAGGCTGAGGAATATTTTCGTGGCGGCTCTTTTCACTAAAATAACACCATAAAACATTATTGTTTTTGAATACGTACTTCAGAATTTTGTTGACTTCTAAATCCCCAGCTTCTGTCGTTGTCGTGGTGTTTCCCTTCCATTTCTAAACCGAGTGCTATGATAAAACAAGTCAGTCATCAAATTTTACCGCTGATAAAAAGGGGTCGGTGATTCGGACTAAACAAAACCAATTAAGAGGAAAACACCTTTTGATCATTCAATGCTGATTTCAAACCAGTTAAAGTTTTTATTTCCAACCAAAAAGTGACCTTAAATTCGGATGGTGGTGGCGCTCTGGACGGTTTTCCTTCCTAGATGTCTGAAAATTAATGCTCTACAAACATCAAATAACAAAATAGCATTAGCTTAATTCGGTTTATAAACAAAAAGATACAAACCTTTTTGCCTCCACCACAAATGATCAACATCGGAGCCAACAAGAAAAGCGATGAGAGCACATCACAAACAAATAGCACCAGAAGACGATGCAAATTTGCTAAAGCTCGAATTACATAAAAACCGCCCAAAAACACAAACCCAAATCAGACTCACAAAATTCATTTCGATGCCAAATACAGAAGCGGTCGCGAAAATCAATGTAGAAATGAGGAAAAAAAACTACCTCGTTGTTTTTGCAAGGGCAAGATAAGTGCAAATTCCCAATTTTTTCAATGTCAATGTTATGAAGACTGTACTTTGAGCTGTTTTCTAGCAAATATCGACTTTTATTCAAACAAAACATAAGCGCGCAATTAAAATAAACGATACAAACACCTTTTTACAAAAGTTAAGCTCTTAATAGATGAAGATCACAATTTTTAAAAAACAGCAATGCTTATTTAATCGTAAAATCATAATTAAAGAATAAATGCAACGAATCACCGTGATCAGGAAGTGCCGATTTTAGCTTGTCAGCATCACATCTTATCAACTCGGAGAGGTTCTTCCCAACATCCGAGATCATCAGTTTTTGAGCCAAAGTCTGAAATTAACGATGATCCAGCTCCGCAAACAAAAATTATACCTTGTTGAACTTCGGCAGTTTTTCCGATAAGTGACGTAAAAGAGTTGTATTTAGTTTGCCATTGTTTCGATTCGTTTGATCATCTAAATGGTCACGTCTTTATAAAAAATATCTAAATTACCATCTTCATTCACATCGTCACCACGAAGCGCTATTGCTTTTTCGATATCCGGATCGGAGGCATTAAGCTGTATTCCTTGATTTAACTATCATAACAAATCATTACTTTGAGATCAGCAAAATATTCTGCGGAGTTTGTCGGTGACATTGACCAGATTAAATGAAGTTTTGGAAACGATCGTACCAAAGTACACAATTGTCGACGAATTTCTCGGCAATTTCTTGACATTTCACCCTAAATACCCATTGTTTTGACAAAATTTCAGTAAACCTGAAATGGCCCTCCATTGACGATTTTTAGCTCAAAACGCATGTTTGACTCAATTAACAAAAAGGCCGATCCATAATGTCTGAGCATCTAAAGGACAATTTTTTCTCGACCTTCACAAAAGCAATTTACCTGTTCAGTTTGTTTAAACACACGACCGCTTTGCAAAGATTGGGTCAAATCATCGAGAGCTTTTCTTTCAACGGTCATTCCCGGCGACAAAACGTAATCACCAACCTGAATAAGTCAAAGATTATTATTAGCTTTAAGGATTTAAAATAGACCTCGAGTGTTGCAGCCACCACATCATAGCCCTTTTTGTATAAAATCGTTGGCAATTCACTGTTAAATTCTCGCATATCAACGATAATCTAAACAATGGATTATTGTAATACAAATATTCCTTTTACTTTGGGTGGAGGCAATGTTCCTTCCTCAAATCCACCGGCATTCAAAGTCGAAACCGATAGTCTTGGGGCTTCTTCTCTGATTGTATCGTACTCTCTACTGACTAGCAAATTCTAAATCAAAAGTTTAACTTATGCACAGGTTTTCGTTACCTCGACTTCATTTCTCAAATTTGAAAAAGCTTCATTTTCTCGACTCAAGAGGCTTAGATATCTAAAAAAATTTTCAGTGCAAAACCTTTTACGGACCTCTCTTCCTCTGTCGATTCCGCATACTGTAACAAGTAAAAATAAAGACAGTATTCACTATTGAGTGCATGATATAGCTAAAAGGCAACAGTTTCAATTTTCTCGTGGCATATGTCGTTACCTCAACTTGTCTTAAAACAGCAAGATCCGTATTGTACATAATGATTACAACTGGTTTCACATTTTGTAAAGCCCTTATAGTGTTGTATCGATCACTCCCAGATGAATTCATAACGTAAATCGGGAACTAAAAAAGATAATTTCTAAAAAGATCACTTCATTTCACTTTTTCATACTCTCCCAATTTGAGCATGCTCTCAGTTAGTGATAAGTCCTCTTCCTCTTTCACTTCATTTCCTTTTTCTGCAAAAGTGTTCGATGGACCGGGCTCTCCGACCTGAAATTGGTTTGCTAAAGGGAAACTTGCAGATGTTGTCAAGAATTGCTAGCAAATAGGCTTTTTATTTATTTTTCATATATCTGTCTACTCTATTTGCAGGATACCTAGCTGTTAGGAGTTTAAAAGCTAGTATACATGGTCATTTATAATATGCTGTTGCTTGCATTTTAAAAACTCGATGCACAATTTTCTCAGTTTTTGAAATCAATTGAATGATTTCTTTCCACGCATATAATAACAACTTTTAAAAGCTCATGAGATCAGCCCATTTCCCCCAGACAACCAGACACAAAATATAAACTTTTTCAACAATCTCTCCCTTTTTTGCGCATCGCATTTTTTTCTGTTCCAAATTGAGAGTTCTTTTTTGGGAGTCCAATTTCTGCTCGGCTGGCGCCCTGAAGGGCCTCTTTGCAGAAATCGATTCACTTTCAGCGGAGACACATTCTCTGTTCCCAGAATTCATTTTCGCTGACAATGACCAGACAACCTCTCAGCCGTTTCTTTTTTTCGATTCCCTAAAACACCTTTTGTTTGAAACCATTTACCCCCAATCGCTCAATGAACATGGGATTTCTCAAGAAACTTCTCGAGTCGGCTAAATAAATTTATTTACCAGACGCTATTATCCATTCACTGTTTCTTTTTCCAAAACGAAACTTACTTACAATTAGACTAGTACAGCCAATGAACTTTCGAGATATCTAATCTTTCTCCCAAAATAGAAAAAAGAAAAAGAAGAAAACGTTGTTTTGGCGGTATCGCATAAGGACATTTGATATGAAAAGAGAGCCCGATGCATTATATCACGCCATATACATTCACCGATCCACTCTCCTCCCACAAATACACACAAGACAAGATCGGCCGATCGTGGGAATGCAGAGATTGCCCTTTGCACTATTTCATCGCCTCATGTCTCAATTTCTTTGTCTGATTGTTTACTTTCCAACGTGTCATTCTTTCAGAAATGGCAAGATTAAACGGTCAAGCTAACGGAAACGGAGTCCATGTTACTAATGGAAAGCATCTCAATGGAAATGGATATTCTCATGATGCGCCTCACACCGAAATTGAGGTACAACTAGGAAATAAAATCAAAATTAAAACCACAATTCTAGCTCGAAGTCGAGTCACCATTCGTCAAGCACTTCGAGAATCATATGGAATCAACTTTCAACTACCGAAAGAATAGAATCGAGCGTTCAAGTCATGGATTGAAAGTAAAAACCCTAAGTTAACCTGATAATTTTTGAGTTAGGTGATTCCGGAAGTAATCGAATACAAGCTGAAAACAATCACAAAGAAGCAAAAAACTGGTTTGATGCTTGTGGGACTTGGTGGTAACAATGGATCAACATCTGTAAATCTCAAAGAAAAATCCATGTAAATAACATAAAACTCAGGTTGGATCTATGATCGCAAACCGGGAGCAGATGTCCTGGAGAAATCGCGAGGGAACACACAAGGCCAACTATTTTGGATCATTCACCCAATCGAGCACCATTCACATTGGATGGGATGGAAAAGAACAAGTAGATAAATTTCAAATCATTCGGAAAACAATGACTTTATAGGTGTATGTACCATTCAACGAAGTAATACCAATGCTCCGCCCTCACGAACTCATTATTGATGGATGGGATATCAACAATGCCAACTTATACGAAGCTATGTGCCGAGCAAAGGTTGAGCTCCAACTAAACTTTTAAAGTATTTGAAATTTAGGTCTTCGAACCCGAACTAATTGATCAATTGAAGCCCTATATGGAGCACATTGTACCAAAACCGTCGATCTACTATCCCGATTTCATTGCCTCAAATCAAGGTTTCAAAATTTCAAAAGTTTCCAACAAAGATATTTCAGGTGATCGAGCAAACAATGTCATTCCCGGAACCAACAAGCAAGAACATTTGGAGTTGATTCGCAAAGACATCAGAGAGTTCAAGAAAACAAACGATTTGGGTAGGAAAAACGTGCCAACTGATAAGCTCTCTTGTCTTCAGATTGTGTAATTGTTCTCTGGACGGCAAACACTGAAAGATACACGGATGTGAGAAGTGGTTTGAATAGCACAGCCGATGAAATTCTTCGGTCTATCGAGAAGAATGTTGATGAGGTTTGACTAAGGGAAAGATTCACAAAACGGCTAGTTTCAGATCTCTCCATCGAATATCTTTGCAGTGGCTTCAATCCTCGAAGGAGCCCACTACATTAATGGTTCTCCACAAAATACTCTTGTTCCGGGAATAGTTGAGCTTGCTGGCCAAGTACAAATAGAAAAACTATATCTAAACATAAGTGAGTTTAGCACAAAGTTTTCATTGGTGGTGACGACTTCAAATCGGGACAGACAAAACTCAAATCGGCCCTTGTGGATTTCTTAGTTTCTTCAGGATTGAAACCCGAAAGCATTGTTTCCTACAATCATCTTGGTAACAATGACGGGAAAAATCTTTCTGAGGTAAAGAAAAAACGCTGGAAACCTTTATCAAAGTTTTATAGGCTCGTCAATTCCGTTCAAAGGAGATCTCAAAATCGAACGTGGTCGATGACATGGTGGCGTCTAACAAAATCCTCTACCCAGATGGCAAAAAGCCAGATCACTGTGTAGTGATCAAGTAAGTTTGCAAGCACCACATTCAATATCCGAACCTTACAGATACGTTCCATTTGTTGGTGACTCGAAAAGAGCAATGGATGAGTACGTCTGCTCAATATTTATGGGCGGCCGACAAACTTTTGTCATCCATAACACTTGCGAAGTAAGACTGGGGAAAGAATGTGAAAACATCAAAACCTAGGACTCGCTCTTGGCCACCCCACTCATTTATGATCTCACAATTTTGACGGAGCTAGCAACAAGGATCTCATATTCGGTGAACGGTTCAGAATGGCAGCAATTCCATGAGGTAAACCTTAAAAAATTTCTAATTTCCAAAAAAAACAATTTACAGGTTTTATCATTGCTCTCTTTGCTACTCAAAGCCCCAGTTGTGCCCCCAGGCACACCAGTCTCAAATGCTTTCATGCGCCAATATGGCTCCATCACCAAGCTAGTAACGGCATGTGCTGGTGAATTGATTCAAATTAATAAAAATCCAAGCAACCCAAATCTAGGTATCGCCTCCGACACCGAACTGCAACTTGAATTCTTCACCAAACTCTCTTAAGCCAAAAATAGTTATGATCTTACTATTTCACCTATGAGCTGTTACACATGTTGTTCAAGATTTTTGCCGTCAGTATTCAATAAATGTTACCTTTTCTCTCGTTTCCGTCAGCTTCTTGTATCGTATCACACCAAAATGTTCAAGATTCTTCTGCTTGACAGCTATGAGACTTTCGGCAACCTTCTTTCTAAATATAAAACTAATTTTTAAAAGTCAAAGTAAAACTGGCCGCTTCTTTGCAACCCGAGCCGCTTCCTTCTGCTGCTTTTGAATGTTTTCAATCACTTCTTTGCGAGTAGAACTTCCGGGATTCTAAATTCTTTTAAACAATCAAACAAATTAAAGCAAAGTCTCACCGCTTCATCGTCAAAAAACGAAGATACTTGATCAGGATTCCAGATTGGTTTAATAGGAGCCTCTGTAGTTGTTGGACGCACGAGTCTTTTTAAAACCGACTAAAACTTGCAAACATAGATTTATACTAATCGATTCACCTTTGTTCGATCGATTCCTTGTCTAATTAGTCCTACCACTTGTAACTGGGCTTGTTCATTCGAAGTTAAAATCAAAACACGTGGTTCTATCAAACTTTTGAAACTGTGTTGTATTAAACTAACCATTATTTGGAATTTTTTCTTTTGGAATATGAAGCTCTTTGATCTCATCCAAAACAGATTCTAATGATGTCCACTTAGGCGGGGCTAAATACGGTGGGATTCAAAAACAAAAATCACACGAACCAACAAATTCGGGACGATTGGATGCAAATGAGGCAAGCTCCTGGGCAATGGCCTTAAGTCGCGCTCCAGTTGGAGTAAACGACCATCCAGTGGACTCTTCCAGGGCCTAAACTAATAAGTTTAGATGTAATAATCACATATAAACAACTTATTTATCGTTTCCAAGCTCGTTTAGCTTATACAGCACTGTACATGCATCAAGATTCTCTGCCGTCCGCAAAAGGTTTCGCAAAAATTTTAAATCCGACAAAAGCCGCCGTTGATGATCCGGTAAAAAAGATCTGCAATGCAAATGATTACGAATTGTGATTATAGATATTCTATTACCCCTTGTACTGTAATCTCTTCTCGAGTTCTGTCGTGAAATAAACACCAGCGTTGAATGAATCACTCTCCTCTTCTTCTTGATTCTAAAAATGAATAGTTGGCAAAACAGAGAAATGTCTCACTTTGCTTCTAACAGAAGATTGTTTCAATTCCCGAAGGCAAACTTTTAACAAATCAGTTATCAGCGAAATACAACGTCGTGTGCCTCCCGACAAATCAACCGTTATTTCGATAGACGACGGCTAAAAAGAAACGTTTATTAAGCCATTTGTGATCATTTGTATATGTTTAACCCCATACTGCTTACCGGAGCACGCGCAAAGGTTTCGACAACCGACGTATCGTGTCGTGGGAGAACTTTTCGAACTTTTCGAACAAAAAGGCGATCAACGAGTCTGTAAATATAAATTTAACCAGCTTCCCCATTTGTTTATTTTTCACTTTTACTAAAATTCCAAACTCAAATACCTTTGTAATTGTCCTATTCCAGCAAAATACATCGGCATATCTGTAAAGCCTTTCACATGACCTTCCGGGTTCTTTTCACGGTATAATCGAAGTATAAACGTTTCTTGAAAACTATTCAAAAGCCTAAATAGAAACAACGGTTTAGCAAACGCAAACGATATTACTGATGTGATCGGTAAACGAGTATAGCTGCCACCATCTTTGCTGGAACACGATTTGTGAGAAAATCCACCATCAAAATGCGAGAAGTGATGAATTGTACGCCACCTTGCAAATACAACGCCTCTCTAAAAGATTTCATGTTAGTGTAAGCAAAGCACTCATACCGATCCGAGGCAAGCACTTCTGCTTTTATCGCTTTTGGAGGAGCAAACTCGTTGGCTGGAAGCGAATGCAATTTGGAAAGGAAGAAAGCTTCGTCTTCTTGTGTAGTGTTGATGACGAAAGCGAGAAGTTTTCGACTCGAGTACAACATTAGAAAGTTCAAAAATAATCTTTCGACGCCAAGTCCACTAAATTGATAAAAGATTAAAAATAAAATTGAAAAAATCTTCCCCAACAACATTGTATTGTATTGAAAGCTTTAAACCTTGCTATCACAAATAAAATATCTTCGTTCATATGTTCAACCATGGCCATATGTTCGTGCTCGAGTACCTCTATTGCTTCCGGCAGGGGCTACATTGAAACAGTTATCATTTTTTTTTTCAAAATAGTTACTTCGATTGCCGGAATGCATTGACGGCGCTCTCCGCGAGTTTCTTCAACTTCATGTTTAACGTAAAAGCAATGCTAGTTTCCGAAATTTTAAACTTTACTTTTCCTGGATCAAAAACCGCGTCCATTTAAGCTTATAGGAAGTTTTCATCAACTTGGAAAAGCTTAAAATGTGCGTTTAATCGAGCTGTGTGGTTTTACACCCAAGAGTATCTCAAAGGTGTTCAAACGCGTTACGTACCAGTAAAAGAATTTTTTTTTATTTCAGACCACAAGGTTATAACAAAAATAAAAACTGAAGGACCAGATCAGAAAAAAAATCAGAAACATGAAATCCATGGAAACAAATGCTTAAAGATAACAACTAAATTTTAGCTACGGCTTATCGACAAGCACTAATCCACTATATGATCGAGGTTGCGGAAGTGTTGACTAAATAAAGTGCTCATTTTTAAAGAAAATCCAAAGTACCTCTATTACTTGCCATCTTCCGGCAAACTCTGCCCATTGTCCTCTACCCATATCCATTGTCAATGTTTCGATTGAATCCAATAAATGAGAATCTCCCTCATCGCCACCGAAAACCATTAAAGAGCTGCAATAAATTTATTATGTTTACTCAAAAGCTTGATTACCTATTCACAAAAAGTACACCCGCATTTCATCTTGGAGCGCTCATGTTTGGAATCAATGCCCAATCATCATCTACCCCAGGATTATAGATCTATTTTTTCTGAATAATTTCATACAAAAATGTTACAAACCTCAACGGTATCTCTCACAGTTGCTCCCTCGTGACCACCCGCAGCAACCATTGAACCATTAAGAGAACATACTGCAGCTCCAGATCGAACCTAATGCAATTTTAAGAAAAGCTGTAAATTAAAACTTACCTCGCGTAATGGTTCCCCCAGCACGCCAACGATTTGCTCGCAGATCAAAAGACATACCGTATTCAAACAATGTCTACTACTGTGACCATCGTATCCGCCAACCGCGTAAACACTAGAGCCAACAGACGGCACGCCAACCGACGATCGACGCGTTGTCATCATAACATTTTCTATCACAAACTAATACCTCATAGGTGGTTCAGAGATCCATTGATTTCTAAATTTTTTTGTTTGGAAAAATTATTTAAAAACAAAATACATATGGGCAATCAAAGTAACCAACCTAACAGTGTCATACACATCAACAGATTTCATTCGCTGAGCTCCATTAAAACCACCAACAGCATAGATATGACGATCGATTAGGGCAACACCACATCGACAACGTCTTTGCGATAGAGGGCTCACTAAAGCCATTTTTGGAATAAAATTGATTGAAGACTAACAAGAAGTCCATAGGCATTGTAGTTGGATCATAGGCGTCAACATTATGAATTGTCTTTGGTGCCTGACCTCCGACGACTATCACAATCTACAAACCACAATATTTTTGAATCATACACTAATCAAACCTTGTTCGATCCAATTTGTTGTCGGGGTCGGACAAACCGCTCACGAAGTGATGAGGCAGATGGGGAAAATCGCCCTCGGCGTAGATGTACTTTACTTGCCTCCAGAAGAATACCCTTAAAGAAATGTTAGAATAGAAAATCGTTAACAAGTTTATCTACCTTGCACTCTTGCTGATTTTTAATAGCTGGCTCATTGAAAACTGTCTCCGCTGGAAAGTCTGCGGAGCAGAGGCCAAGTCTCACTTGCGACAACAACCTAAGAAATGAAGATTATGCAATCGAACAAGACGTTTGTATTTCCCAAAAATCTTTACGAAAATCACTCACTTTGGTGTATATTGTTCGCGTTCTTCTGGCGCTGCTTGGATCCATCTGATGGCCGTTCGATAAACCTCTTCTTCACCGCCTTCACCACAAACTAGACGATCATCCGAGATTAAACTGCAGAATCGTTCAAAATCCAGCGCTAAAAGCTCATCAGAATCTACCAGATGACTGGAACGCAATATTTTTGGAAGAAAATGAAAACATACCAAAAATTCTTGTAAATATAATTGCGAGCAGACGCTGCTAGTTGAGTACAATTATAAATGCAGGCAAAGTCGAGCAAAGATATGACATTTCCAAGCGTTATTATATCAATCAAAAAGCTAAACGTTCGCTTTTTCGGTGAACCTTTAGTCCATACTTTGCACAAGCATCTTTAACCGAATTTAGTTGCAACATCAAGGCTGTTGTTAGAAGGGCTTAAATTTAAATAAAGCTTTGCTTTGACAATATACGAATTTCCCACTTGAATTTATTGTGAGTTGACCTGTGTAAATAAAGTCGATCAATTGGCGAAGAGCCCGAAACCAATAAAAAGCAATGAAATTCAAAGCTATCAACACATAGTGTACATATTACAACTTGTGTTAACTTTCGTACCTCTTCATCCATATCATGTAATTCTACAGTGCTAGCTTTCGATTCAATCATAGTGGAAATTGCAAACATGGCACAAAAATAGGGAGATGTAGAAGATAGAATAACCCTAAAATTGCAGTTGGAGAGCTGGCTAAAAGTCTTACTTGTGTGCATAAATTGGCGAGCCTTTACAAAAGTTCGAACGAGTTTCAGGTCTGTCAAGCGAGACTCGTTTCACTGGTACCAGTGAAACGTCACATAATAAACGGTCACTAAAACTTTGTTGAATCAGAATCGAATTTTAAAAGACCTTCTCAATGAATTAAGGGTTCTTTTCCAATATCGGGGGAGCGGAAAGAAAATCGGGGGAGCGAAAGGAAAATCGGGGGAGCAAATTTTGCCCCCTCGAAAAATGCATTTCTGGGACTTTTATTTTAACTGCAACGTTTTTTTTAGACTTTAACGACGATGCGCTTCTCCGATATTTGTGCGTTCAAGGAATCGACGGCAATCGATTATTTCGTCACCAAAGGAGTCATCCAGTCGTGGATTTGCAACTGTGGCGAATCGATGAAAGTCCGCTCAAAGGGAAAAGATCTATTTCGCTGGGTATGTGAGACTTGCGCACGGCGAAATGTCCCCAAGCATTCAAGAGGAATTCGAGTCGATAACTTTTTGCAACAAAGCAAGCTCCCGTTTGTCACAATTTTAAAGTTCATACATCTATGGAGCCAGGGACTCACGACAATCAAACACTGTCAACAGGAGCTCGGCATTAGTGGCGACACCGTTGTTGAGTGGAACTACTAAACCGTTTAAAGACATGAACAGACGTCGACACGGCACCCACGGCACCATGGTGGATTCGTATATCGCTGAGGGATTGTGGCATCGCAATTTGCCTGCCGGAGTAAATGCATTCGAGTCGATCATGGAGGACATCGTCGATTTTTGGCCCGCAGGGGGGAAATGAATACAATCCCTTTTTACAGTTAATTTGTGATTGCTAGAAAGGTTTTGTTTTGGTTACTTTTGTTTTATTTTGCTTACTTTTCTTTTTGTTTTGGTTACTTTTGTTTTTGTTTTGGTTACTTCGCTTACATTTTTTTCGTTGTTATGATCAATTATACTATTAATGAATAAATTTTTAGGTAGCCATTTGTTCGTTCGGGATTGTGGAGCGTTCGGCAAAAAGAGAAGGCGGCCGATAGGGAAGGTAGAGGTATGTTTGGTGTTAGATATTTAAGTCACTTTTGTGATCTAATATAAAGGTTGTGAGAATAACGGGTAATTCGCGGATTTTATGGCAGTACTTTGGATAATATAGGACATATGTAGCGCTGCCAAAAAATTTAAAAAAAAACGTTGCAGTTAAAATAAAAGTCCCAGAAATGCATTTTTCGAGGGGGCAAAATTTGCTCCCCCGATTTTCCTTTCGCTCCCCCGATTTTCCTTTCGCTCCCCCGATAATCCTACCGCTCCCCCGATATTGGAAAAGAACCGAATTAAGCTGTTCGAAGAAACTTGAGGTGTGAGAGGTGTCGACGTAAAGTTTTGGTGGTGGCGAATTACTAGCCTTAAGGAGGTTTTTAAGGTTAAATGATTGGTTCATGTTTGCTTGAATATGTACCTCTTCTCTATCGGCGAATTGACCGCCAAGGTCGCCCTCAACCTTCTCCATTCTTAATCACGATAATCACACTCCACTTTAGCTCCCATCAACAATATGAGCGCACGTGTACACCCCAGCTCAATTCCATTTTCTTCTGAAAACCATTTATGAAATACACAAAAACAATACAATTAAAGGAAGAACACCACGTTTCACAGGGCAAAGGGGTTTTCACAAGTGACCAATAATTCCACAAATACGATATGGAATTAGACGCAGAGCGGAATAAAACTCGAGCCACAAACATAACAATCAAACAAACTCAAAAATCAATTAAAGACAAATAAAAAACTATTGAAATAGATTTTTACGTGCGGCACTTCAATCCCACCAATCTTTGTTCTGGGTGGGTTTTGGGCGGAAGCCGTTCCTTGAAGACTCAGCTAAAGCAAAAATTAAGAAAAGACAACTACGTTGAAACCTGGTGAAGGCTCATAGTGGCTTCCGGAATTTTGAATCCGATAATCGCGATGCGCATATTGCGTGATCCACCTCGGCTTCCACGTCCACGCGAATTTCCTTGTCCATAGCGACTAGCATCTTTCGAAATCTACAACATTCAAATGAATAGTCAAGAAAAGAGTCAGCAAACCGTCGAAAGGAACCCTTGATTAGCTTCAATCATCAGCTTGATAAGGTCAATGCCTCGTTGCCTAAAAACAGATACGACTAACTTCTACAGCAGAGTATTATCACACAAACCTCCAGCATCAAGTAGGTCCATCAAACAACAGAGCTTCTCCTTATCCTCGACCCCAACGACCTTCTGTATGATGTTCGCTGACGTTGAGCCCACGCGTCCGACAGCCAAGAATACGTAATTGGGCACCAAAAATCTTGAGCCAGAATCTGAGAAAATATTATTAATGCTTATCGAAAAAAGCTCACCTGAATTTCCTTCGGGAACATAGCAGAAAACATAGCAGTCACTCGATACCTCTTCTCTGGCATAGTTGAGAGTTCGACAACCTAAAAGCAAACATATCAATGAAATACATGATGTATTAAAACTCACTTGCCGAATTTGAGGCTCAAAGCCCATGTCTAGCATACGATCAGCTTCATCAATCACCAAATAGCGACAACCAGTAAGTCCAACATATCCTTGTTCCATCACATCAATAAGACGTCCAGGAGTGGCAATAAGAATGTGGCAACCAAGCTAAATAACAACAAATATAACGACTTTTTTTTGCAAGTGTATTTTGAGTTCCTAAATCTTTACCCGAAGTTTGCTGATTTGTTGTTGATAATTTTCGCGACCACCGTAGAGAATTGCCAAAGTTATGGGTGTACGATAGCCAAACTTTCTGCACTCATTATAGATCTAAGATGAGAAGTTGTCAATTCCATGCATTAAATCTTTTACTTGAAGTGACAATTCACGAGTTGGCGAAAGGACAAGAGCACAGGGAAACTGTTTCTTCCGACCATTGCCTCAAGGAGCTTCGCGATAAACTGCTTCAGGTCCGTTCTAAACAAATACACATAATTATTTGTATGAAGCTATATATAAACCTGAAGAATGTGGTTGATCAATGGAACTAGAAAGGCAGCAGTCTTCCCGGATCCAGTTTGCGCGCAAGACATCAGGTCTCGATTATCCATTAATGCCGGAATGCTGTACTTCTGCACGGGTGTCGAACGCCCATAACCCGACAATTTGATATTTTCATTGACCCATTGGTGCAACTTCAGCTCAGAGAACTAAGATGCGCGATCACATTTGAAATACAAAAATAATATACCAAAGTCGCAGGTTGTGGCACATTTTCACCAGTTGCTTCAACGGGAATTTCATCATAATTGTTGAAATTAATCCCCGAGTTCATTCCTAAGAAGAGCTCCGGTTCCGAGCTTTCATCTAAACTAGTAATAAATTATTTTTGTACATTCAACGTCTAACATTCAAATCTAGTACCTCTTGGAAGCTGCTGGCTCCAGCAGGCAGGCTTTGAATGAAATATTGTGCATTCCTCTTCCTTAGTGCCCTCCGTGGCGGCGACCGCTGTTGTCTCCACTTTCACGACGTTCACGTTGTCTCTCATCACCCTTTTGAACTTCATTTCGTTTCCATGGACGCACATACTTTCCTAAAGTTAAGCATAAATCTCCCAAAATGTACGTTTTAAATCGTACATCGAAAAAACTAGCAGCATTTTCCTATTATACTAAATTAAAAACTTACCATTAGCAGCGCTGTTGCTTGCGCCCGAGCTTTTAACATTTTCACTCATCTCTGCAAAATGAAAATCTTAAGAAAGTTGCAGAGAAGAAAACACTGCCAAAAAATAAAATTCACATTCACATTCACAAATTCACAACCTAAAGGGGGTGGGACAAATGCGACCTTTTTTTGCGCACCTGGACATTTGCGCACCTTTTTTTTTTGCTGGAAAAGGCCTTAGGAAAGGCCGTAGAGCTTTAAAAAGGTTCCCACATAGGGGAATCATATGCGTAGATTCCGAATTTCGACAAATTAGAACTCGCTGATACGTCAAATTTGGGCTAAAAGGCAAAAACTGCGGAAAAGCGTTAAGTTGCGTAGTTTTTGCCTTTTAGCCCAAATTTGACGTGTCAGCGAGGTCTGATTTGTCGAAATTCGGAATCTACGCATACGATTCCCTTCTATGAAAACATTTTTGAAGCTCTACGACCTTTCCTAAGGCCTTTTCCAGCAAAAAAAAGGTGCGCAAAAAAAAAGTCGCATTTGTCTCACCCCCCAACCTAAATATCACAACTTTAATTCTACTGTTTTATAATCTTCAAGGCCCCGTTTATTGAGCTCTAACTAGAATTGACTATCGAGCTCTCGATAAGAGTAGTATTTATGACATATATATGACGCCTCTGGCACACCCATATACCCAAAAATCCCTCACTCAATTTTTACCCGCTTTTTAGCTATTTTTAATTCTAAAATACGCAAAAAGCCTAAAAAATGTTATAAAAGACTAATTTTTTCAGCAAATTTGCAGTCAATATGTAGTTAGGTTCCTATTTACATGCGACTTAAAGGGACTGAGGGAAAGGGAAAGCGCTTTAGAAAGCGCCGCGGGGCGCTTTCTAAAGCGTGGATGTCTTACCGTATCCCGCACAAATTCCCCATTTGCCATTCTTTTCATTTTCCTCCATTTTGTGGTGGAGTCGTGTGGTGTTGGGCGACTTTTTATTTCGACTCGCCCATAAGTTACCTTCCCCCTCCGTAAAATCTAGAATGTTTTTGTAGCGCGTTTTGAAAGTACTCGCTTGCCCTCCCTTCTTTTTATATAATTTGCCCATAGTTTGTTGTTTAGATTTCTAAAATGGTTTTTTTTAGATGGAAATCAAACTGTATGTCCATCTGCGAGATGACACGGGTGATGTTGGAGGCTTCAAGACTTTTACTTTTGGTGCCACGGTTCGCTTTTAATTTATTTAATCTTTAAACGGATTTATTTAGTCGACAGTAGACGATTTGATGGGACAAATCCGTGATGTCTTTCATATCCCTTTGCAACATCAAGAAGTTTACCTCGTTCGCGCTGGAACTGAAACTAAAAATGAAACACTGGAACAACTCAAAAGTGGTACTCTGCAAGAAGTAAAAGTGACGAATAAAAGCAATATTTATGTGGTAAGTTGAATCTTTTGTTTGACATTCCCTAGACTAGATTTTCGATTAAGACTTGAAAATTACATATTAAAGTGTGAATTTTTTTCTTTTCAGAAGCACGCAGATCTTCCTCAGTATCTGCAGTACAAAGCATGTGTTGAGAATGCAAAGAAGTTGAAGGGGGAAGAACAAACGTCAAATGCCGAAGATGCCATCAAGCTCCACATGCGATTGATGGAAAGTGGCTTTTTCGATGTCTACATCAGCTTCAACGCTTTTCGCTTGGAAAATCAGCATGGGATAGCCTCTTTGGCTGATGGAAGCTTGATTTTGATGAAAAAAGCCGTTAAAAGCCATTTTCGTGCCCAACACTACAAACTCAAGGACGCCAAGGACGAATCTGACTTCATTTGTCACTTTGAACCTCGACCGGACGATTGCGGAGGCTCTCGCATTAACACTCTTGCTTTTGTCCGGCTTCATGGAGAGGAGAAAGTGACCAAGTACAATGTGAAGTAAGATTTCTCTAATTACGAGCAATTTAATTATCACAATTTGTTTAGGTGCCATCACTATGGGGCTACGAGCGCGCGGCCAAAAGGGATGCCTCTTCAGATAAGGGAATTCTACATCTACAAACTGCTCGAATTGATCGACGTAGGACCGCATTCTCAATTCATTCTTCCAAACAAATGTGCTGGCAGCAAGACTTCCATGTAATAATCTTTACCTTTTTTCTCTTATTTACGTACAAATTTTAGGTACATCGCAACAAAGTGGAATGACGATTTTGTTTCCATCAAAGAAGAAGAAAATGTTAGCGTGGAAGTTCTTGTGCAACTTCTCTTGCTTGCCGCGTTTCTCTTTATTAATGATTTAAATCAAGATAATTGCGGTCAGTTGATTTCTAAAATATAGATTTTAATGGCTTAGGAAAAGAATAGTATTTTTTTATTTAGGTCACTGGAAAGGCACCAAGGACGCGGCAATCGTTGATTTTGACCCCAGCACGTACACTGACACAAATATTGAGAGTAAAACCCTCGACGATGTTCTATCGGCCCTCGACGATGCAGTTTACTTCGGTGCATTGCGAGACGTTCACATCACTACATTAAAAAAATTCGAGCCGGCAGAGCGTTTGGAGATGGCAAAGAAGTGTTTGAAGAAATGGGATCTGCTGTCCAAGATCGACATGGCCAATAAACAAATTATGACCGAGAAAAATCGAATGAAGGAGGAAGGACTTGACTTCAAAAAGAGTCCTACCGAAGAGCTTGATCGATACATCAGCGCTATCAAGAAGAACTTTCAAAGGGTAGCTGAAATCTTGAATGCTCAATGTTGAATTTTGTTTGAAAATTTATTTATGAATAAACGAGTTTTTAATTAGTTGAATTTATGTATGTTTTAATGTGAAAAACGATTCTATTCTTACGGTAGTTGAAAGTTGATTCCATATGATTCTCGAAGTGCTTGACGAATGGTGACTCGACTTCGAGCTAGAATTGTGGTTTTAATTTTGATTTTATTTCCTAGTTGTACCTCAGTTTCGGTGTGAGGCGCATCATGAGAATATCCATTTCCATTGAGATGCTTTCCATTAGTAACATGGACTCCGTTTCCGTTAGCTTGACCGTTTAATCTTGCCATTTCTGAAAGAGTGACACGTTGGAAAGTAAACAATCAGACAAAGAAATTGAGACATGAGGCGATGAAATAGTGCAAAGGGCAATCTCTGCATTCCCACGATCGGCCGATCTTGTCTTGTGTGTATTTGTGGGAGGAGGTGGATCGGTGAATGTATATGGCGTGATATGATGTATCGAGCTCTCTTTTCATATCAAATGTCCTTATGCGATACCGCCAAAACAATGTTTTCTTCTTTTTCTTTTTTCTATTTTGGGAGAAAGATTAGATATCTCGAAAGTTCATTGGCTGTACTAGTCTAGGTACTAGTCTAATTGTAAGTAAGTTTCATTTTGGAAAAAGAAACAGTGAATGGATAATAGCGTCTGGTAAATAAATTTATTTAGCCGACTCGAGAAGTTTCTTGAGAAATCTCATGTTCATTGAGCGATTGGGGGTAAATGGTTTCAAACAAAAGGTGTTTTAGGGAATCGAAAAAAAGAAACGGCTGAGAGGTTGTCTGGTCATTGTCAGCGAAAATGAATTCTGGGAACAGAGAATGTGTCTCCGCTGAAAGTGAATCGATTTCTGCAAAGAGGCCCTTCAGGGCGCCAGCCGAGCAGAAATTGGACTCCCAAAAAAGAACTCTCAATTTGGAACAGAAAAAAATGCGATGCGCAAAAAAGGGAGAGATTGTTGAAAAAGTTTATATTTTGTGTCTGTTTGTCTGGGGGAAATGGGCTGATCTCATGAGCTTTTAAAAGTTGTTATTATATGCGTGGAAAGAGATCATTCAATTGATTTCAAAAACTGAGAAAATTGTGCATCGAGTTTTTAAAATGCAAGCAACAGCATATTATAAATGACCATGTATACTAGCTTTTAAACTCCTAACAGCTAGGTATCCTGCAAATAGAGTAGACAGATATATGAAAAATAAATAAAAAACCTATTTGCTAGCAATTCTTGACAACATCTGCAAGTTTCCCTTTAGCAAACCAATTTCAGGTCGGAGAGCCCGGTCCATCGAACACTTTTGCAGAAAAAGGAAATGAAGTGAAAGAGGAAGAGGACTTATCACTAACTGAGAGCATGCTCAAATTGGGAGAGTTTGAAAAAGTGAAATGAAGTGATCTTTTTAGAAATTATCTTTTTTAGTTCCCGATTTACGTTGTGAATTCATCTGGGAGTGATCGATACAACACTATAAGGGCTTTACAAAATGTGAAACCAGTTGTGATCATTATGTACAATACGGATCTTGCTGTTTTAAGACAAGTTGAGGTAACGACATATGCCACGAGAAAATTGAAACTGTTGCCTTTTAGCTATATTATGCACTCAATAGTGAATACTGTCTTTATTTTTACTTGTTACAGTATGCGGAATCGACAGAGGAAGAGAGGTCCGTAAAAGGTTTTGCACTGAAAATTTTTTTTAGATATCTAAGCCTCTTGAGTCGAGAAAATGAAGCTTTTTCAAATTTGAGAAATGAAGTCGAGGTAACGAAAACCTGTGCATAAGTTAAACTTTTGATTTAGAATTTGCTAGTCAGTAGAGAGTACGATACAATCAGAGAAGAAGCCCCAAGACTATCGGTTTCGACTTTGAATGCCGGTGGATTTGAGGAAGGAACATTGCCTCCACCCAAAGTAAAAGGAATATTTGTATTACAATAATCCATTGTTTAGATTATCGTTGATATGCGAGAATTTAACAGTGAATTGCCAACGATTTTATACAAAAAGGGCTATGATGTGGTGGCTGCAACACTCGAGGTCTATTTTAAATCCTTAAAGCTAATAATAATCTTTGACTTATTCAGGTTGGTGATTACGTTTTGTCGCCGGGAATGACCGTTGAAAGAAAAGCTCTCGATGATTTGACCCAATCTTTGCAAAGCGGTCGTGTGTTTAAACAAACTGAACAGGTAAATTGCTTTTGTGAAGGTCGAGAAAAAATTGTCCTTTAGATGCTCAGACATTATGGATCGGCCTTTTTGTTAATTGAGTCAAACATGCGTTTTGAGCTAAAAATCGTCAATGGAGGGCCATTTCAGGTTTACTGAAATTTTGTCAAAACAATGGGTATTTAGGGTGAAATGTCAAGAAATTGCCGAGAAATTCGTCGACAATTGTGTACTTTGATACGATCGTTTCCAAAACTTCATTTAATCTGGTCAATGTCACCGACAAACTCTGCAGAATATTTTGCTGATCTCAAAGTAATGATTTCTTATGATAGTTAAATCAAGGAATACAGCTTAATGCCTCCGATCCGGATGTCGAAAAAGCAATAGCGCTTCGTGGTGACGATGTGAATGAAGATGGTAATTTAGATATTTTTTATAAAGACATGACCATTTAGATGATCAAACGAATCGAAACAATGGCAAACTAAATACAACTCTTTTACATCACTTATCGGAAAAATTGCCCAAGTTCAACAAGGTATAATTTTTGTTTGCGGAGCTGGATCATCGTTAATTTCAGACTTTGGCTCAAAAACTGCTGACCTCGGATGTTGGGAAGAACCTCTCCGAATTGATAAGACGTGATGCTGACAAGCTAAAATCGGTACTTCCTGATCACGGTGATTCGTTGCATTTATTCTTTAATTATGATTTTACGATTAAATAAGCATTGCTGTTTTTTAAAATTGTGATCTTCATCTATTAAGAGCTTAACTTTTGTAAAAGGTGTTTGTATCGTTTATTTTATTGGGTTGGGGAGAATGAGTCGGCGCCGAAAATCAAAAAAATGTGGGAGTGGGACAAATGCGACCTTTTTTTTGCGCACCCGGCCATTTGCGCACCTTTTTTTCCGCACCTGGCCCATTAGCGCACCTTTTTTCGCGTTTTAAAAAAGCTTTAAAAAGCTAATATTAACCAATTTCTATTCCAAAAGTTGTTTTTGTAGATAATTCTAGGGCGTAGAATCGAAATTTTGACATATCAGAGCTTGTGGAAGCGAACGGACGGAGTTATACAAAGAGAAAAATCGACCATTTTCTGTAATTTGACCTACCCGTTTTGTCTTTCAAATTGATTCCACACGCTCTGTTATGTCAAAATTTCGATTCTACACCCTCAAATTACCTGGAAAAACAACTTTTGGAATAGAAATTGGTTAATATTAGCTTTTTAGAGCTTTTTTAAAACGCGAAAAAAGGTGCGGTAATGGGCCAGGTGCGGAAAAAAAGGTGCGCAAATGGCCGGGTGCGCAAAAAAAAGGTCGCATTTGTCCCACTCCCAAAAATGTCTAAAACTTCTAGCAGACTTCGTCAAATAATATGCGTTTGATATCAGTAGAATGGTTAACTAATTCTCTACAAAATGACATTTAAAAGAAAATTCAAACAGCGCCTCCGCTCAAAAAAAAGCCATTTTTCACAAAAACTACAAACTGTCATCTAGAAAAAACCATTGGTGGGATCTTCCTGCAAATTGCAATAAGAGCTTAACTTTTGTAAAAAGGGTGTTTGTATCGTTTATTTTAATTGCGCGTTTATGTTTTGTTTGAATAAAAGTCGATATTTGCTAGAAAACAGCTCAAAGTACAGTCTTAATAACATTGACATTGAAAAAATTGGGAATTTGCACTTATCTTGCAAAAACAACGAGGTAGTTTTTTTTCCTCATTTCTACATTGATTTTCGCGATCGCTTCTGTATTTGGCATCGAAATGAATTTTGTGAGTCTGATTTGGGTTTGTGTTTTTGGGCGGTTTTTATGTAATTCGAGCTTTAGCAAATTTGCATCGTCTTCTGGTGCTATTTGTTTGTGATGTGCTCTCATCGCTTTTCTTGTTGGCTCCGATGTTGATCATTTGTGGTGGAGGCAAACAAGTTTGTATCTTTTTGTTTATAAACCGAATTAAGCTAATGCTATTTTGTTATTTGATGTTTGTAGAGCATTAATTTTCAGACATCTAGGAAGGAAAACCGTCCAGAGCGCCACCACCATCCGAATTTAAGGTCACTTTTTGGTTGGAAATAAAAACTTTAACTGGTTTGAAATCAGCATTGAATGATCAAAAGGTGTTTTCCTCTTAATTGGTTTTGTTTAGTCCGAATCACCGACCCCTTTTTATCAACGGTAAAATTTGATGACTGACTTGTTTTATCATAGCACTCGGTTTAGAAATGCAAGGGAAACACCACGACAACGACAGAAGCTGGGGATTTGAAGTCAACAAAATTATGAGGTACGTATTCAAAAACAATAATGTTTTATGGTGTTATTTTAGTGAAAAGAGCCGCCACGAAAATATTCCTCAGCCTCTGGTTTTCTTTATCTGTCTGTGACTTGGTTACCTATTAGAAGATTAGCTTCTGATCTTTTAAAACCTTATCATTATTTTTAGACACCTGAAAAGTAAAGCGAGCGCGAGCAAAAAAATTTCGCTACAAATAAGTGAGTTTTTTAACGATTTGGCATTTTTCATGTTTTTGTTTCAGTCCTCGTATGTTCATCCCGTCGGTGCCGCTCAGGTGAGAAATTTTTGGCGATTATTTGATGAAATTGCTCATACTAATTTGGGAAATAGCTTTGGAGACTAAAAATTATATTTTTTGTAAGCAACAACAACTCTAGCCAAAGCGAAGCGAGTGGAAAACAACTTCTTTTCAACGAGGTTACCGGAATTTTATTTTTTCTATTTTTCGAACTCGATAAATTTGCAATTAAATTGTACTTCAAATTTCAAAATGAAACAACAAAAATAAGTACCCAAAAAATGATTAAGAAAGACAAAAAATACCCGTATCGTTAAAACGTTTTTACTAGAAGCTAATGATCGTTGATAAATGGATTCTGGTGATGTACATTTGCATACGGATCGCTAATTTCTTGATAAGCAAATGTCCTAAGTTTATTTGTTTTGTCGTAAACGATAATAATACCTGTTGACTTGACAAACGGGGCCGCAACGTCTCGACCCACATCTTGGACAAGGCCAATGACAACCCGAACAGGCAGCTCGCAAACAGTCACATAATGTGAAACGTTCTCCGTTGACAACCAATTTTCCTAAACTTGAGTGTTACAAAAGAATAAGCGTACCTAAACCTTTCTCATCGTGGTATGGATCTTTGCGTTCCGTTCTTTGCTCGTTTTTCTCTATATAAATAGTCAGTGATTAGGTAAAAGCAAACCATCAACTTTCAATTTTAATGTGAAAACTATTTTCCAGCCAAAACTTACGTCTTACTGCTCGTTTTCTTCTTGAGGTGCCAATAGAGCCATACTCAGCAAGAACTTGATTTGTACCCGGATTTTCAAATTGCAGATTCTTCAATTCTTTTGCCATAAGCATCTCGTTTGCTAAAAGTACATACGTGAATAACAGTTTTCACCAAAGTTTAGCGCTATTCTTTTAAATTAAAGCTACAAATTGAAAACGGAGTAGTTTTTACACAAAGTAGTAAAACCTTTTTCCCGGTCGCTCATATCGAGAATTACTTCATCGTCGTCAAGATTCAGGTTTAATAGGAGCCTCTGTAGTTGTTGGACGCACGAGTCTTTTTGCAAGTTTGCAAGCACCACATTCAATATCCGAACCTTACAGATACGTTCCATTTGTTGGTGACTCGAAAAGAGCAATGGATGAGTACGTCTGCTCAATATTTATGGGCGGCCGACAAACTTTTGTCATCCATAACACTTGCGAAGTAAGACTGGGAAAGAATGTGAAAACATCAAAACCTAGGACTCGCTCTTGGCCACCCCACTCATTTATGATCTCACAATTTTGACGGAGCTAGCAACAAGGATCTCATATTCGGTGAACGGTTCAGAATGGCAGCAATTCCATGAGGTAAACCTTAAAAAATTTCTAATTTCCAAAAAAAAACAATTTACAGGTTTTATCATTGCTCTCTTTGCTACTCAAAGCCCCAGTTGTGCCCCCAGGCACACCAGTCTCAAATGCTTTCATGCGCCAATATGGCTCCATCACCAAGCTAGTAACGGCATGTGCTGGTGAATTGATTCAAATTAATAAAAATCCAAGCAACCCAAATCTAGGTATCGCCTCCGACACCGAACTGCAACTTGAATTCTTCACCAAACTCTCTTAAGCCAAAAATAGTTATGATCTTACTATTTCACCTATGAGCTGTTACACATGTTGTTCAAGATTTTTGCCGTCAGTATTCAATAAATGTTACCTTTTCTCTCGTTTCCGTCAGCTTCTTGTATCGTATCACACCAAAATGTTCAAGATTCTTCTGCTTGACAGCTATGAGACTTTCGGCAACCTTCTTTCTAAATATAAAACTAATTTTTAAAAGTCAAAGTAAAACTGGCCGCTTCTTTGCAACCCGAGCCGCTTCCTTCTGCTGCTTTTGAATGTTTTCAATCACTTCTTTGCGAGTAGAACTTCCGGGATTCTAAATTCTTTTAAACAATCAAACAAATTAAAGCAAAGTCTCACCGCTTCATCGTCAAAAAACGAAGATACTTGATCAGGATTCCAGATTGGTTTAATAGGAGCCTCTGTAGTTGTTGGACGCACGAGTCTTTTTAAAACCGACTAAAACTTGCAAACATAGATTTATACTAATCGATTCACCTTTGTTCGATCGATTCCTTGTCTAATTAGTCCTACCACTTGTAACTGGGCTTGTTCATTCGAAGTTAAAATCAAAACACGTGGTTCTATCAAACTTTTGAAACTGTGTTGTATTAAACTAACCATTATTTGGAATTTTTTCTTTTGGAATATGAAGCTCTTTGATCTCATCCAAAACAGATTCTAATGATGTCCACTTAGGCGGGGCTAAATACGGTGGGATTCAAAAACAAAAATCACACGAACCAACAAATTCGGGACGATTGGATGCAAATGAGGCAAGCTCCTGGGCAATGGCCTTAAGTCGCGCTCCAGTTGGAGTAAACGACCATCCAGTGGACTCTTCCAGGGCCTAAACTAATAAGTTTAGATGTAATAATCACATATAAACAACTTATTTATCGTTTCCAAGCTCGTTTAGCTTATACAGCACTGTACATGCATCAAGATTCTCTGCCGTCCGCAAAAGGTTTCGCAAAAATTTTAAATCCGACAAAAGCCGCCGTTGATGATCCGGTAAAAAAGATCTGCAATGCAAATGATTACGAATTGTGATTATAGATATTCTATTACCCCTTGTACTGTAATCTCTTCTCGAGTTCTGTCGTGAAATAAACACCAGCGTTGAATGAATCACTCTCCTCTTCTTCTTGATTCTAAAAATGAATAGTTGGCAAAACAGAGAAATGTCTCACTTTGCTTCTAACAGAAGATTGTTTCAATTCCCGAAGGCAAACTTTTAACAAATCAGTTATCAGCGAAATACAACGTCGTGTGCCTCCCGACAAATCAACCGTTATTTCGATAGACGACGGCTAAAAAGAAACGTTTATTAAGCCATTTGTGATCATTTGTATATGTTTAACCCCATACTGCTTACCGGAGCACGCGCAAAGGTTTCGACAACCGACGTATCGTGTCGTGGGAGAAGATGCACTTTTCGAACAAAAAGGCGATCAACGAGTCTGTAAATATAAATTTAACCAGCTTCCCCATTTGTTTATTTTTCACTTTTACTAAAATTCCAAACTCAAATACCTTTGTAATTGTCCTATTCCAGCAAAATACATCGGCATATCTGTAAAGCCTTTCACATGACCTTCCGGGTTCTTTTCACGGTATAATCGAAGTATAAACGTTTCTTGAAAACTATTCAAAAGCCTAAATAGAAACAACGGTTTAGCAAACGCAAACGATATTACTGATGTGATCGGTAAACGAGTATAGCTGCCACCATCTTTGCTGGAACACGATTTGTGAGAAAATCCACCATCAAAATGCGAGAAGTGATGAATTGTACGCCACCTTGCAAATACAACGCCTCTCTAAAAGATTTCATGTTAGTGTAAGCAAAGCACTCATACCGATCCGAGGCAAGCACTTCTGCTTTTATCGCTTTTGGAGGAGCAAACTCGTTGGCTGGAAGCGAATGCAATTTGGAAAGGAAGAAAGCTTCGTCTTCTTGTGTAGTGTTGATGACGAAAGCGAGAAGTTTTCGACTCGAGTACAACATTAGAAAGTTCAAAAATAATCTTTCGACGCCAAGTCCACTAAATTGATAAAAGATTAAAAATAAAATTGAAAAAATCTTCCCCAACAACATTGTATTGTATTGAAAGCTTTAAACCTTGCTATCACAAATAAAATATCTTCGTTCATATGTTCAACCATGGCCATATGTTCGTGCTCGAGTACCTCTATTGCTTCCGGCAGGGGCTACATTGAAACAGTTATCATTTTTTTTTTCAAAATAGTTACTTCGATTGCCGGAATGCATTGACGGCGCTCTCCGCGAGTTTCTTCAACTTCATGTTTAACGTAAAAGCAATGCTAGTTTCCGAAATTTTAAACTTTACTTTTCCTGGATCAAAAACCGCGTCCATTTAAGCTTATAGGAAGTTTTCATCAACTTGGAAAAGCTTAAAATGTGCGTTTAATCGAGCTGTGTGGTTTTACACCCAAGAGTATCTCAAAGGTGTTCAAACGCGTTACGTACCAGTAAAAGAATTTTTTTTATTTCAGACCACAAGGTTATAACAAAAATAAAAACTGAAGGACCAGATCAGAAAAAAAAATCAGAAACATGAAATCCATGGAAACAAATGCTTAAAGATAACAACTAAATTTTAGCTACGGCTTATCGACAAGCACTAATCCACTATATGATCGAGGTTGCGGAAGTGTTGACTAAATAAAGTGCTCATTTTTAAAGAAAATCCAAAGTACCTCTATTACTTGCCATCTTCCGGCAAACTCTGCCCATTGTCCTCTACCCATATCCATTGTCAATGTTTCGATTGAATCCAATAAATGAGAATCTCCCTCATCGCCACCGAAAACCATTAAAGAGCTGCAATAAATTTATTATGTTTACTCAAAAGCTTGATTACCTATTCACAAAAAGTACACCCGCATTTCATCTTGGAGCGCTCATGTTTGGAATCAATGCCCAATCATCATCTACCCCAGGATTATAGATCTATTTTTTTCTGAATAATTTCATACAAAAATGTTACAAACCTCAACGGTATCTCTCACAGTTGCTCCCTCGTGACCACCCGCAGCAACCATTGAACCATTAAGAGAACATACTGCAGCTCCAGATCGAACCTAATGCAATTTTAAGAAAAGCTGTAAATTAAAACTTACCTCGCGTAATGGTTCCCCAGCACGCCAACGATTTGCTCGCAGATCAAAAGACATACCGTATTCAAACAATGTCTACTACTGTGACCATCGTATCCGCCAACCGCGTAAACACTAGAGCCAACAGACGGCACGCCAACCGACGATCGACGCGTTGTCATCATAACATTTTCTATCACAAACTAATACCTCATAGGTGGTTCAGAGATCCATTGATTTCTAAATTTTTTTGTTTGGAAAAATTATTTAAAAACAAAATACATATGGGCAATCAAAGTAACCAACCTAACAGTGTCATACACATCAACAGATTTCATTCGCTGAGCTCCATTAAAACCACCAACAGCATAGATATGACGATCGATTAGGGCAACACCACATCGACAACGTCTTTGCGATAGAGGGCTCACTAAAGCCATTTTTTGGAATAAAATTGATTGAAGACTAACAAGAAGTCCATAGGCATTGTAGTTGGATCATAGGCGTCAACATTATGAATTGTCTTTGGTGCCTGACCTCCGACGACTATCACAATCTACAAACCACAATATTTTTGAATCATACACTAATCAAACCTTGTTCGATCCAATTTGTTGTCGGGGTCGGACAAACCGCTCACGAAGTGATGAGGCAGATGGGGAAAATCGCCCTCGGCGTAGATGTACTTTACTTGCCTCCAGAAGAATACCCTTAAAGAAATGTTAGAATAGAAAATCGTTAACAAGTTTATCTACCTTGCACTCTTGCTGATTTTTAATAGCTGGCTCATTGAAAACTGTCTCCGCTGGAAAGTCTGCGGAGCAGAGGCCAAGTCTCACTTGCGACAACAACCTAAGAAATGAAGATTATGCAATCGAACAAGACGTTTGTATTTCCCAAAAATCTTTACGAAAATCACTCACTTTGGTGTATATTGTTCGCGTTCTTCTGGCGCTGCTTGGATCCATCTGATGGCCGTTCGATAAACCTCTTCTTCACCGCCTTCACCACAAACTAGACGATCATCCGAGATTAAACTGCAGAATCGTTCAAAATCCAGCGCTAAAAGCTCATCAGAATCTACCAGATGACTGGAACGCAATATTTTTGGAAGAAAATGAAAACATACCAAAAATTCTTGTAAATATAATTGCGAGCAGACGCTGCTAGTTGAGTACAATTATAAATGCAGGCAAAGTCGAGCAAAGATATGACATTTCCAAGCGTTATTATATCAATCAAAAAGCTAAACGTTCGCTTTTTCGGTGAACCTTTAGTCCATACTTTGCACAAGCATCTTTAACCGAATTTAGTTGCAACATCAAGGCTGTTGTTAGAAGGGCTTAAATTTAAATAAAGCTTTGCTTTGACAATATACGAATTTCCCACTTGAATTTATTGTGAGTTGACCTGTGTAAATAAAGTCGATCAATTGGCGAAGAGCCCGAAACCAATAAAAAGCAATGAAATTCAAAGCTATCAACACATAGTGTACATATTACAACTTGTGTTAACTTTCGTACCTCTTCATCCATATCATGTAATTCTACAGTGCTAGCTTTCGATTCAATCATAGTGGAAATTGCAAACATGGCACAAAAATAGGGAGATGTAGAAGATAGAATAACCCTAAAATTGCAGTTGGAGAGCTGGCTAAAAGTCTTACTTGTGTGCATAAATTGGCGAGCCTTTACAAAAGTTCGAACGAGTTTCAGGTCTGTCAAGCGAGACTCGTTTCACTGGTACCAGTGAAACGTCACATAATAAACGGTCACTAAAACTTTGTTGAATCAGAATCGAATTTTAAAAGACCTTCTCAATGAATTAAGGGTTCTTTTCCAATATCGGGGGAGCGGAAAGAAAATCGGGGAGCGAAAGGAAAATCGGGGGAGCAAATTTTGCCCCCTCGAAAAATGCATTTCTGGGACTTTTATTTTAACTGCAACGTTTTTTTTAGACTTTAACGACGATGCGCTTCTCCGATATTTGTGCGTTCAAGGAATCGACGGCAATCGATTATTTCGTCACCAAAGGAGTCATCCAGTCGTGGATTTGCAACTGTGGCGAATCGATGAAAGTCCGCTCAAAGGGAAAAGATCTATTTCGCTGGGTATGTGAGACTTGCGCACGGCGAAATGTCCCCAAGCATTCAAGAGGAATTCGAGTCGATAACTTTTTGCAACAAAGCAAGCTCCCGTTTGTCACAATTTTAAAGTTCATACATCTATGGAGCCAGGGACTCACGACAATCAAACACTGTCAACAGGAGCTCGGCATTAGTGGCGACACCGTTGTTGAGTGGAACTACTAAACCGTTTAAAGACATGAACAGACGTCGACACGGCACCCACGGCACCATGGTGGATTCGTATATCGCTGAGGGATTGTGGCATCGCAATTTGCCTGCCGGAGTAAATGCATTCGAGTCGATCATGGAGGACATCGTCGATTTTTGGCCCGCAGGGGCGGAAATGAATACAATCCCTTTTTTACAGTTAATTTGTGATTGCTAGAAAGGTTTTGTTTTGGTTACTTTTGTTTTATTTTGCTTACTTTTCTTTTTGTTTTGGTTACTTTTGTTTTTGTTTTGGTTACTTCGCTTACATTTTTTTCGTTGTTATGATCAATTATACTATTAATGAATAAATTTTTAGGTAGCCATTTGTTCGTTCGGGATTGTGGAGCGTTCGGCAAAAAGAGAAGGCGGCCGATAGGGAAGGTAGAGGTATGTTTGGTGTTAGATATTTAAGTCACTTTTGTGATCTAATATAAAGGTTGTGAGAATAACGGGTAATTCGCGGATTTTATGGCAGTACTTTGGATAATATAGGACATATGTAGCGCTGCCAAAAAATTTAAAAAAAAACGTTGCAGTTAAAATAAAAGTCCCAGAAATGCATTTTTCGAGGGGGCAAAATTTGCTCCCCCGATTTTCCTTTCGCTCCCCCGATTTTCCTTTCGCTCCCCCGATAATCCTACCGCTCCCCCGATATTGGAAAAGAACCGAATTAAGCTGTTCGAAGAAACTTGAGGTGTGAGAGGTGTCGACGTAAAGTTTTGGTGGTGGCGAATTACTAGCCTTAAGGAGGTTTTTAAGGTTAAATGATTGGTTCATGTTTGCTTGAATATGTACCTCTTCTCTATCGGCGAATTGACCGCCAAGGTCGCCCTCAACCTTCTCCATTCTTAATCACGATAATCACACTCCACTTTAGCTCCCATCAACAATATGAGCGCACGTGTACACCCCAGCTCAATTCCATTTTCTTCTGAAAACCATTTATGAAATACACAAAAACAATACAATTAAAGGAAGAACACCACGTTTCACAGGGCAAAGGGGTTTTCACAAGTGACCAATAATTCCACAAATACGATATGGAATTAGACGCAGAGCGGAATAAAACTCGAGCCACAAACATAACAATCAATTAAAGACAAATAAAAAACTACTGAAATAGATTTTTACGTGCGGCACTTCAATCCCACCAATCTTTGTTCTGGGTGGGTTTTGGGCGGAAGTCGTTCCTTGAAGACTCAGCTAAAGCAAAAATTAAGAAAAGACAACTACGTTGAAACCTGGTGAAGGCTCATAGTGGCTTCCGGAATTTTGAATCCGATAATCGCGATGCGCATATTGCGTGATCCACCTCGGCTTCCACGTCCACGCGAATTTCCTTGTCCATAGCGACTAGCATCTTTCGAAATCTACAACATTCAAATGAATAGTCAAGAAAAGAGTCAGCAAACCGTCGAAAGGAACCCTTGATTAGCTTCAATCATCAGCTTGATAAGGTCAATGCCTCGTTGCCTAAAAACAGATACGACTAACTTCTACAGCAGAGTATTATCACACAAACCTCCAGCATCAAGTAGGTCCATCAAACAACAGAGCTTCTCCTTATCCTCGACCCCAACGACCTTCTGTATGATGTTCGCTGACGTTGAGCCCACGCGTCCGACAGCCAAGAATACGTAATTGGGCACCAAAAAATCTTGAGCCAGAATCTGAGAAAATATTATTAATGCTTATCGAAAAAAAGCTCACCTGAATTTCCTTCGGGAACATAGCAGAAAACATAGCAGTCACTCGATACCTCTTCTCTGGCATAGTTGAGAGTTCGACAACCTAAAAGCAAACACATCAATGAAATACATGATGTATTAAAACTCACTTGCCGAATTTGAGGCTCAAAGCCCATGTCTAGCATACGATCAGCTTCATCAATCACCAAATAGCGACAACCAGTAAGTCCAACATATCCTTGTTCCATCACATCAATAAGACGTCCAGGAGTGGCAATAAGAATGTGGCAACCAAGCTAAATAACAACAAATATAACGACTTTTTTTTTGCAAGTGTATTTTGAGTTCCTAAATCTTTACCCGAAGTTTGCTGATTTGTTGTTGATAATTTTCGCGACCACCGTAGAGAATTGCCAAAGTTATGGGTGTACGATAGCCAAACTTTCTGCACTCATTATAGATCTAAGATGAGAAGTTGTCAATTCCATGCATTAAATCTTTTACTTGAAGTGACAATTCACGAGTTGGCGAAAGGACAAGAGCACAGGGAAACTGTTTCTTCCGACCATTGCCTCAAGGAGCTTCGCGATAAACTGCTTCAGGTCCGTTCTAAACAAATACACATAATTATTTGTATGAAGCTATATATAAACCTGAAGAATGTGGTTGATCAATGGAACTAGAAAGGCAGCAGTCTTCCCGGATCCAGTTTGCGCGCAAGACATCAGGTCTCGATTATCCATTAATGCCGGAATGCTGTACTTCTGCACGGGTGTCGAACGCCCATAACCCGACAATTTGATATTTTCATTGACCCATTGGTGCAACTTCAGCTCAGAGAACTAAGATGCGCGATCACATTTGAAATACAAAAATAATATACCAAAGTCGCAGGTTGTGGCACATTTTCACCAGTTGCTTCAACGGGAATTTCATCATAATTGTTGAAATTAATCCCCGAGTTCATTCCTAAGAAGAGCTCCTGTTCCGAGCTTTCATCTAAACTAGTAATAAATTATTTTTGTACATTCAACGTCTAACATTCAAATCTAGTACCTCTTGGAAGCTGCTGGCTCCAGCAGGCAGGCTTTGAATGAAATATTGTGCATTCCTCTTCCTTGGTGCCCTCCGTGGCGGCGACCGCTGTTGCCTCCACTTTCACAACGTTCACGTTGTCCCTCATCACCCTTTTGAACTTCATCTCGTTTCCATGGAGGCACATACTTTCCTAAGGTTAGCTAATTAGTAAAGTTAAGCATAAATCTCCTAAAATGTACGTTTTTAATCGTACATCGAAAAAACTAGCAGCATTTGCCTATTATACCGAAATAAAAACTCACCATTAGCACCGCTGTTGCTTGCGTCTGAGTTTTCAACATTTTCACTCATCTCTGCAAAATGAAAATCTTAAGAAAGTTGCAGAGAAGAAAACACTTACATTACAAAGACAGAAAGTTGCTGTTGGAGTAGTCCCCACTAAAAGTCAACGAGTTCCAGATGCGAAGTTGACCCAGAGCGATCCAAATGGTCCATCGTGTGCATAATGTGAAACTCCTCATAACTGTAACAAGACAGATTCAAAATATCAGCAGGTTAAAAGAATAAACGTCGCAATAGCGTTTTGCTCGTGATTGGGTAATGAGACAAAACGATTTATTCCAATAAAAATGACAAACTCCTAGACAAGAACAATCAAAATTTTACAAACAAACAACAGCAAGAAAGATATTTACGAGAATGTACAATGGAAATACTTATTCAATCCTTTGTTTGCGTGAGTGAAAAGTTTTCAAATGCTGGCAATAGATCGCGTAATTCCCCTAGAAATGCCCCAGAAACCGAGGTTCGTTGTGTACGATAACCACTTGTAGACGAGCAGGGAATTGATGACATGATGAAATGATCCCTTAGTGCTGCTGTAAACTGACACCCCTAAAAACAAACAAATACAAACCATTAAATAAATTTAAACTTGCCTGCATCTGTTCGTCCTTTTGCGCGGTGATTCAACTCGTCGTTTTGAGCGGCATTGCTCACAACTAAACATCAAAGTTTTAATAAACAGTGAACAATAGATCCCAATGCAAAGATGAATGCTTACTTTCGCCATGCTCGATAAATCTTGAATGGCTCCCGTTGTTGACATTGATCAAAGATTACAGAAGCGGTGTCCCAACTCAGATCCCGTACTTCAAACAGCGCTTTCAAATTCACAACCTAAATATCACAACTTTAATTCTACTGTTTTATAACCTTCAAGGCCCCGTTTATTGGGCTTTAACTAGAATTGATTATCGAGCTCTCGATAAGAGTAGTATACACATATATGCCGCCTCTGGCCACCCATATACCCAAAAATCCCGCACTCAATTTTTACCCCCTTTTTTGCTATTTTTAACTCTAAAATACGCAAAAAGTCTAAAAAAAGTTATAAAATATTCATTTTTCATCGCCTACGCATAGCATTTTTCATACGCCAAATTTCTCGCTCACCGAAATCCCATTCCATTATAAATCACAAAAAAGCTAATTTTTCCAGCAAATTTACAGTCAATATGTGGTTAGGTTCCTATTTACGTGCGGTTTAAAGGGGCTGAGGGAAAGGGAAAGCGCTTTAGAAAGCGCCGCGGGGCGGCGAGAAGACCCCCTGTTCCGAGCTTTCATCTAAACTAGTAATAAATTATTTTTGTACATTTAACGTCTAACATTCAAATCTAGTCCTCTTCAATTCAAATTCAAATTCAAATCTTCAAGGAACATCGTTCCTTGTAGACTCAGCTAAAGCAAAAATTAAGAAAAGACAACTACGTTGAAACCTGGTGAAGGCTCATAGTGGCTTCCGGAATTTTGAATCCGATAATCGCAATGAGGCATATTGCGTGATCTACCTCGGCTTCCACGTCCACGCGAATTTGCTTGTCCATAGCGACTAGCATCTTTCGAAATCTACAACATTCAAATGAATAGTCAAGAAAAGAGTCAGCAAACCGTCGAAAGGAACTCTATGACGCCTCTGGCACACCCATATACCCAAAAATCCCTCACTCAATTTTTACCCGCTTTTTAGCTATTTTTAATTCTAAAATACGCAAAAAGCCTAAAAAATGTTATAAAAGACTAATTTTTTCAGCAAATTTGCAGTCAATATGTAGTTAGGTTCCTATTTACATGCGACTTAAAGGGACTGAGGGAAAGGGAAAGCGCTTTAGAAAGCGCCGCGGGGCGCTTTCTAAAGCGTGGATGTCTTACCGTATCCCGCACAAATTCCCCATTTGCCATTCTTTTCATTTTCCTCCATTTTGTGGTGGAGTCGTGTGGTGTTGGGCGACTTTTTATTTCGACTCGCCCATAAGTTACCTTCCCCCTCCGTAAAATCTAGAATGTTTTTGTAGCGCGTTTTGAAAGTACTCGCTTGCCCTCCCTTCTTTTTATATAATTTGCCCATAGTTTGTTGTTTAGATTTCTAAAATGGTTTTTTTTAGATGGAAATCAAACTGTATGTCCATCTGCGAGATGACACGGGTGATGTTGGAGGCTTCAAGACTTTTACTTTTGGTGCCACGGTTCGCTTTTAATTTATTTAATCTTTAAACGGATTTATTTAGTCGACAGTAGACGATTTGATGGGACAAATCCGTGATGTCTTTCATATCCCTTTGCAACATCAAGAAGTTTACCTCGTTCGCGCTGGAACTGAAACTAAAAATGAAACACTGGAACAACTCAAAAGTGGTACTCTGCAAGAAGTAAAAGTGACGAATAAAAGCAATATTTATGTGGTAAGTTGAATCTTTTGTTTGACATTCCCTAGACTAGATTTTCGATTAAGACTTGAAAATTACATGTTAAAGTGTGAATTTTTTCGTTTCAGAAGCACGGAGATCTTCCGTGGGGTCCGCTGTATAAAAAATGTGTTGAGATTGCAATGAAGTCGTCGGGCCGTGAACGAATGTTAAATGCCCAAGAGGCCGTCAAGCTCCACATGCGATTGATGAAAAGTGACTTTTTCGATGTCTACAGCAGCTTCAACTCTTTTCGCATGGAAAATCATCATGAGGTGACCTATTGGGCTGACGGAAACTTGATTTTGATGAAAAAAGCCGCTAAAAGCCATTTTCGTGCCCAACACTACAAACTCAAGGACGCCAAGGACGAATCTGACTTCATTTGTCGCTTTGAATCTCGACCGACGGATCTGGGAGGCACTCGCAAAAACACCCTTGCTTTTGTCCGGCTTCATGGAGAGATGGAAGAGACCAAGTACAATGTGAAGTAAGATTTCTCTAATTTCGAGCAATTTAATTATCACAATTTGTTTAGATGCCATCACTTTGGATCTCGAGCATGGAGCAATTCTGGAAAAGGGCAACCTCCGGACATAAAAAGAATTGTACTGCTACAAGCTGCTCGAATTGATCGACGTAGGACCGCATTCTCAATTCATCCTTCCAAAAAAAAGTCGTTGACAGCAAGACTTCCATGTAATAATCTTTACCTTTTTTCTCTTATTTACGTATAAATTTTAGGTACATCGCAACAGAATGGAATGACGATTTTGTTCCCATTTCCAGCATCAAAGAAGAAAAAGATGTTAGCGTGGAAGTCCTTGTGCAACTTCTCTTGCTTGGCGCGTTTCTCTTTATCGATGATTTACATCCTGACAATTGCGGTCAGTTGATTTTTAAAATTTAGATTTGAATGGATTAGGAAAAGAATAGTATTTTTTATTTAGGTCAGTGGAAAGACACCAAGGACGCGGCAATCGTTGATTTTATGCCCAAAGCGTACGCTACTTACAGAAATGTTAAGAGAGTCCTTCTCAACAACGTATTGGGAAGCTATTCATCGATGTATTGGGAAGCAGTTCACATCGATGCATTGGAAAAATGCGATGAAAAAACGCGTTTGGAGATGGCAAAGAAGTATTTGAAGAAATGGGATCTGCTGTCCAAGATCGACATGGCCAATGAACAAATGAAGCCCGAGAAAGATCGAATGAAGGAGAAAGGACTTGACTTCAAAGGCTTCAACAGTCCTACCGAAGAGCTTGATCGATACATAATCGCTATCAAGGAAAACTTGGAAAAACTAGCTGAAATGTTGAATGCTGGAGAGTAATTTTTGTTTGAAAATTTATTTATGAATAAACAAATTTTTAATTAGTTGAATTTATGTATGTTTTAATGTGAAAAAAGTTCCTACTTTGGTCTTAAATTAAAGGATGTTAGAATTGTCCTAGGATATAGCCCTTAAAGTTATTGCTAAAATTGTAGCTTTTTTCTCAAACAGAACTCTGAATTTCAAGCAAATGGTCAATCCAGGAGGTGGAGGTTTTGGGCTGTGCCAGGCCTGGTGGGGTATGGCAGTTTTGAAAATTGTCCTATATGCTTTGTGGTTAATATACAGTAATTAATCTATACAAATTCATTTTAGCAACCGTTGGAGAAGCACTGACGATGAACCTCAAGCTGACGTATGAAGCCAGCAGCTTCCAAGAGGTACTAGATTTGAATGTTAGACGTTGAATGTACAAAAATAATTTATTACTAGTTTAGATGAAAGCTCGGAACAGGAGCTCTTCTTAGGAATGAACTCGGGGATTAATTTCAACAATTATGATGAAATTCCCGTTGAAGCAACTGGTGAAAATGTGCCACAACCTGCGACTTTGGTATATTATTTTTGTATTTCAAATGTGATCGCGCATCTTAGTTCTCTGAGCTGAAGTTGCACCAATGGGTCAATGAAAATATCAAATTGTCGGGTTATGGGCGTTCGACACCCGTGCAGAAGTACAGCATTCCGGCATTAATGGATAATCGAGACCTGATGTCTTGCGCGCAAACTGGATCCGGGAAGACTGCTGCCTTTCTAGTTCCATTGATCAACCACATTCTTCAGGTTTATATATAGCTTCATACAAATAATTATGTGTATTTGTTTAGAACGGACCTGAAGCAGTTTATCGCGAAGCTCCTTGAGGCAATGGTCGGAAGAAACAGTTTCCCTGTGCTCTTGTCCTTTCGCCAACTCGTGAATTGTCACTTCAAGTAAAAGATTTAATGCATGGAATTGACAACTTCTCATCTTAGATCTATAATGAGTGCAGAAAGTTTGGCTATCGTACACCCATAACTTTGGCAATTCTCTACGGTGGTCGCGAAAATTATCAACAACAAATCAGCAAACTTCGGGTAAAGATTTAGGAACTCAAAATACACTTGCAAAAAAAAGTCGTTATATTTGTTGTTATTTAGCTTGGTTGCCACATTCTTATTGCCACTCCTGGACGTCTTATTGATGTGATGGAACAAGGATATGTTGGACTTACTGGTTGTCGCTATTTGGTGATTGATGAAGCTGATCGTATGCTAGACATGGGCTTTGAGCCTCAAATTCGGCAAGTGAGTTTTAATACATCATGTATTTCATTGATGTGTTTGCTTTTAGGTTGTCGAACTCTCAACTATGCCAGAGAAGAGGTATCGAGTGACTGCTATGTTTTCTGCTATGTTCCCGAAGGAAATTCAGGTGAGCTTTTTTTCGATAAGCATTAATAATATTTTCTCAGATTCTGGCTCAAGATTTTTTGGTGCCCAATTACGTATTCTTGGCTGTCGGACGCGTGGGCTCAACGTCAGCGAACATCATACAGAAGGTCGTTGGGGTCGAGGATAAGGAGAAGCTCTGTTGTTTGATGGACCTACTTGATGCTGGAGGTTTGTGTGATAATACTCTGCTGTAGAAGTTAGTCGTATCTGTTTTTAGGCAACGAGGCATTGACCTTATCAAGCTGATGATTGAAGCTAATCAAGGGTTCCTTTCGACGGTTTGCTGACTCTTTTCTTGACTATTCATTTGAATGTTGTAGATTTCGAAAGATGCTAGTCGCTATGGACAAGGAAATTCGCGTGGACGTGGAAGCCGAGGTGGATCACGCAATATGCGCATCGCGATTATCGGATTCAAAATTCCGAGGATTCAAAATTTTAGGCAACGAGGCATTGACGGTAGTGTTCGTGGAAACAAAGCGTGGTGCTTCAGAGCTTCAAAATTATCTGGACCGTAAGAACTATGGTGTGGTGGCTATTCATGGAGATGGTCTCGTGGTCTTGACATCCCAAGTGTGAAACACGTAATTAATTACGACTTGCCCAACGATATTGATGAATATGTGCATCGTTAGTTTACAGTGTATTGAGCTATTTAAAGTGCATTTTAGGTATTGGACGTGCTATGCTGGCAATATTGGATTGACGACTACTTTCTTCAACGACAAGAACACGCGGCTGGCTAACGACCTTATCAAGCTGATGATTGAAGCTAATCAAGAGATTCCAGAGTTCCTTTCGACGGTTTGCTGACTCTTTTCTTGACTATTCATTTGAATGTTGTAGATTTCGAAAGATGCTAGTCGCTATGGACAAGCAAATTCGCGTGGACGTGGAAGCCGAGGTAGATCACGCAATATGCCTCATTGCGATTATCGGATTCAAAATTCACCAGGTTTCAACATAGTTGTCCATTCTTAATATTTGCTTTAGCTGAGTCTTCAAGGAACGGCTTCCGCCCAAAACCCACCCAGAACAAAGATTGGTGGGATTGAAGTGCCTCACGTAAAAATCTATTTCAATAGTTTTTTATTTGTCTTTAATTGATTTTTGAGTTTGTTTGATTGTTATGTTTGTGGCTCGAGTTTTATTCCGCTCTGCGTCCAATTCCATATCGTGTTTGTGGAATTATTGGTCACTTGTGAAAACCCCTTTGCCCTGTGAAATGTGGTGTTCTTCCTTTAATTGTATTGTTTTTGTGTATTTCATAAATGGTTTTCAGAAGAAAATGGAATTGAGCTGGGGTGTACACGTGCGCTCATATTGTTGATAGGAGCTAAAGTGGAATGTGATTATCGTCATTAAGAATGGAGAAGGTTGAGATGTTTGAGAAGCGACCTTGGCGGAGATGAGGTATATATTCAATTCGCCGATGGAGAAGAGGTACATATTCAAGCAAACATGAACCAATCATTTAACCTTAAAAACCTCCTTAATGCGAGTGATTCGCCACCACCAAAACTTTACGTCGACACCTCTCACACCTCAAGTTTCTTCGAACAGCGTAATTCATTGAGAAGGTCTTTTAAAATTCGATTCTGATTCAACAAAGTTTTAGTGACCGTTTATTATGTGACGTTTCACTGGTACCAGTGAAACGAGTCTCGCTTGACAGACCTGAAACTCTTTCCAACTTTTGTAAAGGCTCGCCAATTTATGCACACAAGTAAGACTTTTAGTCAGCACTCCAACTGCAATTTTAGGGTTATTCTATCTTCTACATCTCCCTATTTTTGTGCCATCTTTGGAACTTCCAATATGATTGAATCGAAAGCTAGCACTGTAGAATTACATGATATGGATGAAGAGGTACGCAAGTTAACACAAGTTGTAAATGTACACTACGTGTTGATAGCTTTGAATTTCATTACTTTTTATTGGTCAGAACTTGCCTCGATGAAAACGCGTCGATCGTCGGTTGGCGTGACGTCTGTTGGCTCTAGTGTTTACGCGGTTGGCGGATACGATGGTCACAGTAGACATTGTTTGAATACGGTATGTCTTCTTAAAACTTTCAAAAATAACCAATTCTTTTAGGTAGAAGTTTTTGATCTGCGAGCAAATCGTTGGCGTGCTGGGAAACCATTACGCGAGGCAAGTTTTCATTTACAGCTTTTCTTAAAATTGCATTAGGTTCGATCTGGAGCTGCAGTATGTTCTTTTTTAATGGTTCAATGGTTGCTGCGGGTGGTCACGAGGGAGCAACTATGAGAGATACCGTTGAGGTTTGTAACATTTTCGTATGAAATTACTCAGAAAAAAATAGATCTATAATCCTGGGGTAGATGATGATTGGGCATTGATTCCAAACATGAGCGCGCCAAGACGAAATGTGGGTCTACTTTTTGTGAATAGGTACTCAAGCTTTTGAGTAAACATAATAAATTTATTGCAGCTCTTTAATGGTTTTCGGTGGTGATGAGGGAGATTCTCATTTATTGGATTCGATTGAAACATTGACAATGGATATGGGTAGAGGACAACGGGCAGAGTTTGTCGGAAGATGGCAAGTAATAGAGGTACTTTGGATTTTCTTTAAAAATGAGCACTTTATTTAGTCAACACTTCCGCAACCTCGATCATACAGTGGATTAGTGCTTGTCGATAAGCCGTAGCTAAAATTTAGTTGTTATCTTTAAGCATTTGTTTCCATGGATTTCATGTTTCTGATTTTTTTTTCTGATCTGGTCCTTCAGTTTTTATTTTTGTTATAACCTTGTTGGCTGAAATAAAAAAATTCTTTTCTTTTACTGGTACGTAACGCGTTTGAACACCTTTGAGATACTCTTGGGTGTAAAACCACACAGCTCGATTAAACGCACATTTTAAGCTTTTCCAAGTTGATGAAAACTTCCTATAAGCTTAAATGGACGCGGTTTTTGATCCAGGAAAAGTAAAGTTTAAAATTTCGGAAACTAGCATTGCTTTTACGTTAAACATGAAGTTGAAGAAACTCGCGGAGAGCGCCGTCAATGCATTCCGGCAATCGAAGTAACTATTCTGAAAAAAAAAATGATAACTGTTTCAATGTAGCCCCTACAATAGAGGTACTCGAGCACATGGCCATGGTTGAACATATGAACGAAGATACTTCATTTGTGATGGCGAGGTTTAAAACTTTCAATACAATAAAATGTTGTTGGGAAAGATTTTTTCAATTTATTTTTAATCTTTTATCAATCGTTTATTTAATCTTTTTCACTTGTTGATCGTCGCGAATTAGGTAGATAATAGACCAAATATTGTGTAGAAGCAAATAGAAAATGATTGGTTTTGCGTGTGAGATGCAGTTTAAGCAATATTTATGCTAATTTGTTACCAATTCAAATTTGCTCAGTGAAAATCTCCTGGTACTGTACAATCTCATAGATGAAAAGAGGTCAGCAAGAAAAAAAAATGATTACCCAAAGATAAAACGCCAAGAAATCATAGTTTGAACATGAAGTATCCCGAGAAATTAATGCAAGTGTACTAGAGAGCTATAAATATTCAAAGAATCGATACAAGTTGTAAAAATCGATCAATTAGCAGCCGCTCATGCCTCCAACTCGGCCATAGTGTCCTGTTTTTGGACTTTTCCCTTTGAACGAGTGATAGGCTCGGAAGGGACGGTGGGAATAGCGGAAAGGGTGTCCATTTCTTGATCAGATTGTCGAGAAGGAAGAGATGGAGCTTGTTTGGCTTCCTAAATGGTAACAATTGTGATTAATTGTGAAGATGGTAACTATAGGTCTACTATTGTGTAAAATCCAGTCCATTTTCTCACTACACTATGCCAAACTGAAAAGTATTCAGGCTTTAATTACTGCTGAACTAAATGACATGTCTTGTATGCTTGTTCCTTATTGCAGTTCGTTTTATTAGCCTTTTGTTTTGTTCTTTTTATTCAACGAGCTTTGCTTGTGTTCTTTTTTGTCGATTATCGTCGGCGGCCAATTTTTTGGCCAAGTTGCAGCCCAATTTTAGATAGGTTTTTGTTAACAACTTTTGATAAAACAAATAGTTTCTGAAAGCTGACGTTCTAAGCTATCTAAATCTTATTAAAGTTTAAGCTGCTTAAAAATGAGCTGCAAGTTGGCCAAAAAATTGGCCCTCGCCATTAACCGTAAAGGTTCGTCCACTGAAACGGCGTTTTTCCATTCCTTTATGCTAATTATAGTGAATAAAGTGATATATACTAATGTTTCCTCATTTTTTCTCTGTTAAATACACAATTCGTACATAACCTAAGAAATTTTCTCAAAAGAGTTTACCAGTGGTTCTTTGATCGCTTCTTTGAAACACTGTCTTTGGTTATTTTCGCGGATTTCTCTGTTTCTTTTTGTCTCCACTCCTGTGTGATCTTTTGCATAAAGGCAGCGTTTTTAAAAGGCACCTAAGAAATGGAGGGCAACTCAATTTTTTCAAACGCAATTTGATTTAATTGGTTCTTGATAGCCGGGAAAGTGTTATTTAGCGAAAAAATTCTAGATAGAATCGACCGAATGATAGTTAAAAATGATCTGCGTTTTTATTTTTATGAAGTCATCAAAAAGAAGGTAAAAGTTGGAGATTTTTCTAGTAATTTTTGGAATTTAGAACATCCTCATTCTTGTTGGAGATGATGTCGACGCTCTTTGTGCATCTTTAATTCTCACTGTAAGTATTTAACTCAATATGTGGTTTGATATGTATGTTTAGGGTTTGCTTCGATGTGACGATGCCGCTTTTTCGGTGGTTCCCGTTGCAACATGGATAGATGTCAAAAAAGCAATAGCTGAACAGGAGCAAAGTAAATTTTTAAAATTTTACTGAGTTTCAAGTTTTTAGGCCAAGTTATCGTTATGTTAAATTGTGGAGGAAATCGCACGCTATCCGAATTAGAGGTAACTTTTTCATCATCATTTTTACTATTGAACATATGTAGATTCCGGAAGCTTTACCCGTTTTTATCTGCGATAATAGGCGTCCCTTTGATCTCGATAACGTTTATGATGCCGAGCAAGTTCGGATAATCGTTGATCCAAAGGAAATTGAAGAATTGGGGTTTTTTTGAAACTTGGAATCTATTATGCAAATGTATAGGGTACCGCCAATTGAAGATGTGTTTAAAGAAGAAACTTCTTCCGACGAGGATGAGGACGAAGATGCCGAAAGCTATGGTCGGTAAGATTGGATGTTTAATTGAGTTACTACAGGGTGGTCCAAAATTATAGCAACTCGACATTTTCTGACTAACTCGACAACGCAGTCATCCATTTTTGGATGTTTTTAAATTGAAATTAACATAATTTCCTATGACAGAAACTTGCTTTTGGTTGGAAACGTTTTTGTTAATTTTATACGACGCTTTAAAGTTGAGATGCACTGACCGCCCGGCGACTCTGCCATTTTCGCTAGTTTTCCAAGTTCCTTTGTGCGATTATAGGTTTCCTTTTTAAGATGAACAAAGTGAACAAGTTTTTTTTTTCATTCATTTAATTTATTTCCAATGAAAATCAAGCAAAACCCGGACTGCTGATCATGCTTGAATCCAATTTTAAGAGTACGTCAAAACGCTGTTTTTCAGCTGAGTTTGCATCAGTCGTATTTTTTTTTGCAATAAAGCACACTTTTTTTCAAAATTTTGACAATCTTTTACAAAAGAAACATGTAAAACTGTTCTAAGAGCTTATAAAGATAGAAAGGAATTAGCTTTGCCGAAATTTTGCAAGAGAAACGATCAGTTCTTGTCACAAACGCTGGGTCGCCAGACGATCACGGTGATTCAGGTTTGAGCTTCTATAAAAAGATAACAACAACGTTTTTAGCCGAAACCAAAGTTTCTGTTGTTGTAGATAGTGTCAGTTTAATGTTTAAAAAACATCCTAAGAGAAAAAAAACGGCGGACTGTCGAGTTACATCAAGAAAAGCCGAGTTGCTATAATTTTTGGACCACCCTGTATATATATTTAACTGAGTTTAATTGAGTTTTTCAGCAATAACTATGCAACGTCGAGCTTTGAAACGAGAGGAAAAGCGAGCTTGGGAGCACCGAAAAGCTCAAGCACTATGGAGATACTACTCTAACACATGGGTCTCACTACCGGTAATCTAAAAATATGGAAGATTAATTGTTGGATTTAGACATCAATACGAATACTTGAGCTAGCATTCTCCCTAAATAGAGCCACTCCGGAGTTCATGTGGTTAGCCTCTGTTGGATTAAACAGCCTTTACGTGGATAATTTGGTGAGTTTTAAAACATTAGGTATATTAGCTTTTAAAAATGTTTGTAGATAAACTTGCAAGTCTACTCGGAAGTTTGTGTTGGAAGAATTCGACAGTTTATTCACAAATTTGCGCCAAAAGCCACTCCAAGATCAGATGATTTGTTCAGAATCAGTTTTGACAAAGAGTTTGTTTGTTTATTTTAATACATCCTGCAAATAATTATTTTAGACTCACCCTTGCTGTTTACACAAGTTGGTCTCTATATTCGGCGATGCGTGTGAATCAGTTCTTCGCTTGTAAAACAACAAACTGGAGCCAAACTGGCGAAGACAATATGAAAAAACTCTACGCTCGCTTGGGGTATTTACATGTAAATATTTCTTTAAAAAAATATTTACTTTAGTATTACTCTAGCCGAAGCTCGGCAAGTATTTTCTTCCCTTTCTACTGAGCGTAAAAAAGAAATAGCAATGATTTTGAATTTCGAAACGAAGGAACAGTGAGTTTTCTTTTATTATACAAATGCTAAACTGTTTTAGTTTTCACACTTTTACCGCGCATATTGGTTATTCCGCCCGTGTCACTGCTGCCGATACTGCACGGATAGTTGCGCTAAAGTACGCTTAAATATTTTTCACAAATAATCCTTATTTAGACTTGAAGCACAAAGACCCGGATCTCACCTTGTGGATAGATTCAGTGCAGCAACAGGAATTTTGAAAGGTCTTTAGATATACAATTTATACTTTTAGCTCGGTATAAACTTGAACGAGATTTGTTTAGATATGATGTCACCTGGGAAAGAAATTGTGCTGCAAAAGAATATTGAGGCATACAAGGTTTGTAAATTGTGATCATGGCATACAAGGTTTGTAAATTGTGATTATTTATGCTTCTAGTTGGCACTCGAACTTGTTTATCAGTATGTGGCCACGGCGCTGAACCAATCTGAAATTATAAGCATGGGACAGTATTATCTCTACGCGTGTAGCAAGTTTGTAAACGTTTACAACTCAAAGTTTACCTTTATTGATAGGGTGGTTGATGAGGGCCTAATGGAGTCGAGACATTTTCTGCTGCTATTTCAAAATTTCGTTTTGGAAGCTTTCGCATCATCTCGTGTAAGTTTATTTTAAAAATATTTATACAAATCACATGGTAGAAGAAAAGAAGAGCAAAACCCTTGATCGTCGCTTTCCCGTTAGCGGGAAACAAAGAAGGTTGGCATATCATTTCGGGAGTCATGCCGCTTGGTACTGCATATCACGATAATTATTTAAAAAGGTAAGATTTCATTCATTTCAAATTCTAGTATACTTTGTTTTTTTAGCGTCATCGGTGGTGCTTTCGAGAAGTGCGAAAGCAGCAATCTACGAATGCTTCGAGAACGATTCAGCCCTGACAGTGAGTTTTTAATTTTAAACATAATAAAAAAGTACATTTTTAGTCATTCTACTAAAATCCGAAGATCGAGGACGGTTCTTTGAAGTATTGCAAACGGTTTTTGAATGAATATCTCTAGTTATTTGTGATAAACTTCTTTTAATTTGATCTCCCGCTTGTTTCATTCGAACTTTTCAATTTGTGATTTAAGTTTATCTTGTATCGAATTTTCACAAAATGAATAAAGTGTATGGATCTTTCAATATCAGGCATTGAAACAGAATAGACCTTTCTCCGACTTTTTGTCAAAAACAAAGTTCTGTCAGTGTTGGTGTTGTTTTACGTCGTTGACTTCTCAAATTAACGATATTTTTTATTTTCACATGTTTACAATGTTTCTAATAAGAAATCACAGAGCGAATAAATACAAAAAACTGGATTGAATAGCAAAAAAATGCAAAAGTTTAGAGGATGTGTTGGAAGAAAGTTCACATCTCACAATTTGTATACAAAAGAATGAGGAAAATTTTGAGAATCGCTGAAAAGGACACTGTTTTGGAGCGAGCTGTGTAAAATGAGAAAGGTAGGTAATCAAAAGAAAAACATAGAGAAAATGAAGCTCTTCGGGAGACTCTGTGCGAATAGAAAACGACAAAAAGAAGAGAGAATTTGCTTGCAAAAAAGAAACAACTTGGTCCGAATCGAAAGACTGAGGATAAAATGGGTGTGAAAATTGCAAAATATGTATATATGGGCTTCAAAATAGTTGACGACAAAGAAAATCCATAAATACCCGTAGAAAAGCGGCGATTTTGGTCTCTCTCGCTACGAGAACTTTCTTTTAAGGGAGATTTGGCATGGGAAAATCGAGAGGAATTGAGGTATTTTTGTTGAAAAGGCAAGGATTGATGGAAGATGATAAAAAGTATTGGGAAATATTGGTTAAAGTATCAGTCAGAGATCCTTGGGGGAAACTCTGGATCTATAGAAAGGAGTGAGAAGGAGAATATTCTATATTCTACCGCAGCCCAGGTCTATTTTCTCATTCGGGAGATCAATCAGACTCGGCAGCTTCATCATCGTCGTCATCCGAATAATTATACGCGCCATCTCTTCTCACCAACGGTGACCCTTCATCCCCCGCTCGTCTTGACCGGAGTCCCGTTGATGAGTGAAATGGTGGATGAGAGCGATTATTGCCCACTCCAACATTACCGAATGAACCACCGCCTCGCGGAGCCGCGCCCGAAGAACCTGAATAGACACCGTAAGTACTGCACCCCACCCCCATAATGACGGTGCGCAGCGTTGCGTAGTCTAGCTTTAAACACGTTTTTCTCGACATTCGTTTAAACTACAATGTGCACTTAGGTATCAAAAAATAGCTTAAATTCAGAGCTATTTTTTGATACAAAAGACGCATTTTTTGAAAGTACAGGCGCTTTGAAAAAATGAATTACTAACGGGATTGTTCTAGGTTCTAGATTTAAAACGCTTTTTTTGCAGCTACAATAAAATCAATGAACAACTATTTTCACTCACTGCTAGACATCTCTCGAGCTGTGTAATACAAGACTTCTAATCCTTATCCATATTTTCTTTGATTCTCTCATTTCTTACCTGAATTTGTGCTAGCTGATGGGGCTCGATGCTGCAAAAGAGAATGAGCCGGGCTATTCATCGTCCATGCTTCCAATCTTGGGCGAATCTCGGCAAAAGTCGGGCGACGATCCGGGTTTTCCGTCCAACATTCAACCATTAGACTGAAAAGTTTGCTATCAAGTACAGTAATCCTTTTTTTGCTTACCTATAAATGTTTGGTGGACACATGGGAGGACATTCGAGGAGTTGTCGAGTGCTGATCGCTCCAATCACTTGTTGATCCGAAAGGCCTTCATATGGGGTACGACCGTAGCTGAAAACTTTTCATTGTTGACTCGAAGAAGTGAACTCGAGATCCGTTAGCTTGCCTTGTATTTTCGCTTCTCCTACCTGAACATTTCCCATAGTGTGACTCCGAATGCCCAAACATCTGACGGTTCTCCATACCGTTGCCCCTCCAACGCCTCTCTTGACATCCACCGAATGGGCAAACGACCTCGGTGCATCATCTAGAAAATGAAGCATATAGATTTGAATGAGTTTCTATTAGGTTGGAAAAAAGTTTGCACGATGATTTCTCAAAAACGCCATGAATTCGTGAAAGTTTTGTCATTTTTAGATTTCTCTCTAAAAGTTTCCTAGTTGATTTTATAGCCAAAAGATAGCCAATCTTTTACAGAATTTAAATCTTATTACAGTTTAGAACTGTTCAACAATTTTTTTGAATACTCTTAATCGTTTGAGTTCTAAGTTTGACAGATTTTCTTCTACTGATAATAATAACTAATAATAACTGGTGCGAGCTCACGCAAATTGTGATAACTCAAAATTTAAAGAAGTTATTTAAAAAAAAGGTAATACGATTTGAATTCTATATTTTGACTATAAACACTTATGAAATCAGCAATCAGAGAGAATTCCATTAAAGAGAATTAAAAGGACAATTTAAAAAGGAAATTTCGCTGTAGAACTGTAGAGCAAAATGCTTTTGAATTGGTGGACAAAGAAATTTTAGTTCAAACCCGTTCAAATCCGTGCAAAGACCTAGTACAATCATTTTCCTACTCACCGGATAATAATCCCCCTCATACGCGGATCTCATCATCCCGAATGTCATCACTTTGATCACTCGATTCTCACCAACTAAACAATTCCTTGCCGCTAAATCTCGATGAATGAAACGATGGGAGATCAGGTATTCCATTCCATGAGCAATCTGTAAAAAAATTTTTCATTTCTAAGCTCTCGATTTCGGCACCTGTGTGGCGATCCGGATAAACTCGTCATGATCGGCTCTTTTCTCAGCCTCACTTCCACTCGATTTCACCGAGATTAAATCATGCACATTTCCATAGATCTATAGGGATATTTGAAGTTGACGTTAAAGCTATTCATACCATATATTCGAATACAGCCGACAATCGTCCAGCATCAAGATAGGAGACGCCGAGAAGGCGAACCACGTGCAAGTGATCGAACGCGGCCACACGGCGAACCTGAGCGGGTTGGATTGTTTTTTTAAATGAATATGAATACTTTTAAGTTAGATTCTTTATTACTTTTTTTACGACTTTTCCTTTTCTTACCTCATCCTCTAATTGTTTTATCTCTTGAATCGGTGCATCGGGCCTTGTCGTTTTCACGGCAACAGTCAGTGGTTCGTGTGAGACATTTGTGTGCCATTGAGCCGCGAAAACAATCCCAAATTGGCCTATGCCGATTTGATCTCCAACAGCCAGCTAAAACAGAAATATGTATAGGTTTTGATTGAGCACTTCTAAACTATCCTTTCTGGCAGTTACTCATTACTCAGAGGTGAACTTATATTTATGAAGAGGAATGTAGTTGCTGCAATAGGCACAAATGACGTTTACTTTGCCAGAAAGGATGTGTTTCTATTTTCAAGACAAAAAAAAGAGTCTTAAAGAACAGATCTCCTACTAACATCTCTTGCCGGAATCTCCAAAATGTGATAGGGTTCATCGTGATGAGGCATCGTTCGATAGGAGTCCGCGTAAGATGGAGGACCAGTGCCTGAAAAAAATTTCTATCATTTCTACATATTTCTAGATTATAATTAGTGAATTAGAGATTATAATTCGAAATCAATTGCAGAGTATTAGTCAGACATCAGCCAGACGAGAACTTTATCGATTTTTAAACCTAAACAAAAATAGCGAAAATCAAAGTTGGCCTATACCTATCGAGTGATCGGTTACAAACCATAAAAACAAATTTTTCTTGTAGTTTCTCGTGTTTTCGGTTATTTATTGATTTAAACAAATTTAAACAAAGACAAAAACAAAACAAACAAATCTTTTCCTATCACTTACCCATATTATTATTATGTTGTTGTGGCAAAAGTGCGGCCATTTCCATTGGTGCCGTTCTCCCAAGAATCGGTGTCGACGTGCCATTCATTTGCAACTTTCGACAATAGCCCGAATTCGTGCCACTAAAGGAAAATAATATAAAATATTGCAATTTAAAGTTTAAAGCAACTTTTTACGAACCTTGCCACAATCGACGTGGGAGCACTCGTCACAGAGAAATGAGGAACCGGCTGTTGACCGCGTTGTTTCGAGGATTTCTTTTATTCTAAAAAGCTTCAATAATAAATTTAATAGTTGATAACAAACCTTGCAACAACAAGCACAACAAATGATGAAAAGAAGAAGAGCGAGAGCGACAAAGCCGCCAGCAAGGAGACCTAGTTGGAGATTCGCGGGAAGAGACCACCACATTTCCGAGAGATTTGAGGGATTTGTCTAAAGAGTCGTGCTGAATCATAGCCTGTTTAGCTTACAAAGTGAATAGCTTAAATTTTTCTTTTAAAACTTCTAGCCTAGATCTTAAACTCATTGACGATCAGTGAAAAGCGACCTTTGACATTATTTGACTGCTAAGCACTTTATAAAGAGTATAAAATTTACCGTAGTACTAATTATTTTATAAAATCTTGTATAGTCTAATCCTTCAACTCACTCCATTCGATCTTGGCCCATCGATACGGTGCGTTTGATCGATCGAACACTGCGAAATCTCACAATACTCTTCACGGCCATGCGGACGACTAAACCATACCATTGAAATTTGTTTTTAGTTTTTAATTTTTAGTTTTTAGACTTTAGATTTTAGTTTTTAGATTTGTTCTTTTGTATTTCTTTTTACCTAAAACACCAAGGTTTTGTCCGTTTCCCGCCCGGATTTCGGCAATGATTTTTCGCGTTTTTCAGTTGTGGATAGTTGCGGACGGTGAAGTCACGAGACATGTGACTTTCAGTCCACGTCATGCATTGATGACCACTCTCCGTTGTGCTAACCGATCCCTCATAACTAAATTTTATCGTAAGTAAATTTCGGATATTTTTCTCGTACTTTTTCCCGTTATCCATGTAACAATGTGAAGAGGAGGCTGGTTGGCCTGGTGGAGGAGCCGGGGGGCCGATTGAGGTCTGAATAGGTCAGCAATTGTTTAAAGCAAGAAAATCCTAACTGTATATCTTAAATCGACATATATTTCTATGCTGTTTACCATTTTCGGCGAATCGATCACCGAGATACAATTGGATGTTTGAGTGGATAGGGGAAGCGAGGCACAAGATGGGAGAAGAGCTTTCGGCCCATCGCCTACCAATTCGTGCTGAGCCGCCATCGCGTACTCATTTGGGCAAATGTCCTTCTAAAATTGAGACTTAGAGTAGCTACAGTAGGCTTTATGTTTGCGACAATAAACGTAAACCTGTATTATTACGTTCGTCTTATTTTAACGAAGCTTGATTATGTTTTGTTTAGTAGTAAAAACCTAGTTTTTGGTTGAGCTTCAACATATCAACTTGATAATATTGTTTTTCTTGTTTTTCTGTTTTAGAAAGCTTTAATAGATTTCAGACTACATTATTTATAGAAAAGATGAACATTTGAAGATCTGAATCAGTTTCGAATGAAAACTCAAGTCTAAGTTCAGTTCTAATTCAGTTCTAAGTCTTCAAAAAGACTCAAATTCAATATAGTCTTTTTGAAGGCTTAGAACTGAATTAGAACTGAACTTAGACTTGAATTTTCATTCGAAACTGATTCAGATTAATATACTAAACAATCAAATGATTCAGGGAATCTTATAGAAAAGAGATGAAGAAAAGAAAAGAAAAGAAAAGAAAAAAAGCCATTCCAAGCCATCTCATTCTTCCGACTTCTCCGAACTCTTTGCTTGAAGATGTGAATGAGGAAATGAGGTGGAGAGGAAAATGAAGACATTGTACTCTTTTAAAGAGTACATTGTACATAAAAAGAAACTTCAAATTACTTATTACAAATTACAAATTACAAATCCAAATTTTCCTCACCTGTATCCTTTCGCAGTCATTTCGACAGATTCTCTGTGTTCGCGGCCCAACTTTCTCCTCGCAAACCTGGAAAATTGGCTTTCAACTCTATTTACTATAAATTAGATTTTAAAATTCCTATTTTCTAAACCAACTTTGTACATGTGATAGCAAGCGACCGCTTGCGAGTACTGTTTACATTCAGCGGACACGGCCGGCATCTGTCCAATGAATAGCATAGCCGCGCGAAGATTTCGATCTATAATAATTTGGATTTATTGTAATTTTTAACATAACAAGTGTTAACGACATAATTTTCAAACTCACCAATATCATACATATCTTCTCGATTCTCACTCGTGATCATCACATGGCGTCCGGCTAGAAAATTCCGGCAAGCATCACCCCGATACGCAATGCATTCTCCTGTCTTCATCTAGAAATTTTACACTTGATTTACTGTGATTTAAAAGGATTTACTGTGAAGCGAGTACCGACTTACACTAACTTATGACAAATCGGGTAATAGAATGGGTCTAAAATACCAAGTTACGGGCAAATCACCCCAGCCGGGTTTTTTTTTCGTCCATTTTACATGATAACTGTCAATATAAAAATATAAAAATATAGTGTTACCAAGAAAACGTTTTCTTCAAAATCCGGCCCCGATTAATCCCCTTCACCTTTTAAAAAGCTATTCAGAAATGTTTCTAAAACCATATCAAATAATTTCTATGGATGTAAAGCTTATATAAAGCTTCTATAAAGCTTGTATAAAGCTTCTGCAAAGCTTCTATAAAGCTATCTCCTATAATTTCACTTTTCAGAGCAGCTTTAATTTAAAAATGAAGTCAAGCCTTCAAAAGCAACCAATCTTCCTCTTATTCTCTCTATTAGCTTAAAAATGTTTAGATAAAAAAAATTAAAGTAACCTTTATCCTGTCCAACCATCGAGATGCAGGCATTACCGGTGCATACCCAGGCCCAGCCGCTCCATCAGGCACCGAGTACAAATCGGCGTCTTCCTCGTGAGGTAAACGACCTCGTTCCATTGCCTGTATTGATTGTATTGATTGTATTGATATAATAGCTCAATAGATAATCTTTTTAAATCCTCCAATTTCTATTGCCCTCATGGCCGACTGGTTCAGAGTCTTGGATCTTAGTCGAGAGGGTTCAATCAAGTCTGCTAGATTCTTGGTTCTTTTTTCCCATATATGGGGTTTTCCCATCCCTTAAGGGTTGTCCTTTTGTATTGTTTGTACCAAATTATTCGTCTAAATAAATGTATTTACCTCGTATTCGTCGTATTCTTCGGGCGATGCGTGTTGTTTTCGATTTTTCAGCTCCTTTCCTGGCACATTAATCACCTAAAAGTCATTGAATTAAAAGATATTATTAAAGATTCTTTAAATTTCTAGAATATTATCAATAGATTGATCAAGATATGATAAATCTTAGGTAAAGGAATGAAGTTTGATTCAAGTGACAGTAATCATTGTGCAATTGATAATGGAGCTGAGTTGAAAAATAGAAATGATACAAGTGGAAAGATTGAAGCCTCAGTAAAGACTATTGTCATTGTCAGCCTTGAATTAGCAATTAGCTTGAATTAGCAATTAGCTGAGAAAAGTTTCAAATCCAGCTTTCGATTACGATTTAAAATCCATAATACAATTTCTGGAGGATCACGTTTTTAAATCTTATAGTTGAAACAAGGGATCGAGTTCAAATTTGAGCATAATGAGTGGGCATGGTTTTCTGAAAAGAAAAAGAGAAAAGGAGAATGAGGAGATGAAGAGATGAAGAGATGAAGAGATGAAGAGATGAAGAGATGAAGAGATGAAGAGAGAGAGGGGGATGCCAGATGTTATCAATCAATCAACACCCCTCAAAATGAAGAGAGAAATGCAGAGAGAATGAAGAGAAGAGAGGGATCAATGCCCGATTTGGACCACCATTTGGACATTAAGGAAGATCTGAAGGCTGTAAATCGCTTTTTCAATTGCCCTTTTCCCAGATCACACTTTATCATTTGACAAATCAGAGAAAAGACTTGAAAGCATTAATAAGAGGATTTATAAAGAGATTTGATTGAAATAAAGAGATTGAATTGAAATAAAGAGATTGGATTGAAATTGTTGTGAAGCCAATTCATTAACTGGAAAAATTGCAAGGAAAAGAGGCAATTGTTGAAACTTGGAATACTGAAACATTAGAACTACTTTTTAATTGTTATAAACAAGTTTTTAAAGCTTTCAAGAACCAAAGAAACTTGAGGACTTGAGCCAGTTATCATCTAACATTTAAAGTCAAAAGTCTTTAAAACGGAAGAAGTCATGAAAAATCTTCCGAAATAGAGTTGAGTCTATTGGTGGACAAAGAATGTTGTGTGTGGGGGTGAAAAACCCTTGTGTTTGTCACTTTTCTCTTTTCTTTACCCCAGAAAATGGTCGATATCTCGTGGTTCCTCTACTCTCTTCTGATTAATCGAGCAAGGGGGGAAAAAGAAAGAAGAAAAGAAAGAAGAAAGGGAAAGAGAATTGGTGCCACAACGGGTCGCTCCTTTCCCTTTCCCCAAAAGATATTCAGCCAAGCCGAAAAGAACAAAAAAAAAGAATGCATTTGTATTTAGTCTATCGAATGAATATCTTTTTCTTTCTTCTCCATCTTCTGAAAAAAACGCTTAAAATGTGGGAATTTCTTCTTGAAAGTGATCAATCAATCAAGCAACAGCCATCAATCAAGAATATTGAAATTCGAGAATTTTAAAGTAATTTCTGTGCAAATTTGATAGAAAATGGGAGAAGATTGATTCAAAATAAAGAATAATTTGTCAAAAGTCGTACAAATAAAGTGACAAGGTTATAAAAAGCTTGCCAGTGAACTTTATGATATAATATCCACAGAATATCAATCAGTTAGCACTATGAAATGATCTAGCTTCTTTGCTAGAATCAAATTTAAAACAATTTGAAGCCTTTTATATTGGCTAATTAAATCTGATAGCTGTAGGAAAAACTAGCAAAGCTGTTTAGCTCAAGTTACAAGTTTTACAAGTAGTCTTAGCTTAGGCTTAGACTTAGGCTCAGGCTTAGGCTTAGGCTTAGGTTTAGGCCTGGACTTAGGCTCAGGCTTAGGTTAGGCTCAGGCTTAGACTTAGGCTAAGGCTTAGGCTGAGGGTATTGAAATAAAGTGAGGATTATTGGAATAAAAAGTTGGTACTTTTAAATATTTTGCCAGCCAGCTGCTTTAGCATTATAGAATCGCTCATTCTTTTAAGCTTTAAAACTTTTAGGTTAGTAGCGCTTTATCTCAACAGTTAAATGCTAAAGCTTTCAATTAAAATGCTGGCAAAAGTATCAAAGAGTGTTGCCATCCCATTGTCTAATAGTTTTTAGAAAGGATAGAGGGTAACAGACGACACTCTCTCTGCTCCTTTCACCCTCCCCAACCCTTCCAATCATCAATCAGATAGGCCCGGAGGAGGAAAGAGTGAGAGTAGATATTGGATAAAAGAAAGAGAAATGAGAATGGTCTAACCCACCAATAGTCAGTGCTAGGGCTATAAGTTTCGCTAACTAATCGACCTGTGGGAGTCATTTGGATCACCCGCTGGGACTCTTACCAAAGAAAAGATTTGGAAATAACTTTTGAAAACAGTAAACAATTGAAAAGGTGTCTTAAAATTCGATCCATCATTGGAAAATCGTTCAGAAAAAGCTAATAAGTTAAACAGTTTGTTTAAAAAGATCTCGAAAAACTCAAAATACCCTAGCCAGAGCGGCAGCCTGGCTGTAAATCTGCACAGAAAAATTTTTGCTTGACGAACACCCATAATTTTGTGTGCCGGAGTGTGGGATTCTAAAAAATTGATAAGAGAAAAATTGAGAGGTGAATTGATAAGTGAAAAGAAAGGATTAAGAAAGGGGAAAGGATTGAAAGAGAAAGCGGTGTGGATGAAAGGGTTTAAATGAAAGGCTCACCTTCCATAGGGATCCTATGGAAAGCGACCCGGGAAACGGGTCATCCGGGCGCCACCTACCGCTCGTTCGGTAACAGACACTGATCATGAGTAACGAGGAATTCGATTAACAGGTTAAACACTTTTTATATTCTTAGAGCTTATCTCCAGTTCTCCAGTTCCCCAGGTAAAGGGTTTAAAGACAAGATGAAATTTTCCGGCTAAGTTAAGGCAAATCTTTTTTTATTTTTGCTTTTTACCTTTTTTATCCAGATCAAGAGCCAAGATTTGAGTTAAATTCAATTAAATTTAAGTTAAAAAAAAAGAAATTTGACTTAAAAATACAATTCTCCCAAATTAACATCAAAATATAAAGCTTTATAGGTTAAAAATGCAAATGAATGCTTAAAAATAGAAGTTTATAGCTTAAAAATAGAAATTAACGCAAAAAGACAAAGCTCACTATACTTTAAATCTCGAATCAAAATGCTTATTGTAATATTTAACATAAATAGATAGCCTAGAGATTTTTGTTTACTCTTTTTTTACTCTTTTTTAAACGAGTTATTAAATTCTGGAACATTTTACCCCCTCATGTTCGTGAGCATAAGCCTAAGCCAGCACCGTGAGCCAGCCAGCACCGTGAGCATAAGCCTAAGCCAGCCTAAGCCTAAGCCTAAGATCCAGAAAATGAGGGTTTAGCCCAAACCCAAATAGACTTAGTGCGAGGCGCTAGCCGCTAGCCTTCGTACTAAGTCCAAACCTAAGCCTAAGCCTAAGCCTAAGCCTAAGCCTTTGCTAGATTTAAAGCCGCAATTTCGCGCAATTGATTTGACCTCTCTGTGATTCTTTCTTGAGGTATCTATTTATCTTTTGGAGTGTTTTGAGTGGTGTCCCGGGTAATTATTGTCATTTTGTTTTGTCGCTATTCAACTGAATAAAGCATATATATATATATATATATATATATAGATTTACGTAGCCAATATTTTATGCAAAATTATGTTTCCTATTGTTTTTTTATAAAAAAAACTACATTTTCTGATTTCTAAAAATATCTAAAAATATTCGAATCTGATATTGCAAAAGAATTGTCGAGAATCAACATGCCGATCAAAATTCTTTGTTTTTTTCGGAGTTGATTCCCTCTGTTTTCTCTCATCTATCTCAGTTGCAATCTGGTGAAAAAAAGAGAGGGAAAAAAATGGTTGTGTGAAAAGGGAAAAGTTTCTCTTTTTTTGGCCGCTTTTTTTTGGGGAAATGGATGTGAGGAATGAAAAGTGGGCATTCATTTGTCAATTCTCTTTCTTTTTCTCAATCCTTTCCTTCTCATTTCTGCTAGAAGTGGGGGAATTTTCGAGAAATATGAGTATAGATGTTAACGAGGAGAATGGCTCAATATGGTTGAGTATTTATCACGGATCACACTTTAGAGCTGACTATGAGGTTTTCAAAGATCCGTACTATGTAGTTTATGTTTCAAATAATTTAAAAGAGCTTCATTTAGATAATAAGCTAAGTATATATTGTTTAGCCTTTGTAAAGCTTGAATAACTGTAAGCTTCAAGCTGTAAAGTAAAGCTTGAATAACTAGTTTGTATTATATTTAGTTGATGAGGAAAGATGGGTTCTGCTCTTCTTCCTTTGCCTTTTTGGGTCATTAACTACAACATTTTCTTATTCATAGAATGAAAAAGATCCCTGAAATTCAGAAAAATGGAATGAAATAGGAATTCAGTAGAGAAAAGAATTCGCAGAACACATTTCGCAACCTAGAGGACCTAGAGAAGACAAAGAATTTGCGGTTTAGGAGGAATTTTACGATGACTAAGCGACTTTCAGGGGAACGAAGATCCAATTAGCAACAAGAGATCCATAGAAAATTAAGAATATAAAAATATAGCTATTATTCAATTGATTGGTTTATAAAATTGCATATAAGACTTATAAAGATAGGCAGAATGTTACTGGATAACGAGAATAGACCTACTTTAAATACTGTAATACTACCCCACCCCTATAATGACGGTGCGGAGTGTTGCGTAGTCTAGCTTTGAACGCGTTTTTCTCGACACTGGTTTATGCTACAATGCACGCTTAGGTATCAAAAAATAGCTGGAATTCAGGGCTACTTTTTGATACCAAAGACGCATTTTTTGAAAGTACGGGCGCTTTGAAAAAAAAATGAAATACTAAAAAACTTTTGCGACTACGCGACTGTACGAGGGGGGTGGGGTACTATTACAGTATTTACGGTAATTACTCTAGATTTACTAAATAGCTTAGTACTAAATAGCTGCATAGTTAGTTTTCTAAATAGCTAAATAGCTAAATAGTTTAGTTTTCTATTTTACATTAATAAGCAATACTATATAGTCTTAAGAATAAGCTAAAATAGTTCTACATTTCAATAAATAAACAAGTAATACTATGTAAAAAGTACTTTTGTAGTACTTGGAAGTGGGGTTTGATTGCGGGGAAAAGAGAATAGAAATGAAATAAAAGAGAGGAATGGGTGTGTGAATTGAATGAAAGGCGATGAAAGGAAAGAAAAGAAGAATCCATTCTATTTAGGAAGAATCCATTCCATTCTATTCTATTCCACTCTCCCTCGAAAATCTCTCCATTTTCTGACCACAACAATCCATCTGATGATTGGTGATGACCAATCTATGCAAATGTACTTCGGATATAATTTACAGTTTAACATATAGCTCTTGGATTACTTTTGTTTAAAAAAATTTGATTTAAACAAGTAATTTGAAGCGTGTAAGGCTTGAAACTTGAACTTGAACTTGAACTTGAAATTTACAGTAAGCAGTAAACAGTTACAAGCAGTAAACAGTTACAAGCAGTAAGCAGCTACAAGCAGTAAGCAGCTACAAGCAGTAAGCAGCTACAAGCAGTAAGCAGCTACAAGCAGTAAGCAGTAAGCAGTAAGCAGTAAGCAGTAAGCAGTAAGCAGTAAGCAGTAAGCAGCTTGTAAATTTCAAGTTCTTAGTTAGAGCAGTGGTTACTCAACGTTTTCTAAAAGGTATACAAAGCTACCGTAATTGTTAGCTACTAAAGCGTAAAGCTACTAAATCTTAATTTAATCTCAATCCTAATCTTAAATATTAGAGTTGATGAAGCTCATTGATCTATTGGATCTATTGAATAAATGAAAGGATACAGTTGAAGTACTACAGTACTACAGTACAGTTAGGAAACATTTCAGGCAAGCAATTTCTTAATTTTACAAAAATCTATGTGAAGATAAAAGTTTTTGAAAGAAAATACTCTTTGAGGCCACACAAGTGTGTGAATTCAAATGAATATTTACACACCCAGCTGGCCTCATTGGGAAAAAAGGGGAAATTTAGAGGGAAAGCTGGATGGAAAGGAGATTGCACGTGTCACTTTTGGATAGAATTCTTTGGAAGGAAAAAAAGGTTTGAAAAGATTTTCAACCCAACTCACCCTCAAGACGCTTGTCGTGTTGACTGAAGCGGCCGAATTGCTCACCACACATTGATAGTAACTGAAAACAAAAATGAAAAAGCTATTTTAATGAAATTTGCCGAGATTTACCTTTTTTACTTGTTTTGTTTTATTTCTAATACTTTTTGTTCTGATTTTTAAGTGATTTTTGAAGTTTTTTCTTCTTTCCTCTTATCTTTCCCTCTTTCTCTCAGCAGATTAAGCTATCGAATAGCTCAGTGGTTAGAGCAGTGGTTGCTCAGCCGCTTGAGGCTCAGCTCAGCCGCTTGAGGCTCAGCTCAGCCGCTTGAGGCTCAGCTCAGCCGCTTGAGGCTCAGCTCAGCCGCTTGAGGCTCAGCTCAGCCGCTTGAGGCTCAGCTCAGCCGCTTGAGGCTCAGCTCAGCTGCTGCAGTGAAACTAAGAGATCGGGGTACAATCCCCTCTCCGGAAATCTATTTTTACTTGCCAATTCCTTCATTTCTTTAATAGTGCTTTTCTTTATTTGATAAACTACCCGCTGTCGAGAACATCGAGATGTTGAATGACGAGACGGGAAGAATTCTCTCTCGTTTTGATCTTTATTCGACGCGATTTCTCGACGAGAGCTTGGTTCTTTAACCAACTGAAAAGGGTAACTTTTAAAGGATAATAATGCCAACTCCAGAATCAATGCTTTTTCCTAAAGGCATTTTTTAAACTAGATTTACTTATCGACTAAGTTAACGGGCAAATTGAAATCACAGATAACTGAATATTCTAGTATTTTTAGCCAGTTTTCTAGCTATCGTAATCGATTTTTATTCACCGATAAATCTAGCTTAGCATCTCTTTTGCTACGTTTCAAGAAGAATTTTGTGATATTCAGTCTTGTTCGCTGGATACTTGTTAAACTAATTTATTGTAGGATATTGTAGTCAGACAAAATTTAATCTAACAATAAATTTTTACCTGAAAGTCAGCGGTGGAGTGCCGAGCGCCTCACATCGGAAACGGACCTGAAGGCAGAAGTTTAAAAGCTTCAATTAAAAAGTTTAAAAGCTTTAAAAGCTTTAAAAACATAATCTCTTCACCAACCTCATCACCCAAATCTTTTGTGAGATTTCGAAGCTCAGAAGCCAATCGAATATAGGGTCTCGATGTGGATGGGAGTCCGTCTTTTCTAGAATCTCCATCATTCTCTTCTTTTTGTTGGGTCACTTTTTCTATTGAACTCTCTGTGCTGTTCGTGCTCATCTTTGCATTTGGATCCTTTAAGGAATTAATAATTTTGGTAGAGGATTTCAAGAAATGAAAATAGAAAAAAAAGAAATTATTATGAAAAGAAGAATTTGTGGAATTTGATGTGCACAGATTTGACACAGAAAAGTTTATATAAAGATTTGTGTACCAAAAATAAAGACTTGCTTTAAGATGATAAGGTATTGAATAGATTTTCCAAAGTCTTTCTATGATAAATGCTAGTAATAGTTAGATAATAGTACTATTGGCATAGCCAAATGATTGGGATTAAGGCGAAAAGAAAGGGGGAAATGGGTAATTGAATTGCCACCCATTCCTCTTTTCAGCTTTTGCAGAAATTGCAATTGAAGTCGTCAAATGTTCGTTCAACAACTATAGATAAAAAAATTTAAAATTAACAGATCTACGACGATTAACAGACGTAAAATTTAAGAGATCAATTTGATTTGAAAAGATTTGGCCAAAAGGATTTCGTTCGTTTACAAACATTTCACGAAAGACAAAGAAGCAAAAAAAATGATGAAGAAATGAAAAAAAGGAAAAGAGGACACACGTAAAATGAAACCCAATTTGAAGACAGAAAAGGAAATGGGTTTGGGGGAAGGTCCGGGAAGGTCCAGAAGAGCCACTTGACCCTGGTCATTCCCCTTCAGGGTTCTCTGTCATGCTCTTCATTACTTGATGAACATGGTTTAAAGATGAAAAAGTATTGATGGATTTATTATGACGTAAAATTTTACTCGTTTGATCTTCAGCGTTTTCTAAAACGTGAAAACTTTCGAGAATCTTATCTCTAATTTTAACCAATACGGTTCTTTTCCAATACGGTTCCAATACGGTTCCAATACGGTTCAAATACGGTTCCAATACGGTTCCAATAGGGTTCCAATAGGGTTCCAATACGGTTCCAATACGGGTCCAATACGGTTCCAATAGGGTTCCAATACGGTTCCAATAGGGTTCCAATACGGTTCCAATAGGGTTCCAATACGGTTCCAATAGGGTTCCAATACGGTTCCAATAGGGTTCCAATACGGTTCCAATAGGGTTCCAATACGGTTCCAATAGGGTTCCAATAGGGTTCCAATACGGTTCCAATACGGGTCCAATACGGTTCCAATAGGGTTCCAATACGGTTCCAATAGGGTTCCAATACGGTTCCAATAGGGTTCCAATACGGTTCCAATAGGGTTCCAATACGGTTCCAATAGGGTTCCAATACGGTTCCAATAGGGTTCCAATACGGTTCCAATAGGGTTCCAATAGGGTTCCAATACGGTTCCAATACGGGTCCAATACGGTTCCAATAGGGTTCCAATACGGTTCCAATAGGGTTCCAATACGGTTCCAATAGGGTTCCAATACGGTTCCAATAGGGTTCCAATACGGTTCCAGTACGGGTCCAATACGGTTCCAATAGGGTTCCAATACGGTTCCAGTACGGGTCCAATACGGTTCCAATAGGGTTCCAATACGGTTCCAGTACGGGTCCAATACGGTTCCAATAGGGTTCCAATACGGTTCCAGTACGGGTCCAATACGGTTCCAATAGGGTTCCAATACGGTTCCAGTACGGGTCCAATACGGTTCCAATAGGGTTCCAATACGGTTCCAATACGGTTCCAATACGGTTCCAATACGGTTCCAATACGGTTCCAATACGGTTCTTTTTTTGATCTAATACGGTTCCAATACGGCTCTTTTTCTAATCAAACAAATCAGCTTTTTGTAATGAAAATGAAAATAGATTAATTGGAAAAACTAGAGACAAGATTACGGTAGTTTTCAAGACGTTTTTGAGACGTTTTAGAATACGATTTAAAACTGTAGTGATACAGCTTCAAAAGTGATCAGAGAATACAAATTTGAGATTAAGAAAGGTGTTGGAATGCAAAGCTCACAAAGTTTTACTTTAGGATTTCTAAAAATACTTTAAAATTGCAATGTTGCAAAAGCACAAGTAAACCCTTTCCTTTCTCTGTCACACTCGCAAATAATCGATGTCGTTACGGGGTAGATGAGCAAATATTTTCCCATCGCCTTTTCATTTGATGATGAGGAAAAGAGAGGAGAGCTTTAGTGTACATTTACAAGGTCCCTCTAGGGATCGGGTTTATTTGTTCTTTGCTATCTATCTTTAAACACGTGCCCAAGCTGATTCGATGTCCGTTAAAGGATAGGGTTAGTCATTAAGAGTTTATGACTGGGATTTGATGCGAGATTTCATAGCTTTTTTGCAGCAATCGCTCCAGCTTTAGTCACGATATGATAAAACTAAAGCTTTACTTAGTATTTTATCCTTTTTAGGACAAAAATTTAGGAAAACCTTTGTTCCTAAGGCCTAGTGAGTCTTGTCATTAACCAAGACTCAAAAGGTAATCGAAACTATATTGAAAATATTGAAAGTTATAATGACAGTAGAATGGTAAGCAGAAGATATTAGTACTTTTTAGAATGACTAATGGCTTTGTGAAACATAACTCGTAAAGAATAAAGTACACTATAAGGTAACAAGAAAGGTAATGAAGACTTGCTTTAAGAAGTTCATGATCAAGGTAGGAAGGTAATAGAGACTTGCTTTAAGAAGTTCATGATCAAAGTAACAAGAAAGGTAATGGAGATTTGCTTTAAGAAGTCCATGATCAAGGTAACAAGGAAGGTAATAGAGACTTGCTTTAATAAGTTCATGATCAAGGTAACAAGGAAGGGAGACTTGCTTTAATAAGTTCATAATCAAGGTAATAAGAAAGGTAATAGAGACTTGCTTTAAGAAGTTCATAATCAAGGTAATAAGAAAGGTAATCTACTTTAAGTAAGTCTCTACTTTCTTTAAGAAGTCCATAAACCCTCACCATTAAAAACGATAAATATTAATGAACTGTCAGAGTAATCATCATCCCAAAATCGGCAACACCAAAAAGCGTTCATAAATCTAAATAGGCGAAAGGGCGAGCGGGTAATAAATCGCAGGAAAAGAGAAAGGGAGAGAACAGAGCAATTGGCCATATATTTGCACTAAATGTTGGATGTTGGTTGGTCGTGTGGTAAAGGGTCATACATATCGATAGAGAAAGGGGGAAAAGAGAAAGAGTAAAGGGATGAGATCTCGACTTCTCTATCTAAGGGAGACAACTGACAGCCTTCTTCCTCTATTGAGCTCATCCCTCATTCCTCCCTCTTCTCCCTTCCGATTCCAATTTCGACTTTTTTTTTAGACAAATGGAAACAGCCTAACAAACAGCAGCAAGCCTACCTAACAGTCTAGCTTATTGTTTAAAAAAAACTTCTCAATTATACCAAGGAATTTCAATGATCGAATCGATCATTGAAATTCAATCAGTGATCTAGAAAGGCAACAATTTTCGGTGATATCAACAATAACATCAAGAGAAAAAAGAAAAGCTACAATGAGATAAGATTTTTAAAAAATGATACAACTCATTGAATCTGCTGCTCCCTGCCCTTTCCTACCCATCCCCTCCCTCACATTGACACAAAGTGACAGCATGACCGATCGACTCTCCCTATTTCCACTATAGATTTAAAGGACTCTCCTCTATTGAATGCTTTGAGTAAAAGGAAAGGAATTGATTTTGAAATTGGCACTCGCATTTAAATGGTTTTTTTTATTATTTTCAACTTTTTAAAAGGATAAGCTTTACAGTAAAATCTGCTTGAAAAGATTTTAAATAAAGTCAATGATTTCGAAAACTTGAACTGTATCTTTTAGCCGGTAACACTATCTGGACTTTCGCTGTACTTTTTGGAGTTGATTGTTTGACTTTTACGACTTTTTGGGGGTTGAGGAATGTTTAAAGAATGAGAAAAGGAACGTTTAATATGAAAATTTCTATACAATATAAAAATTGGATGCAAATTCTGAAACAATAAAACAAAATAGCAGCTTTAAAGCTATAGGAATTGTGGAGTGAAAATTGAGGATGCATCTCATTTGTTTTCTCTAAAAAGTCACTCAACTAGTATCGGCTTGCGAGAAATGCAATGCATTTTAGAAGAAGTAAATACACACAGAAAAAGTTTGCAAGATAGAAAACATTGCTTAGAATAGATTGGCATTGAAAAAGGGTAAAGAAAATAAAGCCAGGAAAATTCTGGGTTAGATAGAAAAGAGGAAAGGAGATAGTCGGCGAGTACAATCAAATCAAACTAGACAATCAATTTTCAAATCCTAATAACATCTAAATTTTATACAGTACAACAGTACAGTACTTTATACACATTAGTACAACAGTACAGTACTTTAGTATAATAGTACAGTACTTTAGTACAATAGTACAGTACAAAAAATCCGAACAAAGTGGTGTCAAGGCAATAAATTTCGAAAGCTAAAACAAATGGGATCTTGAAGGGATTAGGGGAAATGTGGAGTAGAAATTGAAGACTTGAAGATATTTTGAGGGAAAGAGACGGGTCACATAAGTGGCATAAGGACATAGCAGATGCCCATTTGCATAGGAAGAGTCTATAGATGGAGTGGATCTAGAAAAGGGAAAAGAAAGGGAGGAGTCAGTCTCCTTTCATTCACACGAGTCCATAGATTCATGATCGACGAGGCCCCTAGGGGGAGCTGACGGGAAATGGACACCTCTACTTGTCCCCTAAATCCACTTAAATCTATGAGACAAATTGAGCGAGGTTATTGATTCGGAAAGAAGGAAACAAAAGGATTACTGCTTTAAGATTTAGGATTACTGCTCAATCTCGTTCTGGATCAAAACGGTTAAAAGAAAGAGTAAGAAGCTAATGAAAGAGTAAGGCTAATCAAAGAGTTAAAAGAAAATAAAGCGAACGGAAACAATTCATCACACATCATAAAAAATGGGCTCGTAAAGTGATACAAATGGGGTCAGAGTGGATAGGAGAAATGAGATGAGCATAGAAATGATGGGTGATGGGGATGGGATAGAGAAATAGAAAATAGGAGAAGATATCGTAGATCCTAAAGGTTGTGAGGGTGAAGAGATGGAGAGGGA